CGATGGCCCTGGCCCCATCTCTGCCTCTGACGCAGAGCCCTCATCCGGACCTTCCCCTGACTCCAGGACTGGCTCATGTTCCTCCCCAGCCTCCTCAGTGTCTGACTCCGCTGCCAGCTCCTAAGGCTTCTGGCGGACCACAACAAAAGGAGTGGAAGGGAGATTAAAGGAAAAGAAGAAGCTGAAGAAGGATCATCTCTGTTCAGGAGGGTGGTATGAGCATGCACATGCATGTAGGAGGGAAAAAGGGCAGAGGAAAAGGAGAATGTTCATATGTGTGAGGGTGTATAAAAGGTAGGGGACTGGTTACTGTGAGATTGAGAACAGCAGAAAAAGGCAGAGGAAGAGGGGGAGAGGGAGACCAGCTGGAGGGCAAAGAGTAAAAGATAGGGAAGGAAAAGGAAGAGAGAGTGTGGTCGCTCTTTTCCTTCCTCCTGCTCCACCATGCCTTTCCCAGAGCCATTGCCACTCTGTGAGCCGCATTCCCCATACACAGATAGGGCACAACAACCTGGAGAAGAGTTAGCATGCACATGACAAACCTCTGGAGTGCATGGACCCTGCTGGAGCAGACCAAAGGCCTCTCCATCTTGACATCTGTAGGGGAAGCCTGAAAATCCTTCCTACTGAAATCCAAGAGGAGAACATTGACTTTTTTGGAAGCTGTCATTAATTTGAACTGTTGTTAAGTGAACAGTCATAAGTTGAGGACCACTTGTATTGCTTTCACACAAGGAAATCCTGTGTGTGAAAGTATTAGAAGAGAAACAATTTCCCAACACAATGAACTTCTGTTGCTTGTATTGTATGTATTGTATGTACCATTAGTTTTGTTTTTGCAGTATATTCTCCAGGTTTAAGTTCCCAATCAGATATTGTTGGGATTGTGCCTTTTTCCAGGGTTGAGCAAAGTTTATTCTTGCTACATAAGCATATATCACATTAAATTATTTTATTATTTTTTCCTAAGATTGTATCTAATAACAATTGTAGTTTCATATCAAGTTTAAATTCCAAAATTTTCTGTCTTATGCTATGTTTGTCTTTCTGGCACCTTTGAGTTCTTTTATATGTCCACCTTGTGTGATAAAATTGCCTCTTGTCTCATAGCATTTCCAACGTTAATTACTGTATGATTTGTCCATCTTAGAATATTGTTAATGGAGTTGGGTACCTTTAAGTTGTAACGTGCAAATTTTACAAATTAAGTCTGTATTTTCCTATTGTTTTATTGTAACAGTTTCTGTTCTGATCTAGGCTTCCCCAAAAAGCATGAAGCAGAATCTTGGTCCCGATAAAACTCACTTTATTAAACAAACAGTGAATTCCTCTCATTCGCCTTCAGCAAAGTCTTTCAAGGGAGAATTTACAATCACAGAGCTTAACTGGCTTGGAGAGCTGCCAGGCCAATATCTTTAAAACTTGGCAAAGAGTCTCAGAGAGTCACAAACCAATTAGGCGAACTAATTGTCTCCTGCAAACTCCACTCCCCTTTCGCTCCTCTTTTATTCCCTCTGGGGGGGGCCATTCATTGTCCACCTGTGGCCTTACTCCTAAATTGACAGCTGATAACTGGCATCTGGCCCTGGCCCCCTCTCTGCCTCTGATGCAGAGCCCTCATCAGAGCCTTCCGTAGACTCCAGGACTTGTCCATATTCCTCCCCAACCTCCTCACTGTCCAAATCTGCTGGCCGCTGGTGGGCCACAACAGTTTCTTTGAAACTTTGCATCCATTTTGTCATTCAATTTTCTTCTGTTTCTATATCATATTTAAGTAAGAGTTTATATATATGCCCTAATAGGTGTTAGTAATTTTGCTGATAAATTACATTGTTTAATTTTTCACAAAGCAGAGGTATTATATGCAGTCTCCAGGCACAGGATAGGACCTTGGCAGCCTCACTGTCAGCGTTCCAGAAAACCCCCAACTCCCAGTAAAGACGCGGAAGTAGGCATTTTCCAAAGTTTTCTTTACTAGAATTGATAAACTGGCACATCTGGGAAATCCCAAATCTGAAAAGCCCGGGCTTTCCTTCATTAATTCAAAGCTCCCAAAACCATTCCCCTTCTCCCCAGTTGATCACATGCTCCAATCAACATCTGTTCCACCTCGACCCAATCCCTGACCTTGACTGATGAGAAGAATGCTATTATGTCTACTAATTCCCGTCTCCTAAATCCCCCCTCCTACTTTCCCACACATGAGGTGGCAGCGTTGAAGCTTCCAGCCTAATATGGCTTCCAAGGCTGACACTCACTTGACCAGACTAGGATCGAAAGATATAATTGGCTATCAACATAGTGATATCAAACCCCCAATAGGTCAACCTCACCCAGCAGTTTCATGTAGATGTGAAAAGGAGGAGAGAGAAGAGAACCCTGCAATACCCCACAAAGGGGCAGTGATGGGACTACCTCTTCCTTTCAACTAACACTAACTGGAATCAGCCCCATGGAAAGGAAGAGAATCACCATGAAACAGTGTCCCCAATTCCCAGCACATGGAGTTATCATTGGTATTGAAATCAAGGACCACAGGAATGAATGTACTACTTCCATCCTGACTGCCACAAGTCATCTATAAGCATGACCAAAGCTATCTCATTATTAAATCCTAGTCTGAAAACTGAATAAAGCAAGTCTAGATAATCTGTTTCATAAGAGTTCTCATCAGCTGCATCTTCTCAACAAACTTCCCTCAAAAAGGAAGGTGGGAATCAGTTGATAGTTATCAAAAACTGCAATGGGCTACGAGAATCACCTTGAGAGATGGGGATGGGAGGAAGAGATGCAACCCAAATAACTTTCCTAGAAGAGAAATCTGAATCCAGAGCAGGAATGGGGCTGGAGAACATGTTTCAGAATTGACTCTCACTAGTTATCTGGGACATAAAGGTGGTGGTGGTGGTGGGAGATGCTTTCGGATCTGCAAGATTCTGTTATTGTCCCCTTACAATAAAGGTAATTTTAGTATTCTTGGTTTTGGTTTCCTGACCTGGACTACTTTGAAGAGCTAGCAAAAACCATTGGCTTCAAGGAGGGGCTACACTTTGTCTCTTTGAAGGCAGGAAGAAGATTGACACCACACCACGGGCTCAACTGTAGACTTAACCTTAGCCATTTTTGTCACCCAGGACTGGCTCAGATCAAGAAACACATGTCCATGTGCTCGCTTCGGCAGCACATATACTAAAATTGGAACGATACGAAGAAACACATGTCCAAATTAACAGCATAGAGAACCCTCTCTACTTCCTCAGGAGTCACCAGCTTAGATTCATCCCAGATAATAGCAATAGACCAGTGGTGGGTTGCAGGAGGTGGCGGTGGAGAAACCACGCACACGCATGCACACCCACGAGTGGTAGCGATAGGTTTTGAAACCCGCCCCTGCAATAGACCATGCTCTAGCTACTGTACCTTGACTCATACTGCTCAGTAAGAGTCTGAGTTGAAGCAAACCTGAACAGTTTTATCCAACAGATAGCCTGAATAGTCCTCTTAGCTCATCAGTAATCTGAACTCTTCCCAACCCAATAGGGAACAGTAAACAAAACCACTGGACAGCTATCAATGGATAAAATATGGGCAAAGAAGTATTGATGTTTTTTTGTGCTTATTGCTATAAAGTAATCCCTAATACAGGCTCATAACCATACCGGAGTCAGAGTCATGTGAGTCTTTCTCCCACAGCACTCTAGGCAACACTTGTGGCACTTCATCTAGAATGATTGAATTTCTTCCTGCTGAAAGAAGTAACACCAGTGAGTTGAAAGGCAACCAGAGATAGAGCTATCCATAGCATTAGAATGATGTTAATGACTCCCATCATTTTCCACCAAGGAAGTGATCCACAGCCCTCCTTGCTGCCTCCACAATATCTGCACCCTTTGCAGATGCCAGACCTTACACGAGTAGAGTGTCTCTCTCCCTCCCTCCTTCCCTCTCTCCCTCTCTCTCTCCCTCCCCCCTCCCTCACTTCATGAACTGCAGCAACCATCGAGACTTTGGCTGTACTTAGGGCTTTGCTGTAGGCCAGGGAGCTGGTAGGTACCATGCTGTCCCCCACCCCCGAAAAGTTCTTCAATGGAGGATTCCCACAACACTCAAGTGGATGAAGGGGGATAAAAAAAATCAACAACAAAACTCAAAGCATCCATACAGCTCACTCAACACACTGCCCATCTGGTCACTATCTTGACATTACAAATACAAGGCAGGGGTATATAGTTTGAATAATTTCTACAGACCTTTGATATGTGTATGAATGTGAGAAAGTTTTTTTATTATGTTTGTTGACTTAAAGAAAGCCAATGATAAAATAGAAAATGAATTGTGAAATGTTTTGCTTGAATATGCAGATCAATAGCTGGAAGCTGAACATGATAGGAACAGTGCACAGTAGAAATAAACCATGATAGTTAATGGAATGCTTAGTGAATGGTTCAACATTGAGCAAAGAGTGAAAGAAGGATATGCAATTTCCTCTTGATTATTTAATATATTTATGAATAAATGCAAAAAGAATACTCATGGTAACTTTAGGGGGTCTGTTGACTACTGATGCAAATGTAAGAGTCATAGTAGATGAAATTGATGAAATCCTGAAAAGAATGTAAATAAAAGGCAATATATGAGGTGGTGTATGAGTATGGAGAAGTAAGGATGGTTTGTATGAATAGTATATCAATAACATAATATAATGAATAACAAGATAAATTAGATATAGGTATACTTTCTTCTTTCCACCTTTTTAATTCTTTTGGCTTGCTATTACTATTTTTCAGTGGTTTGCATATTGCATAACCCCAAAAGGAATACCTGAATAGGTCTGCGTTTAGATACCATTTGTAAGCTGTCTTGACATGAATTCACTATGAATAATTTTATTATACTTAGTGTTTGTTTCCTTTTTTTGCATTGAATACACTAACATGACGATGTTGATAAAATGAAATACCTTATCTTACCTACAGTATTTTAAATTTTCTTTTTTACAGGTATCTCCGGCTGTATGGGAGAAATTTTAGTAAAGAAGATCATGTTCTTTTCATTAAGCTGTTGTATGAACTAGTAACTATTCCAAAATTGGAGATCAGCATGATGCAAGGTTTTGCTCGACTTTTAATAAACTTGCTGAAGTAAGTTTTGCTTTACCTGATTTTTCTATCTGTATCATGGGTGTCAAACTGGCAGCCCACGGGCCGGATGTGTCACGCGCAGGCCACACCCAGCTCTGCGAAGGGAAAAATGTTGCGAAACATCATGTGACGGCAACGTGATGCCACAAGTTTGACACCCATGATCTATATCAATTATGATCCAAAGTTGGAGATAATGGATAATTGTTAAAACTAGGAGGTTCAACTGACTTGTCAGGTTTGATTGGTATTTTGTTTCATGCTGGCCTTATATAGGCCAGCATGAAATAGCAAAACCTAGCCAGACTAAAGCAGTAAGTGCCCTTACTTTTTTCCTAAATTTGGGGAAAGATTAGAGACTTGGTCATATAGCGGTTCAGCCTTGCATTTTCAAAATGCATTAAAAACCAACCACTATATATCTCCAATTTTTGCGTTTATCATGCTTAGATGTATATGTTCCACATTGTAATTTCTGTTGTCCCAAATTACACTGGTTTACACTAGTTTAAGGATAGAAAAGGATTTTGCTAGGCAAGGATCTATATCAATGAAAATGTTGAGTGCCAGTTTTGATGTAATATTGATATCTCAATGAGAAATACTGTAAATGAATAGTTGGATAATGTTGTAGTTTTCTAGCATTATATTTCTCCTTTCTCTCCCCCCATTCCTCCCATATATAAATCTAGATGTAATTAATTTATTTGAAACTTTGAGTAACAGGTAATCCTGATTAAAATAATCATTTTATACCATTGTAAGAATTAGATCTATATCTACAATTTTATGCAGTTACTCAAAGAGATTTTCTTAGAATATTTTAGGTTGTCAGCTTAATTGTCAGTGAGTAATGATTCATATTCAATTCCTGTCTGTATGCGTGTTTTTTAACTTAGAAAAAAAGAACTTTTGTCAAGAGATGATTTAGAATTGCCCTGGAGACCACTTTATGAAATGCTGGAACGTATATTGTATTCTAAGACAGAACATCTTGGATTAAATTGGTTTCCAAAGTAAGTTTTTAAAGGTTTTGTTTTATTTTCACAATATCCTCACATTGTTTTTAGGTTGAATTTTGTTGCTTGTGATTTATATGTTTTCTTTCACTGATCTGAATCTAAAATAAATTTTAAACAGTTTTATTTTTCTTTTACAGCAGATGTTCATTTTTCTTCTGGTGTTTTTTTTTTCCCATTTATAATTTGTGGTTCACAAATAAGCAACATGGTCATATTTTATTAAAGGAATACTTTAGCTTTTAAAAAAAATGTTTAGTCCTCCTGGAGCTGAGTTCCAAAAATCCAAGGAGTCATTAAGGGCAGCAAAAACTTAAAGTTCTTTGTGGATTTTTATAGTCCAGGTATGATAGCCTATTTTGGAGAAAAATATTTTTCAGACTTTATAAGATATGAAATGAAAACTGACCGTTCACATTCCCAAATAGAAAAGTACATAAGCCTTATGTCAACACTTTGTAGGTTTACTGGAGAGTTTAATGTACTAGGAAATATAAGCATGTAAATACTATCCCAGTAAATAAAAACTTCCTTTGTGCTTTTTATTCAGTGTAGATAGGTCATAGATTTGAGGAATGAGAACTTTGAGAGTTGGGAATGCATTTGTCCATATTCCTTCCCTGCTTTTAGCCCTTGTATGAGTAGACCGAATGCCTGCACAAAACTATAGTCTATCCACTTTTGGAAACTAATGCTTTAGTAGAAACAAGGCATATCTTAGATGGTCTATGCCTGTGTGATGATCAGGTTTTAATCTATTGAATTTTCAGGTAACAACATTATGGATTATAAATCCTTTACTTTAAGCCGATGCCATCAAAACAGATGTTACTGGTTTTATTTGATTTAACATGTAACATTGCTTCTATCTACCTCCATGAGGAAAATTCCTTTCTCAACTTCGAATGGCAGGGGTTTTTCCTATACAGTATAGTAATTTTATTCTTAGAATATTTAGCTATTTAATGCTAAGGGGCAGTGTTTGAAACAAATACATTTCTAGCCTTGCTGCTGCTTGAATTTTTAACTTATTTGATAAGACATGTACTTACTTCCATGTTATTTCTAGGTTAATAATTTTGCCCTCAAGTCAGGCAAACAGAATTAAGAAATATTTAATAATATTTTTGATGCTCTTTTGAACAACAGATTCCCAGATAAAAATAGAAAAGGAACTAAAGGGAAAGCAATAAATGCCAAAGCAACCTTTCCTTTTTTCAGGCAGGCTGGTTTTGAAATTAAATGGTGCAGTGCGACTTTTTCTTTCATGGTGTTCTGACAACATTGCTTACAATTTATATTTCACTTTGGATGAATTTGGAAGAATGAATTAAAAATAAAAGGAATATGAATAATGATTTTTGTGGCTTTAACATTACTTGGTTTAAATGCTACAATTGCTTTTTTCATTATTTTGTTTTAAAATCTTTTTTTCTTTATGTTCAGTTCATGTCGACCAGGCTTGTCTTCACCTAAAACATTTGTGCTTAATGTTTTACATAGGTGGTAAGGACAATTATTTTGCTTTTATGTAGCTCTGGCCTATGTGTTTTCTTTGTGCATGGCCTGTTCAGTTGTAACATTTGTCATGTACCTGTAATTTCCTGCATATAAAACTGAAAAATCCAATGTTAACATGACACCACAATTTATGGGAATGTCGCACTGTATTTAAATTGAATTACAATAAAAGATATGTGTGTGAAGTGGCTGAAAATTATAGCTACTTGCTAATTGCCTGTTAACAAATAGGTTATAGTTAAGGTGCCTAACATACTTGATTTTAGGCATAATTTGTAGAATATTCTAGAAATGCATGAATTTAATTTCACTACATAGGTTGATAGAATGACTAAAAATGTAGAATAAGTGTTATTTGAATTTAAAATAATGTTAGCCTATACCTGCAATTCAGTTTGTGATAACAATACACACTAACTTAAGTATTTTTAGGATTCCAGTTTTAAAATGTAATTAATTGCCATTATACAGTATAACAGGTTATTTGCTATGAAAAAAAATTAACAACAGTTTAGACAAATGCTCACTCACTGCATTCACTCAGCTTGCTTAACCTTGTCAGCCACTAACTAACCCAGTCATACCTTCTTACTACTGAAATTTGTATGACACAATGACATCATCTGAATCTAGGATTTGAGAATTCAGTGACCGTTGCCAGGTATCCAGGAGAATATTGGCAAGGCTTTACTACATCAGTGGCTTCTTCAATTCAGCAGGCGGTATTGGGCATGGCTTGGATGCTTCAACCAATCATTTTTGGAAGCTTGGCAGCAGGTTATATAATGGACTGCCTTGCATTTTCAGCCACTCACACTCCCTTCCCTTCTGCTTTCTTTCCTTGGAAGATTAAGTAGATGGATCTTGAACACAGCCCCTTGATGGACTAGGTTTTTGGAGCTGTACAATGATGAACTTGGGAAAAAATAGTGGGACTTAACAATTCCCGTAGGAAAGCAACTTGGCTTATTTATCATATACAGGTTGTTCTTGCTTAACATCTGCCCTGTTTAGCAATCATTCAAAATTACACTGGGTTGAAAAATAATTTTATGACCAGTTGTGACACTTAAAACAGTTATAGCATCTCCACAGTGACGTGATCAAAATTTGGATCTTTTGCAACCGGTGGGCATTTATGACTGTCTCCAGAATCTGCAATATACTTTGTTTTAGCAATGTTCTGTGACTTCAGAAACAGAACTGCCTCTTGATTTATCAGGTATTTATGATTTTTTTTTAAAAAAAGAGGTTGGATAGCAAGGGCTTTACAGTTAGCTTTTGTTTAGCTTCTTGCTTCTACATTTTTGCCTCTTAGGTGATTTAACTCCTAGAATCCTTCTAGCTGTAGGATATTATTTTGTAGGCAGAAAACTGTTACTGAGTTTCTATTTTAGTCAAAACTGTTTCTTTTTCAGATCAGCTAGTCTGAATGAAAATGGCTTTTATACTGGACATAATTTAATACTACTAGAAGTTTCACTCTCCTGAGTGCAGTGCAGTATAGATTTGAATATTAATCTTATTATTATTGTGCCAGGAGAATGTTGCTTATTTTTGTACTATTACTTAACTCTAGTAACTCATAGGTATTACTCAGGACTAAGATTGTTAAAATAAAAAAAGAAATGGCACGTATATGATTTTTTAAAATAAAATCAATCTTCTAAAATATACCACTATTCCTGCTTAAAAACCTTAAAGAAATGAGTGCATGAAAAATCAGTAAAGAATGTTTTTATTTATTTTTTCTTATTTTTAAATGTTTCTACCGATCCTTTCTAGTTGGAGAACTTTTTAAATAATTCAATATTAGAAGCTCCCAAATAACTGAAATGTAGTAAGAAAGCAGTAGCAACTATATTCACAGCCAGAAAGAGAGAATGTCTAAGGAAAAATATTTTTAAATTACAGTTATTGTAATACAGTCTGCATTTCTGGGGAGGCCACTTTAGAGATATGACACTATGGTAATGAAGGTCCATCAACACAGCTAACTATATTTATGAAGATAGGAACCTGTCTCTCTGAGATAGGCAGTTTAATAAAGGAAAAGTGAATTGTTAAAATGTTTTGATCCTTTACTATTTAGATCTTCAAAACTCCGATTGCAGAGATATTTTTAGTTAACAGCATGTTTTTTTGTTTAATACTCGCTAATGTAATGAGATCTAGGAAATGTGATTGTGAATGATATCACTTTATTTGAAGATTACAAATAGATGAAGATTTCACCTTTGCAGAGGTAGACTTATGGTTTACAATAGAACCATTATTTTCCAGAAGCATGAATTCCTATGGCAGAGTTTTTTTTATCATCATCATCATCATCATCATCATCATCATCATCATCATCATAATTTTATTTCTATACCGCCCTTCTCCCGAAGGACTCAGGGCGGTGTACAGCCTATTAAAAGCACAAAGACAAGGAACAATTAAAATAATTTAAAATTATTAAATAATTTCGGCTCAATATTAAAACCCTCAAAAATTTAAAACATCCAATTTAAAATCATTACATTTATAGCCCGGCCTGGCGGAACAGCAGGGTCTTAAGGGCACAGCGAAATACCCTGAGGTTGGAGATCTTACGCATTTCTGGGGGCAGTTCATTCCACAGGGCTGGGGCTCCCACAGAGAAGGCCCTCCCCCTGGTTGTCACCAGCCGACATAACTTGGCTGATGGCACCCTGAGGAGACCCTCTCTGTGTGTGCGAACTGGCCGGTGGGAGGCTACTGGTGGCAGAAGTCGGTCTCGAAGGTACCCAGGTCCTATGCCATGGAGCGCTTTAAAGGTGGTAACCAACACCTTGAATCGCACCCGGAAGACCACTGGAAGCCAGTGCAGCTCGCGCAGGAGGGGTGTCACGTGGGCACAACGGGTTGCGCCCATAACCACCCGCGCGGCCGCATTCTGGACCAGTTGGAGCCTCCGAGTGCTCTTCAAGGGGAGCCCCATGTAGAGAGCATTACAATAGTCCAGCCGGGAGGTGACAAGGGCATGAGTGACTGTGCGCAAGGCGTCCCGGTCCAGAAAGGGCTGCAACTGGCGAATTAGGCGAACCTGATAAAAAGCCCCCCCTGGCCACGGCCGTCATATGCTCTTCAAAAGACAGCCGTGCGTCCAGGAGGACACCCAGATTGCGAGCCCTCTCTGTGGGGGGCAGCAATTCACCCCCAATAGTCAGCGATGGTACCAGCTGACTATATCGGGACGCCGGAAGCCACAGCCACTCAGTCTTGGAAGGGTTGAGTCTGAGCCTATTTCTCCCCATCCAGACCCGCATGGCCTCCAGGCAGCGAGACATCACATCAAGGGCATCGTTGGGGTGGTCTGGGGTGGAGATGTACAGCTGAGTGTCATCAGCGTACTGATGGACTCTCGCCCCAAAACCACGGATGATCTCACCCAGCGGCTTCACATAAATGTTGAACAGAATGGGCGAGAGGACCGACCCCTGCAGCACTCCCCATGCGAGGCGCCTCGAGGTCGACCTCTGCCCCCCTGCCAACACAAACTGCGAGCGGTCGGAGAGGAAGGAGGAGAACTACTGCAAAACGGTGCCCCCTATTCCTAACCCCCTCAACCGCTGCAGCATGATACCATGGTCGATGGTATCAAAAGCCGCTGAGAGATCTAATAGGACCAGGACAGAGGAGCAACCCCTGTCCCGAGCCCTCCAGAGATCTTCCACCAACGCGACCAATGCCGTTTCTGTGCTGTACCCCTGCCTGAAGCCCGACTGATACGGGTCCAGATAGATAGCTTCATCCAGGTGCTGGGGAAGCTGTTGTGCCACCATGCTCTCAACAACCTTCGCCACAAAGTGAAGGTTGGAGACCGGACGGTAGTTAGCTAATTCAGCCGGGTCCAGGGAAGGCTTCTTGAGGAGGGGCCTCACCACTGCCTCTTTCAAGGTGGCGGGAAAGGCACCCTCACTCAGAGAAGCATTTATAATCCCCTGGAGCCAGCCTCGTGTAACCTCCCGGGAGGCCAGTACCAACCAGGAGGGATATATGCTGCTGATACCTCAAAAGATCTGATAGGAGACACTCTGAAATGCATGTGCCATTTTAATTCTTGACAAAAACATACTCTATTTAAATGTATTCCTTTTATGTGAATTGCAACAACATACTGTATAACTGAGCTGTCATATCTGAACTAGATAGGAGGAAAAATCTGATTGCTACAAAGATATTGATAATCCTATACTCCAAATTTCTAGACTTATTTTTCTAATTGCTAGGGTGTTAGAATTCACGGAAAACAAATAGAGCAGTGTGGAACTCTGTAGCAAAATTATTTTGTGAAAAAAATCAGATTAGTTCCCCAATACTTTTTGAAACATGTGCATCAGATGAGATCAGAATCATGTAAACCATTTATCTCAATGTAGGTAACCAGTCCAGAAGACAATTTGAAAAACTGTTAAGAGGTTTCAGTGCCAAAAGTGCATCAGAAAACAGCTTGAAATAAGACTAGATAATCCGTATTATAGAGCATTTTGAAATAAGCCATTGCTTGAGCGGCCTTGAATGCTCTTGTCAATAGACACAACAATTGTCCAGGGATACTTCCCTTGGAAATAATAAGATAAGGCTTTTAAAAACTATGTAGCATCTCAAAATATGTTAACAATGAAAATAATTGGCAAGTAAGTTTGTGTGTGTGATGCAGTTTACTCAATTATATTTTTAAACCTGATTTACTGTTATGTGACTTTTTGTTTTTAAAAACTGAAACACACTCAATGTAGTATTTGGGATACAAGTAAAAATATGATTCCATATGTGGCCCAAGCAGTATTCTAGGGGGAAATAGAAACAAAGTCAAAAATCAAGTGTAATACTTGTAACTAAGTATGTTATCTTTAAGTAAAATTAACTGCTGCATGTACATAGATAATGGGAAATTGCATCAATACCATCTTAGGCTTTGCATAAGTATATTCTTCTTATAAAGTAGCATACTGTAATTTATTTCCTTTTTTCCCCTTTTTTGCTCTTAGCTCAGTAGAAAGTGTTTTGAAGACTCTTGTGAAAAATTGTCGACTGTAAGTACTTTAACCATTTTCAATTTTTATGTACTTTTTAAACTCTTTTGCTAGTGATACTACCTTGCATATATGTAGCTGTCTTCTTTATGAAATTGAAAAAACTATGCGTTCATAGGGCCTTGTTGCCAGTAACAGGAGTCCTCTGGTTAAGTTGTACCTTTAGTGGTGGAGTAGAAAATTGTGTCAAATAAATACGTTGCTTAGAATGCTAACAAGATTTAGCTAAAAAAAGTTTGGAAATCTCCCATTACTGAAAATTATCCCTACTTTATATATGAGGGCAACAAAGGGCCGGATAAAGTGACTATTTGACCTTTACATTTCCATGATTAAATTTCAAGATATCTTTTGCATTATTTTAAAGTGTTTTAAAATTTGCAAAATTGCAGAAATTACAATGCATGTATCTTAAATAATTATCATGCCTGCATTAGATCATCTTATAGAACCGTGATGGCAAACCTATGGCACGCATGCCAGAGGTGGCATGCAGAGCCCTTTCTGTGGGCATGCGTGCTGTCGCCAACTGGTCTACTGGTTTCCATCGCACACATATGCACTGGCCAGCTGGTCTTCCCACGTGCTGGAGCGCCAGCCAGCTGGTCTTTGGGTTTCCGATGCTCCGGCGCACATGTTCCAATTTGGGCACTTGGTGCCAAAAAGGTTCACCATCACTGTTATAGAAGATAGCACTTCAGTGATTTCAGTGTGTTTATTTGAACTGGAGAAATTCTGATTCCTAGCAGTTGCCCTGAAATACCATAGATGGTTCACAAAGTTATTTCAAAGGATAATGCAAAATACAATGAGAACGTTTCTATTAAGAAATTAGAGTTCTGAGCTATACAATGCTTTAGATTTTATTTCAGAAAACTGCTCAGAGAACAAGGAGCGTGAACATAGGACATATTTTTGACTCATTTAATTGTAACAGACCTATAAAAGAGAATATTTGTAGCTCAGAATTGAAATGTGGGGCCTTGGTTCTCTCTGAGCTTAGTTGTTTTCTTGCAGATGTTTCATAACCCAAACTACAGTAGATAACATTATCAGTGAAATGTCTCCAAGAAAACAACCAGACTCAGAGAGCACCAAGGACCCCTCATTTAAACTCTGAGCTACAAATATTCTCCTTTATTGGGAGTGGATTCTCTTGGATATAGAAGTCTAATTATGAAATGCCTACTGTATGAGACAAACCTGGCAAGTGCAGTGATTTTATTTCCATGCTGTGAATATCTAGCTAGTATATCTTTGTCTCAGAAACATGTTTAAGTTGTACTTTTTATTGTTATATTGTATCTCAGATTTATTGATAGGGATTACTTATAAGTAAGTAATATATGTTGATGCAAAAATCCTTTTTCTTGTTAGTTATTTCCCAGAAAGTGCCACAGCAGAGATGTTAGACGAATGGCGGCCATTAATGTGCCCTTTTGATGTTACCATGCAAAAAGCTATCACTTATTTTGAACTGTTTCTACCTACCACTCTTCCTCCAGAGTGCCATCACAAAGGTTTTAAGTAAGTTGCTTTGCAGCATTTTATATAATGTTCTATTTCATTTAAAGCTGATGTTTGTGAACATCATGTTTGTTTGCTTTACTATCACATGTAATAATTACTATTGTACTGTCTTATACTTTTTGTTTTGAATGCTAAATTTTAAGTTTACCAATTCACCTAAAAATTCCTTCTCTAGAAACAGTAGTCTAGTGTTTTTTTTCCCAGTTAAAATTATTTATTCAGTGAACCAGTACCATTCTATTAATATTGTTGCTTAATTCAGTTGTTGATAAAATTCTGGTGCTAGGAATTCTGAAAGTTTATTAATTTGTTGTACCAACTATAATAAAAACTCTGAAGCAAAATTATATTGAAATTCTGAGCCTTAACAAGCCAATCCTCTTAGTGTCCTGCTTTTGGTTCAAGTTCCAGGGCCTATGTCCAGATGTTGTGAGGTTGTTCAGTTATCAGAACCTCATGAAGAGAAAAAAAACATATTGTACTAATAATGCCTTGCATTTTACATTTATACAAATACAAATAGCCTTCAAATGTCTTCTAAGCTTAAGGGGCCTTTTAGAATGCTTTGCCATGTGCAGAAATCTGACTAATTAAGTTCCTGTCACTGATGTGGTTGAATAAATTTGGCATCTTTGGTACACTTAGTGTAATGTGTGACTTGTTAATAATGTAATATTAAATTTCAAAGTTTAAAAAATAATACAGTGAATTAAAGTTTTTTAATTTCCTTGTGACAGCTCGGATTCAGTCAAGGCTTCTTACTAACATTTCACATATCCATGAAGAAACCCTAACAGACAGTTCGTTCTAGCAAGCAAATAAACAGAAGTGATAGTTTGGTTTTCCATAAGAAAATGTTGTAGGAGAAGGAGCTGTTGAGCTAGATTTCTTTTTCCACAAAGGAAAGGAAGAACTAGGAGAACTTTGATGTAGAATGTGTAAAGATAGGCTTCTAATATGGATATAGGCAGAAATGGCTTTGAAAGTTTATTATTTTAATGAAAAGTAATGTGGGCTGGTTTTTCTAACTTACAAAGGATAGTATTGGATGATAAAGCCTTGTTAGCTTCAGGGGACTTCCAGAGGAGATTGCTAAAGAAAGTAAATTGAGTGAGAGTCAGAAGACGACTCACTGAAGACTTAAAAAGGCAACTGTGCTATGGATCTGCTACTCAACTTCCAACTTCCAAGGATTATAGGTAGATGAAAGAGGCCACGTACTGCCAATCAGAGTCAGGAGACGTAGCTGTGCCAGACTGTACCAGAAACAATGCCAACAATATCCTTAGAGTAGAATATAGGGCAGGTGTTAGAAACAGCCATGTAGATGTACTGGTTAGGTTAACATAACTTGAAAACGCAGTAGGAGAAAATTGAGGCTGCAATTTTGAATACAGAAAAAATATGTTGCAATGCCCTTTTAATCTCAAGTTGCAAATATCTTGAGAAAGACAGTCTTGAGAAAGAGTTGGAACAAAAGTTATCGTGTCTTGTTTACTAGTAAATAATCTTAGCTAAACAATATGGTGAAATCAACAGGAGTTTGCTTACTTGGATGTGTTTCCTAAATAAATGGAAAAAAAGTTCTAAAGTTATATCACTATGTTCTTCATCAAATACTGAGAATTTCCAAAAGTCCCAGTGATATTATTTTTGTTAGTAAAGTATACTAACAGAGACTGGACAGGATTGTATGACAGGTGCCCAAGAAAACTAGGCTGATGAGGCAAGGCACATTTTTCTGTGTTCTGCAGATTGTGGGAGTATTATGGTCAAAAAGGCAGCTGGGTATGAGATCCAAACTGCCAAAATTGTCTCTGGAACAGATACTGCCCAAAGGTATCTGAACACCTGATTTTTATGAGTAGACGGCAGAAATCAATGTTTTACAGCCACTACTTCGGCTGTGAGTTGTGAGTTTCATCATGCTCTCAGCCATAAATGCAGCCTTTCATGTACTCAAGGTTTGACCAAACCTAATCTTTTTAATCACTTCAGACTTTTACTTTTTTAATTGCCCCTTTTAAGATTGAAAAACCTTTGGAACTGCAAATCTACCAGTTTCTGGTGAGTTTCCTTTCAATCCATTTAAAAAGGAAGAAAATTATGTCTTTTCAGCTTTGTAAGATCTTTATTATTTGCATTTTTTTGCCTTGATTTACAACTTCAGTGACGTATGACTGAAACACTGGTTCCAGTTCAGTTGTAATTGTAAGATGAGGACTATCTATACATACTTTATATACATACACAAAAGAAAAAGTATGGGAAAACATTAAAAAATCTCCACAAAAAGATAGTAAGAAAAAAACTTCCCCTTTCATCCCAATTAATCTGATTGGCTGTGATTATTTAATAGAATTTCTTCTATTCTTCTAATAGAATTTCTTAGTGCAACTATTGAGTTGTCGAAGTTAGTGTATAGTTAACTGCATTAAGAACATTTAAAATGTTCTTCATATTTGCTGGTCTCATGAATTGAGGTAGTTGCATATATTTCTCCATGTTGTTCCAGATTGTCCTTGAATGTGCTTAATAATTAGCTTCATAGTTCAGCTTCTCTTTGGATTTATCATTTCAAGGTCATTTAAGCAATTCCCTCAATTGCTGATTTTTTTCTTTGGGATTGTACCTCATAGGTCATTGATTGTTTTATAAATGGTTGTTTTATTTTGCAGATAACTGTTCCTAAGAAAGGATATCATTTCATAACAATTTTTATACTTCCATTTCTTTTTTTTTGATAGATTATTTTTCTTTGGAGGTAGGCTCTGTTTTACCTATGTTATCAGTATATGTGTCATAGTATTTATATGTCTTTCCTTTGTGAAGTCTTATAACATACAGAAGACTCATGAATGTTGTCTGTCCTTAAAGATTGATTTGGCATTCAGCACCTTTAGATGCTTGAACTGATATCTTAGGCGCCAGTAGATAGATAAGCAGAAGATAGGTATCATTATGACTAAATGAGTCCTACTATCTATAAAAAATCTCGCCCTTCTCTTTCCCCATATATACCTATGAATATAGGTACCAGCGCTACTGGAGAAGGATAATAAGTATTCCACAAACTTGCAAATTTAAAAACAAAGACTTTATTCCAGGTTAATGGTATAACATTTAAGATAACCATTTAACTTTTCATTTTAGCCAAAATAATATCGTACATATAGAGGCACACACATTCTAAGGCAAGGCTGCTCTCTGAAGCTATGATTGGGTCTCACACACAAAACTCCCACCCATTTGACCAATTCTGCCTTCATCTTCTTATCAAAGGATGCTGTTCGCTTGTCAAATTAATGTCTGGAGGTAGTTTTGTAATAACAAACAAAGCTTTCCTCAAAAATTAAACAAAAATGGTACCTTGGGTAGAGAGCTGAATTTTAATGCATGGAAATTTATATCTAGTCTTATATGTTATTCCCTCTGAATTACCTAGTATGCAGTTCGGGAGTTTTAGATTTATTGCTGGCCAGAGAAGCTAAGCCAGGAGTTAGTTTATTTATTTTTGTCAATAGCGATTCTAACTCAATAGACCAGATCTTGCATAGTTATCTGTGAAATAATGGTTTGCACTGATTGGGTACAGAAAATGCACTAGCAGTTTTAACATCTACAGTGTCTGGGATCACAAACAGTATCTTCATCTATAACAGTCTTGTCTGCAATTTAAAATAATTTAAAATCAGCTTCAGAGGTTTGTATGCCTGCCTACAAATATGATCAGACTTTAAGCCAGGGGTGAAATGCTACCGGTTCGGACCGGATTGCCTGATCGGTAGCGATGGCGGTGGGTGGTTCGGCGAACTGGTAGCAAAAATCCTTCTCCCCCACCCATGCCCAGCTGAGCCACGCGATCCTCAGAGGCTGTTTTTTTAAACTTTTAAAAGCATTTTTTCTACAATCTCTTTGGCTGAAAAAATGCTTTTAAAAGTAAAAAAAAAGCCTCTGATGATCGCGCGGCTCAGCTGGGATCGTCAGAGGCTTTTAAAAGCATTTTTTTCTGCAACGCCTTCGGCCGAAGAGGTTGTAGGAAAAAAAATGCCTTTAAAAACCTCTGGCGATCCCAGCTGACTTGCCTGATTGTCAGAAGCTTCTAAAAGCATTTTTTTCTGCAACCTCTTAAGGTTGTAGAAAAAATGCTTTTAAAAGTTAAAAAAAAAAAGTTGGCCACACCCACACAGTCACATTATCCCCCCACCCCACCAAGCCACACCCACAGAACCGGTAGTAACAAATTTTAGATTTCACCCCTGCTGTAAGCTTAGGAAATAAGGCCTTTCTTATTTTTGTCCAGTTTAAGTGGGTATTGCCAAATCATGGCAAATTTTTAATAAGGTTCATATTTTAAACTTTTATTTATATTTAGTTACTCAACACAAATGTCAACATAAATGTCAACTTTTTCCTAACCAACTTCTAAAATTCAGTTACGAAAAAATTGAAATGTCAAGGAGCCTCAAGTGTTTTAATCATTACAAAGAATATTAAAATATAGACTGTATTTACAGATTGCTTAATATGAAATTGATGTACTTCTTTTGTGTGTGTACATGAAGGTTGAAGTTTTCCTTTGTCTTTTCGAACAATTAAGGCAATTTTAGCATGTTGCAGTTCTCATGTGTTGTTTGCTTCAAAATTGAGGAAAACCAAGTCACTGATTATCTGTAATTCACTGATGAAATTTGATGGTGTGATCCAGTGGTGGGTTGCTCCCGGTTTGCACCGGTTCCCACGAGCCGGTAGCGGTGACGATATGACGTCACTGAACCGGTTCTCTCCCCCCGCCCCTCCACCCCCCCACCCCACCCCGCGTTATTCTTACCCTTTATTTGGCCCCACTCCCAATCTATTGCTGCCTCCTGAGTCCCAGCTGATGGCTAGAGGGAAAAAAACTGTTTAAACTCTTGCCACGGGGCTTCAAAGGGCCGCCCTACAGCTGATCAGTGTTAAAAGAAAACAAATGAGTAGCTATGCTAGGGAAAAAACGAAACTGAAAGTAAAGCAGGCTCTGCTGCAACGTGACAAAATGAGGCAGAGAGAGATTTCTTTTTCTTTTTCTTTCTCCTCACCAAAAAAGGTAGGTGCAAACAATGGGAAATTTAGGGAAAAAGAGGAGAGTTCAAGATTTTAAAACACAAAAGAAAAAAAGCTCTATTTAACTAGGGAATTGTAATAATTGAGATACTATTAATTGTATATTGTGTTGAAAGCAGAAATGGTTAAGTTGTGGTTTGGAGGAATATACGGGGGAAATTATTTGGTTTATTATTATTGGTAAATATAATTAATGGGATTTGTAAGAAATTGGATTGCATGGAAATAATTGGAATATTCATGTTCATATTGATTACTATACAAAAAAGATAGTTATATAACTAATTGATTTATATTAAAATGTTGATAATATTACATAATTAACCAATGTGAGGATGGATATAAAAATAGATGACAATGGGAAGGGGTATAATATAGAATAGAAGGGAAAAATTGAATTTAATTAAGATTAGAGATGAGGATGAAGGGTAATATTGGTTTTTTAAAAAAATAGATGAGGAATAAATATGGCAAAAAGGAAATATAGGAATTGTAAATTTAATTGAAATGACTAAACACTGTTTAAATTTGTGTACCGGCCAAATACTCTGTTCAACATGCAAATGAAAGTAGCTGATGTCTTAACAATTAAAAGAGATTTACAAATAACAAATCAACAGTGGTCTAGTGATTAAGGCACCAGGCTAGAAAACAAGGGATCATGAGTTCAAGTCCCACCTTAACCATGAGAGCCCAATGCACCTCACAGGGTTGTTGTGGGAAAAAACAGGAAGAAAAAGGTCTGTTGGATATGTTTGCTGCCTTGAATTGTTTATATAAATAAATAAAACTTCTCCATAGTGGATTTACAAAAGAGACTTGAAGATTGAGTCAGCCTTGAGCCGGTCACAATTGAACTCCTGGCTATGGGCAGAGTCAGCCTGCAATACTGCATTCTACGGCTATGCCACAATGGCTCATGAAAAAAATCAAATTCCTAGGACATTATTTGAAGGGATTAAGGGATTAAGATTGTTAAAAATCAAAGAAGGAAACACAAAGTTGATTTTTTGTATCAAGATTAAAATAGATATATTATTATATCTTGTTAACCTTATGGACTTTGGCTGATCAGGACTGAACAATGAGGTTTTGAGGATTTGTTTATAGATAAGAGATGGGATAAAGGAAGAAGAGATCATTTGTTCTATTTTAAGAGAAGGTGATAGGTTACTACATTTGTTTATTCTTGTGATGAAGGGTGAAGTCATTTCATTATAAATTTCTTATCTTTTTATTTACTATTTTTTCTTTTCTGGTTTTCTTTTCTACACCTTCTATTTTCTAATTTCTTTTTTTAATTTGTATTTTTATTTTTAATCATGATTTTTAATAAAATTACTATTAAAAGTTTGTACTGTAAAGATCGTTTCCTTTCTCAAATTCTACAACCAGCAGTATGGCTGGAGATTTGTCAGATGGAGGATATCTAATCTGTGTGACCTTAAATGCGCTTAATTTTGAACATCATTTTTCTTCACTATGCATAATAAAAATCACTTTCATAGATAAGGTTATGCCCACACACTTTGTTTTTGAAATCTATAATGTACTAATAATGTATTATTAGATATTGGGAACAAATTGTTTTCACATATTAAAATTCTGTTGGTGGGATTTCATTGTCTTTCAGGCTCTGGCTTGATGAATTTCTAGGCCTTTGGGTTTCAGTTCAAAATCTTCCACAATGGGAAGGGGTAAGTAATGTGCCCCGCCTATTTTCCCCACTTCTTTTTACTACAAAGATGGTATGTAGATAATTGGACTAGAAATAATGGTGCCTTGAAAGATTGAAATAATTTTAAGGTTTTTAATCTATTAGTAGTACAATTATAGATTTTGGATATTAATTGTCATGCTGTGCAGGAGTTATTTTTTGTTTGAATGCTATGGTTCCTTTAGGCTGAAAATCCAAACCCAAGCCTAATTATTATAAATCTCTCAAATCACACCAATATATATTATATCTGCATGGATATTGTGCAGGTACAATATTATTTATCATTATCTTTATAATGACTACAATGATTTATATCCATAATGGCCATCTTGGACATTTTGCCTTTATGAAGTTTTATAATGTCATAAACTTATAATTAAAATTTTTTAAATCTTAAATTAATTTCAATATTTTAATGTTCGTTTTATACATGGTTTTATATGTTGCTTATATTGAAAACTGCCCAGAGCCCCTCTTTGCGGGAGATGGATGGTTTAGAAACATGAAATATATATAAATAAATAATTCTGTAATGATAAATAATAAACATTTACTTCTTGATTTAAGACTGTAATTTTGCCCAGAATCATTCATAAGTCATTGCAGTCAATAAGCAGGTCACCATATGACCAGATCTAATTTGATTACAATTTTGTGGCAGTTGTTAAGCAAGCGTGATGGTCCTTAAGCGAATCCATTTTTACCCAGTGGGTGGTTTTTGCTGGAAACCAGAAGCAAATATTTTTATAAAAACTAGCAAAAAAAAATCTTAGGAACTTCTTGAGCTGCAGTGCAATCCTCTTCTCAAACCTTCTCCAAAAAGGGAAGATTGGAGATAGTAAGAAAATTATCCAATAGGATGGAAACTAGTGATGACCTCTTAGGAAGAGGGCGAACTACAGCCTCCTTAAAAAGTTGGGTCACTACCTCTTCTTGCAGAGAAACATTAATCACTGCCAGAACCCACCTGCATGTGACCTCCTGTGTGACAAGGGAAGAGAAATTCCTCTTTCTCATAATCTTTCTCTATTTGTATCAGTTGATGAGGTTAGGTCTTTGTAAACCTTGGCCTTGATGAATCTGGGTTTTCGTCTGACATAATGGTATTTTAGCAGTGCAGTATAGAATCCTAACCAAGGCCTACCCTAATTGAAATTTGTCTATTTTTTTAAAAAAATTTGATTTATATGCTGCCCTTCTCCGGAGACTCAGGGCGGCTTACAATGTGCTAAGCAATAGCCTTCATTCTTTTGTATATTTATACAAAGTCAGCTTATTGCCCCCACAACTGGGTCCTCAATTTACCTACCTTAGAAAGGATGGAAGGCTGAGTCAACCTTGAGCCTTGGCGAGATTCGAACCTGCAGTAATTGCAGGCAGCTGGTCTTAATAACCAGCTTAATAACAGGGTGCCTTAGACCACTGTACTACCAAGGCCCTAATATTGCAAATTTATCTGGGAGAAATCTGTTAAGAGAATTCATTGTTATTACTTTCTGGTTCTATATTCTCTTGCTTTTGTGAGAAATCTATGGCTTTCTTGATGTTGCAGAATGGTAGCTCCCCATAGCTTCAAGTCAGGATTCAGCAACCCCTGGAAAGCCACATGTTCATCATCTTTACTATATTATCACTAACCCAGGATCTATTATTTTAGTTTCTAATAAACCAAAAGGCCTTCTCATCCTGTTTATGCATCTCAATATTATAGTTATTCCTTTTGTAAACATTCTTTATAATTATATTTCTTTTTTCTTATTAACTCGTGTCCCACCTGCTATCCTTTATGATCCCATGGTGTATGATGAATATCTGGTCCTACTTCTTGAGAAAACTACAGAAAAAAGCAGGAATAAACCTTATTGCTATACTAATGTTGTTGTATCATGAAAATGTGGTCTGTGCTTTTTTCTCTCTAGCATCTAGTCAACCTTTTTGCACGTTTGGCCACTGATAACATAGGCTATGTCAACTGGGATCCCTATATTCCAAAGGTAATATTTAATATGAAAATATTGCAAATGTTAACAAGAAAACCTTGCAAGTGCTTTCTCTGTTGATAAAACATGCAGTTTCAATTCATTCTGTTTGTTTCTGTCTCTGTCTCTTTCTCTCATTATTTTAGCTCTGAAGATAAAAATTGTGTACCCTAGCTTAAATATATTTATTACATTTAAAATCATTTATCTGGTCAATATAGTTGAAAAGTTGTAATTTATAACTTTTTTGATTAATATTGAACTTATTATTAGAAGGGCAGGGTTTTTTAAATTCTCTGTCTTACCCTATCTGTAAATTTCTCTTAACTACAATATGTTTAAGTCTTAACTATATTTTAAGGATTTTTGTTTATATAAAAGAAAAAAAAACATATGAGTGTTATTTCTACTGATCTATTCCCTTTAAAGTGTGGCAAACAAAATTATCACACTGGGGCCTTGAATTTTAATCTACTGTCATGATATTTGCTGGGATTCCTGTTTCTTGCTATAAAGAATAAAACTTTTGAAGAATTAATGTAGTTCTAAGCTGCAGGAATGTGATTGTAATGGGGAAAACAGGACCGTGTTATTTTTATATTTTTTTAGCAGCCATGGCATCTGTCATGTTTTATAATATAATTTCTGTGAAGTGAAGCTAATTCATTCCTTAATTACAACATTTTGTTGCAGTTTTAAAATTCATTGTGATTATGATTAGCTTCTCTTCTCTCTCTAAACAGTAATGTTGAGAGCTGGGTCATCAGATTTAGTGTTCAGACCAGAAATTGATTTTGCAATACTGAATACTTGGTTCACTTTAAAGGAAATATCTAGTGGGCTAATTGAATTTCTTTAGCAATTTATGTAGATGCTTTCCAGATGCTTTTGGCCTGCATGATGCCTGTCAACAATTTGTCAAGATGTGAAAGTGGCTGCTGTGCAATAGCAAATGTGCATTAATACAGAGATATCTCAATATAGATTGCTAAAGCAAAAATTTCAGTTTTCCACCATATGAGTTTAATTTGAAGAGTTTCCCATTAGTTCTGTGCTAGTATCAATGCCACCTCTTTTAATCAAGCTTTTGTTTGTAAATCGAGTATTTTGAAGATTGGGTTTTGAACGTGAAGATAGTTCAAAAGTCTGATTAATTTTATAACAAAGTTCAGATATTCATGATACAGTTTTGTTATTTAATTTCCCAATGTCCTTTTCTGCAGATATTTACTAGAATACTACGTAGCTTGAATCTTCCAGTAGGAAGCAATCAGATGATGGTTCCACGATTCCTAACAAATGCTTACGACATAGGGCATGCAGTTATGTGGATCACAGCTATGATGGTAGTATCTTTTTTTTAATAAGGACATTGAGGAAGCTGTACAGTTATGTAGATATATAAATAAGTCAACTTATTTGACTTTTAAATTAATTATTACTTTAATGAACATCAGATGCATGAAAATAAGCAAGATCTCAGATGGATAATTTCTTTTTAAAAAGCCTGAATTACAATATTTGGAACTGTCTTTGTACTGTACACAAAATAGCAATAACTGCTTTACAGGAAGCATATGTCCTCAGGACTGTGAGGGCAGTTCATAGAGACTTCCAGGAGAAATGATGGAATGTCTCTGTCCTTTCAGTTTTCATTGTTGAATGTCTCTTCAGTATTCAAAAGAGAGCTTTAGAAGAAATGGTCATCACATTTTGACTATAATTTGGTAGTATGTGGAGGACAGATAAATTGTTTGTTCTGATTAACAACTTGTTGGTTAAATTTTATTGGATAATTGAATTTCAGCTTCTTAGCTATATGGCTGTTGTTTTCTGTTGTAGATAATTGTGAGACCATGGCCTTTATCACCTTATCTACATATGTATAATATTTAAAAATACCAGTTTCTTCACCTATTTGTTCAGTAACTGTTCAAAGGTATGATAGTGCTGAAAAAAGAACTTCACAGCCCATTTTTGATTTTCACAGCATCTCTTGGTCACGTGATCACCATTATAGTTAGTACATGTTATCTTGTGCCTAACCTGTGTTTTTTCTCCCTCACCACCCTTGCAGAACAGAGAGATTGGAGAAAAAGGGATTTCAAGACAGTAAGCAGTTTGTTCTTCTACAGATAGAAAGGAATACGATCATATCTATAGCAGGAAGGGATCAGGCAAAGGAAAGACTGCCTACAGAAGTTGCTTGTTTTTTTCTCCCTGCTCCATCCCCACCAGAGGAGAGATTAGAGACATAGGAGTTTCCTAAGCCACTAGTCATAGGGTACAAATAAGCAATCAGGAAACAATATCAATATAAATCGTAAGGATACATTTATTTACATTTATTTAATGTAAGAATACGTTAGGAGGGCAATCAAGAGGTAAGATGGCCGGCCTATAAATTTTACAAATAAATAAAGGTAAAAAGTGTAAAACTGAGTAGTTTTGTCTCTTTCCAGCCAGAAAGCACAGTTGTGGACATGTGATTTCCCACTTAGCGAAGCTTTGGTTAAGGCAGAGTTGTCAGTCCCTATTAAGTGAGGGCTACCTATACTGGCAATCACGTGACTGAGGGAAACTGCAAAAGTTGTAAATTCCAGCATTGGTTTTAAAGTTGCCTTTTCAGGTCCATTTTAAATTTAAACAGTCACTGAACGAGGCAGTCAGCAAGAAAAGTGTATCTATACATTGCATTTATTGCAAAGATTTTTTTTTCTACAATGAGAACAGGACCACCAGCCCACCCAAACAATAAAAAAGAAAAGGAAAGATACTTATCAGAGAAGATGTCATTATTCAACCCTTCTCTCATATTTATATCTCCTTAAATGTTGTTTCTCTGAACTTTTCATCTGGCCTGTCCTTCAACAACTACAAAAGATTTATCTTCCCTAGAAATGATATCAGAAGACTTTCTAGCCTGCTTCTGGAATGTGTTGGAGAGATATATATACAAAGAATGTCTGTCTCAATTGTAGGGAAATATTTTCACAGTAAATGTAATATGCACATTTAGAGAAATGGTATATTATCACAGATCCTAAAGTGGTATATTTTATTTTAAATAATGTCAATGAAAGAGAATAATCCTTGATTTCTAGGAACTGATTAACAGGAAAAATTACATGCATTATATTATGTTGTAGAGGCTATGATACCTTGTGACAGCTATTTTACAATTAACTTACATTATAACTTTGCCTTTCTGGAGTAGAATATCATTCTTCACATATTTCTACATGTTAGAATATGGAAGCCATAACTTTGATGCCTGAAAAAGGTGGACACATTAAACCTGAATTTAAAATGGCACTACAGATTTGGAATTGTATTACATAACTGTGTTATCTCTGTTTTTGGATAGGGTGGACCAAGCAAGCTTGTCCAAAAGCATTTGGCTGGATTATTCCAAAGTATTGCATCTTTCTATCATCCCTCAAATAATGGTCGCTGGTTGGTAAGGATATGTATATCTTCTCTTTAAATCGTGACTTCAAGACTTTAAATTTTGTGTTGGTATAGAATTTTGTCAAACACACATTTTTTCAGACACTAATTTCAATAAAATGTCAATGCTAAATATGATTTTTAAAACATTCTAAGACCAGCAACAACTCTTCTTCCTTCACAGTGCCAACAGTATACATAATGCTTACAGGAAACAGAGTTAACTCATTTGCTTTTCCAGAGATGTTATGATCTACAAATGGATGCAAAACTATAAAAAAGATGGGGCGTAGAAAGTGGTGCTGTTAGGACAAGAATATGCACCTGTTTTTATATAAAATTAAACAGGGAAAATGTGACTATTGAAAAGGAGTGACATGATAGCAGTGTTCCAATATCTCAGGAGTTGCCACAAAGAAGAGGGAATCAAGCTATTCTCCAAAGCACCTGAGGGCAGGACAAGAAGCAATGGGTGGAAACTAATCAAGGAGAGAAGCAACTTAGAACTAAGGAGAAATTTCCTGACAGTTAGAACAATTAATCAATGGAACAACTTGCCTCCAAGGGTTGTGAATGCTCCAATACTGGAAGTTTTTAAGAAGAGATTGGATAACCATTTGTCTGAAGTGGTGTAGGTTTCCTGCCTAGGCAGTGGGTTGGACTAGAAGGTCTCCAAGGTCCCTTCCAACTCTGTTATTCTGTTCTATTCTGTTCTGGCTCTGGAAGGGAGAAAGAGGTGTCGTTACAGCGGTATTCTGTTTCCAGATATGAGCAATATCAAAGCTGAAAGGATCAGAAAAGCCAGAAATTTAATTTATAAAGAATTATAGTTATAATTCTAGTTATAGTTATCAAAATCAGTGTTCAATTCTTCTATTATCCCTTGTATAATGGGTAATAATAGCTAGATGAGACTATAAAGAATATTAACCACGTGAAAGGTTAGTGAAGATATAATACAGTTGTTTACTGAGCCTGAAGCATCATTATTAGCAATATTGAACAGTACTAATCAGGCTTTCCTTTCACTATAGCTCAAAATTATGTATGAACCAAGGATAATAGATTTACATAGCCAACAGCAAATTGAAGGGAATTATTTTATGGCTTCTTTCTGGTGCTGTGAACTGTATTAAAAACTGAATAGCATTATGCCTGATCCAAAGTTTTTTTTAATATATTTCAAAATCTGTACATTGTCCAGTTAAGTGAATTTTGCAGTTGCGATAAACTAATCAATGAAATTGTTAAATAAATAAAAAAGTAGATGAGTTAAATGGAAAGGTACAGGGAAAGAAAAAAAAACCTAAGGCTAGTCTTTTCATGTGATGCTTCATTCATAAAAGTTCAAGATACAAGAGTAGTTCCTGCACTCGAAGCTGTCGTGCTGTTTCAGCTGTTGATGCCATGTAGGTTCAGAGACATCATTTGTGGACCAAGTACATGGGTTGTTTTGCTTTTAGATAGCGATTAGAACTGCCTTGGCCCTTAGGCAGATATCAGTCTGCCTGTCATTATGCCAAGATACAGGCATTGAAGTAGGAAATATGTAAAATAAAAGCTGCTTCAAAATTCAGCAAAGCATCAGCTCTGCCTTTGCTTCCATTTAAAAGCACCACTGCCTGCTTGCTAGTTTGCCCATCTGTTGTTTATGCTAATGAGCTCTCCCACTAAATTCCATTGTTTTTCGGTGGGAAACGGCACAAAACTATGCATCACCCTCTGTTACATTAGATTGGATTAGACTTTTGTATTAGAATACTATTAGAATCCTGGAATATGGTTGGCAGAGCTGAATGCCTTCTTAGCTTCCATTCAGACTTGCTGCTGCTGTCAGTAGAGGAATTTTATCGAGTGAATGAGTTTTGGGTGGTGGGTATCACAGGATTGAGGAAGTATGGGAAAGCCATCTGCTTCTCCCAGTAGATAACTAACTAATAGCACCAAGAAAAGAATGGAAGAATATTGTTGTTCTGCAGTGTTATAAAAAGGATATTTCTGTGCTCACAACCTCTCTGATATCAAATCCCAACTCTTTACCAAAGGTTCTGGTCCATCTCTCGTTATGCCCAATACATAAAATATCTTCAAAACATACAGACATTGCTGGCTGCTGAATAAGGGTCTAGATTTACTTTGTTTAATGCACATTAAATGTATGTAGAAATCAAATAGTTTTGATGTAGAAATCAAAATAGTTTTGGCTCTTTTCCTTGTTTCTAATTAACTGGAATGAATTTTGTTGCCTTTCTTTGGTAGAATAAGCTAATGAAGCTACTTCAGCGTCTACCCAGTAGTATAGTCAGAAGATTGCATCGTGAGCGCTATAAGAAGATGAGCTGGCTGACTCCTGTGCCCGATAGCCATAAGCTTACTGATCAGGACATAACAGAATTTGTAGAATGCATTATACAACCTGTCCTGCTGGCAATGTTTAGCAAAACTGGAAGTTTAGAGGCAGCCCAAGCTCTACAGAATCTTGCACTAATGCGTCCTGAGTTGGTAATCCCACCAGTACTTGAAAAGTGAGTACTATCTAAAAGCCAGAGAAAGTTTATCTAGTTTTTAGATGACCAGGAAATGTTATTCTAAGTCAGTATTTTTCCAAACCTAAACCAGTATTTTTCAAGTGTATGGATTTCAGCTTCCAAAATTCTTAGTCACAGTTGTATTGGCTGTGGAATTCTGGGAGTTGAAGTCCACATATCTCAAAATTATCTGTTTTAAATCATTGTCTTTTTTGCTGCAATTTTAAGAGAATCTAGATTTACTATTTGTGTCTCTGTGTATTTACTTTTTGAGATGTATGCTTTAGTTACTGCAATATTTTGTTACTTATTTTATGAGTTTACTTTTAAAAATATTCATGCTGCCATTTCTATCAAAACACAGTTTAAGAACTTTTGACAAGATCAAAGTTTAGGTATAAATTTCCTCACTTTGAAACTTCTACCCTTCCATTTTTATTGGCTTAAACAAGAGCAAATACCATTTAAGAGGTGGAAAAAAATGTGGTTTTGACAACATATCTTGTCTGCTCCCTAAAGTTCTTCAAAAATGCATATGGTAAAACATTTTGGGTCCTTTTTGAAATTGACATTTTAACAAAAAAATGGGTTTCTTTTGCAAATCCTTAAAACATCCATTTTATATTTTAAAACTCCCGAAATTCCTTCTCCAACTGTTCCTTTTTCTAGAATAGAGTCTTCCACATGTTCCACAAAGCTTGTTATAGCCCTTCAGTCAGGAGAAGTTATGAGACCTACAATTTAATTTCATTTTTGTTGTTTCTTAATGTTGCATTGTATATTTAGTAGAAAAAGTATTTGAAATCCCATCTTAGTCTGGTTTTTTTATAATTCCTAAATTTGAGTCATTGAAACATAGAATTTCTGCAAACGGAGTAATGTAATATTAAAACTGGAAAAGTTAGAAAAATGGTTTGGATGTAACCCATGTCTGGCTATAACCCATGTATACCACTTGAAAGTATAACATTTGAACTGATAAAAATCTTTTGTTATTTTTGTTATTTTGTTATTTTTTTTCCCCATAGAACATATCCCGCACTAGAGACATTAACAGAACCTCATCAGCTGACAGCTACGTTAAGCTGTGTAATTGGTGTAGCTCGTAGCCTGGTATCTGGGGGCAAGTCATTTCCAGAAGGTCCAACACATATGTTGCCTCTGTTGATGAGAGCGTTGCCTGGTGTGGATCCAAATGATTTTAGCAAATGCATGGTGAGTGTAATAATTTCAAAGGGTGTTATTTTGCAGTTAGATCTCTCTTATGTCACCTAAGACATAACTACATTTTTCCATTTCATGGATTTCTTTCTTTCGTATTTCAGCCTCTTCCTTACTGCTTATTTTTTGAGCATCTGTTTGGCTGCCTTTATTTCTTCCTCCTTTCATTTGCAGGGGTAGAGTGTACAACAGGAGGAGCAAATAAGGCATAAGCTAACTGCAGTCTTTTCAGTTTATATGTTTTCTGCTAAATCACAATTGATTCCTCAGCATAATTTACATAATCTCTCTTAGCACCATCAGGATTCTCTGCTATCCCTGATCTTTAAAATCATTTTTAAACTATGACCTGCTACAAAGTAAAATAGAAATTTTTATTTTACAGTAATAACTGTGGACTTTATATGGGGCCCAAAACCCCGCATTTCCAAACAATTAAACATGTTGCATGGCTAAAAATTTAGCATTTTGATGCACGCCCAGCTGCCAGAATAAAAGAAAATAGTAAGGTGACAAGAATATGGAATTTACTGGGAATTTAGGGGAGATGATGGCAAGCATTTGTGTGAGACTCTAGTGACTTGGAGGGATTGTAGGGAAGCCCCCCTGCCCCTCCCCATGCTGTGAATGTGTTTTGCTTTTCAGTGTTAGTATGTTTAGCTATGGTTTCTTTTGCCTGGTGAGCCATTCATTTAAGCTTTAAGAGAGCCATTTAAGCTTTGTTAAAATGGATTCATGGTTAGTAGTTAGAATACAGAGCCCATCTATTGTTTTATATTCAGTTCCAGGTCACAGTTTGCCCATAGATAGGAATAAACAACAGAACATAAAACCATAGGTTCAGAATTGTTTAGACATCACCTTTGCCCTACATTTGTGGTTGTTACGTCTTAAAAAAACACTGCCAATTTGCCTTCTGGAAAATGTGTATTTATAACAAGCTATGCCTGTCATGACAGCTGTTTTATGAATAGGACTCTTTTCTTTCAACAGCCGTCAGGCAGTGAAAGCATCAATTTTTCTCAAAATTCACCTAAAAAGGCTGGCAACCTCTGCTTTAGTATATATGGAAATATGAATAGAAGAAACTAAACGCAGTTTAATTTTGTACTAGATGTAATCTGGGTACCTGAGATGTGGGAATATCAGTTTCCCTCCCAATAGAGTTTTGTCATACAATGTTTCAAATATTTGAAGTGATTTACGTTCCTTTTTATATTAAAGTGTATACTTACTACACACTGAAACTTGTTTGTATACTTTATTAGATCACATTCCAGTTCATTGCAACATTTTCTACTCTCGTGCCTTTAGTAGATTGTTCATCAGTACTGCAAGAGAGAAATGATCTCACAGAGGTATCAGTTTTAAAAATTATTTGCTAAATTAAACTGCTTGTGAAAATATTCAAGTACAGATAAGAGTATATAGAATGTAAAAGAATATTAAAACATATATTTTGCTGCTAGTACTTTGTAACTATAAAATTAAGGTTTTCAGTTTAAAAGAAAACAAACCATATGGTCTAAATTTACTAACAAAATTTAGTATTTAGTATTTTGAATATGTACAGAAACTGAGAATTGTATGTTTTGAGAATGCAAGAATTATGTAAAGAACTAAATAAAATTTGGAAATTACATCATGATTTACATGCAGTAGAAAAAGCTTTTCTTGTATTTTGAAATTGTAGGTAGAGAGAGAACTGTGCTCTGCTACTGCTGAATTTGAAGATTTTGTACTGCAGTTTATGGACAGGCAAGTAGTAATGGGAAGCAGATCATGCTGGTGATGTGACAACTCTATGTAATGGCTTGCACGCTGCAGTTGTGTGTTTCATACTAATCTATATTTCTAGTTTGAAAGCTATTCTGAGGGAGAAAATTAAATATAAGAGTCAGAAATTGATGGAGAGCTGGATAGTTAGTTTGACTGATACTTTTTCAACAAAGTTTATAGGCAGCAGTATTTTTGAATAGGGCATCTAGTGATAGTCATGTGGCTGGTTTTTTTTGGGGGGGGGGTAATGGCCAAATACAATCAACTTCCCTCTCTCTCACCTTTATGATATAAAAGGCCACATTTGAGATATTTAAACTTCTAAAGAGTGAAGCAATTTCTCTCCTCTCTTTTTGCAGTTTTATAGTTTGACTAATTTGTTTTGCTTTCTTGAATTTTTTTTTGAGCGGGTTTGAAAATAACTAGAGATTGTCAGTCTATGAAATAAAAATAAAGATAATAAAGACAATAAATAAATATTAAATAAATAAATAACTCATAAACTTTTTATTAGACTGCAAGTCCCTGTGCTTACAAGTTGGTAATTTTTTTTTTTTAAATGAATTTATTTCTTGTCTTCCGTAGTTCGTTGCCAGAAATGATTGAGGGAACATATGCAAATTTTATAGCATATTATTAAAAATAATATTCTACTTCAGCCCACACAAGCAAAAAAAATTGTAGTGGTTTCTTGTTTTGCTAATTATGTTACTTGGTCATTGTTTTTCTGTATAGATGTTTTGGACTCATAGAAAGCAGCACATTGGAGCAAACAAGAGAGGAGACTGAAACTGAAAAGATGACTCATTTAGAGAGCTTAGTGGAACTAGGACTATCTTCTACATACAACACAATCCTCACACAGTGCTCAAAAGACATATTTAAGGTATTTTTCATAAAAGGGAGTGAATATAGAAGTCACAGTTTGCTTTCTATCTTAATTTCCATAAACCCAAAGTTTCTGAAACTCTTAATTTTAATCATATTGTTTGGAGTTTGACCAAAGAAATATAATTTAAGCTGCATTCATGGTGTAAAAAAACATTGCAAAGGGAAAATAAGTATATTGATCTGGGATTCAAAGAACTTTTTCAGTTACACCCAAAGATTTGGGCATACCTAATAGACTTCTTTATTTTATTTTGTTTTAAAATGTCCCTAAGCCAACATTGAGTGATCTTGAAAAGTTTAGTAAGATTAATATTTGGATGGGAGATTGCCAGGAGATCTCAAAGCTGTAGGCTAGACTGGGAAGGAAAAAAAAATCCTGGAAGAAGGCAGTTGCAAACAATTTCCTTTTTTTTTTTGCCAAGAAGATGATACGACTGTATCTGTATAGTTACCACAGTTAGTACAAAGGACTTTTTACCTTTAGTTTTATTTAAAATAACATGCCATGCCAGAATCTGTGAAGGTTGTCCCAGATTTAGAACTGAGTTGGAAAAAGGCATAGCTGACTTGATACTAAGGCTAAAATCTCCTGCAAAACACAAAACTGTAGACATAGATCTTTAGGTCTAAGCAGTTGTTTTGTGCAATCAGTACTAGACCATCTGACTTTTGTAATGGAAAATTTATATCTGGACCAGTGGTAGAACTTTTCTTGTGCTATGCTGACATTTTATATGTAGGGTTTTATTTTTGTTTTTTCGGGGAAGAACATTCAACCAGTTAAATCATCACTAGTGTTTTGACATTGCAGCCCAGTTATAAATACCTTGCTGGGATAAGAAAATCACATGACTACAGGATGTTGCAACATTATTACTGCAATACACACACACACCAAGCGTAGAATTGGGGAAGCCAGCAGGAAAACACAAATGGTGATTACATGTCATTGTGCCTATTGACTTTGCAGAAGTCACCTAATGATGGCTTCTGGAACTGCTGCCATAAGTCATGTAGTCACATGACAACACAGTGTAAGACCACATGACAGTGATGGAGTTTACAGTTTCAATTATTATTGTTAACTGAGGACTATCTGTATCAAGTTTAATTGTTGCTTCTCAAGATAGATTCCAAGTTGGCAAAGTTTAGTAGTAAAATATATTTTCTCTATTTTTCTATAAACTTAGTTTGATGTACAGTATTTTTGTTCCTCTTTAAACAGATGATTAAAATGTAACTGCTGTCTATGTTCTGCCATAGAAAAGAAAGCAGTTCAAAGCCAATCCTTTTTCTTCTTAGTCTGTCCATTAATGCAGTAATATAATGTGCTGCATAATATTTTGAAAGATTAATGTAAAGGATAGGACAGATTCAGCCTAAATCCAGGAAAATAGATGCTTAGTAGGTTCCTTTAAATTGCTGCTGCACACCTGTTTGGTTCATAGGCCACAAACTAGATTGGAGCCATGGTGGCCCAGTGGTTAGTTAGCAGTACTGCAGGCTAACTCACTATTCCAGTGATTCTGAACTGCTCAAGCCTTCCATCCTTCCAAGATCAGTAAAATGAGGACTCAGATTGTGGGGGGCAATATGCTGACTCTGTAAACTGCTTACAGAGCACTATAAAGCACTATGAAGCAGTATTTAAGTCTAAGTGATATTACTATTGTTTGACTATATCTTGGTTTCTAGATGGGCTTATGTACAACCAATCAATATCAATTCTTGCCAATGTACATACAATCCTCAATCCTTGGAACTCATCCAAGATATCATGATGAATGGTATCAAAAGCTGCTGAGACACCTAGCAGAATTAGGTTGAACCTGGATAACCTCATAAGTCTGTCATTTCTTTTGGATTTTCCCAGCCTGTATCTAGTGTTCAATTCTAAATAAATATAAGTGATTTTATCCCTCAGGTGTTTTGCAAATTTATGTTAATAACCTCATCATTGATCTTCCACCTCATTCTTCCCTACAAGGACACCTTAAATAAAGTTGACTATCCACAGATAAATGTGGAATAGTATTGGCATTGTATTGCTCTTATCTTATTTGGTCATATTTACACTTCATTGCCAGTATTGTTCCAGGTGTTTCTTTTGCTTTTTTAATATATTAAAGAGTACCTTCTGATCACCAGATAAGAAGAAGCCACCAAGGTACCATCATGACGAAGAGTTGAAGCCACCTCCTTATTCTAAAGATTGATTAGTGTCATGACAAATTTGATTATGATAAGGGACTGATGCTAATGCCCCTTACCCTCAGATCATATTTATTTATTTATTTATTTATTTATTTATTTATTTATTTATTTATTTATTATCAAATTTATAGACCGCCCTTCTCCCGAAGGACTCAGGGCGGTGTACAGCCAGAGTAAAAAACATAGATACAAACATTAAAAACAATTTAAAAAGATATATATAGGTTTGGCCCCAAAGTTAAAAAACAATAACAAAACATATTAAAAGCATTTAAAAAGCATTAAGCCAGCCCGGCTTGCTGAAAAAGGAAGGTCTTCAGGGCACGGCGGAAGGCACCGAGGTCTTAAATTCTTCGTATCTCGGGGGGCAGTTGATTCCAGAGGGCAGGTGCCCCCACAGAGAAGGCCCTCCCCCTGGGGACCACCAGTCTACATTGCTTGGCCGATGGCACCCTGAGGAGGCCCTCTCTGTGGGAGCGCACCGGTCGGTGGGAGGTCGTTGGTGGCAGCAGACGGTTTTGAAGGTATCCAGGTCCTATGCCATGGAGCGCTTTAAAGGTGATAACCAACACCTTGAAGCGCACCCGGAAGACCACTGGGAGCCAGTGCAGCTCACGCAATTGTTCCAAGAGAAAAACGAGCTACCACATGACCTTGTAGTCTGCTAGGCCCATTATGACCTGGACTTGGTGACTCCTCCAGTAAACATGCAGGTTGAAGTCCCTCTGTATCATGACAAAATCTATCATCAATTCAGTGGTCAGATTCAGCAGGTACGGCATAGACACGACTGTGCCTATGTGCAACAGAGAGGACAGTACAATAGTAGCCATCTCAACTTGTCCCTCAAGCTCATCCTCACAATGATTCTCAGCATAGAATTTCCTGTGTCTCAGAATGGTACTTCCTGGTGCCTTGGGTATGACTCATAGAATTCATGCCAAAAAAGTTTACCTATCGCTGGTTTAAAAATGTTTAAATGCTGACTTTTCTGACACGTTTTCCTTGTGATAGTCATGCATAAACCTAACATGGAAACAATGTAATTCTCGGTATTGATGAATCTTAGTTTAATGTCATAATTTATATCCTTTAAATCAGGATTCATAATTTGTCCATGGCACAATATTTCTGGTTTGGTTATTGCATACATTTTCTTTCTTTTTGTTTTTGTGTAGGTTGCCTTGGACAAGGTTTTCAATTTTGCTGTCTCAAATATTTTTGAGACAAGAGTGGCTGGTCGAATGGTGGCTGATATGTGCCGAGCTGCAGTGAAAGTAAGACTTTATTTTTCTTCTTCTCTTCCTTCTTCTCAGTTAAGATATAACAATAACTTCTCTGTTTTGTTGACACTAGAATGTTTTGCCAGTTCATTAACTCTCTCTGTCTCCCACACAGACTTTAGATAGAATATTCTCTATCTAGTTCTTAGTGCTTTTTCCTTTGTAGAATCAAGGCCATTCAGAAGAAAATATATGTTTTATATCTTTGCTGTGGAATGCTCATAATTTTGTCAAAGTATCTTAATGTAACATTGGTTCTGTCTGATATTTCAGTGCTGTCCAGAGAAGTCTTTGAAGCTTTTTGTACCCCATTGCTGCAGTGTTATAACACATCTCACTCTCAGTAAGTTTCAATGATCTAATGTTGTAACCTGTTTATATATGTAAGTGTATATTGCCTGTTGAAAATTTGAAATATTTTATTTGTAGTTATGTGCAAAAAGTTCTGCTCTGGAGAAGGAATATTTTGGGGGATTCTAGAATTTACTGCTCTTTCTCCAGACCGTACCTATCCAGCTATTCTACCAAAGCCCAGATTTTTTTGGAAGGAAATATCTAGAACTGGAAGTAGCTTTTTAACATTCTGAGCATGTTCTTCCAATAGCTAGAGACAATATATACAATATTCTACTATATACTATACAGTAATTTTATTCTCAAGAGATGGAGATTGAAAACTACCAAGTAAACTTCCATTGCTCAATATGTATTTGTACAGGGTCTTATTTTACCATACTAACTACTATACCACAGTAACTTTGATGGGTTAGGATAAGAGAAGAGATTGGCACAGGATCATTCAGTTATTAATTCAATGATTCAGTCTCACTAATCCAATTTTCATTGCTATATTACATTAATGTAATACATCAGTAGAATAGACAAGATACACTAACTGAAGGCACAAAGTACATCCATGTCTCTAATATTCAAGAGAATGTTAGAGAATATATTTAAGTGCTGAATGCTGATTTTGAAATAACAATAGGTGGGCCCAAAGCTGGTAGGCTTCCTTTAGTAGAAACTTGAAGCAGTGTATTTATATGAGGAAATTCTGGCTGTTGTACTGTTTTTGCCTTAAACAGTTTATTTATTTATTTAATTTATTTATTAACAATTGGAATCATTTACTGCAAGAAATTAATGGGTAAAATAGCCGTTATTTTCTGATTTAAAATTTTCTTCTCTATCATGACCCATGTTGGAAAAGTACAGGAGACATCCTAAGATCCATCTGGGGGACTGAAATATATCTATATATATTATTTGAAAGAGAATGTGCAATATAAAATAATAAGCTATTCACATGTTTATTACTTGTAACAATTGCAAAATGTTCACTTCACATATGAATTTGAAGGGCTAATCTGCTTGTGTGAATGGCACAAAGATATCTGCAAACATGTATAAGCAACCATGTTTCTCACTTAAGCTTCTTGTATGTCTTTTGCTTAAATAATAAGATTTCTCAGAAATCAAAATTGGAAACAATTGAAGGCAGACAAGGAGGCTTAGATATTGAAGAACTTTTAATTCGTTTTTTTGAGAATATGCTAATTTGGGAAGGGAAACATTGTGACATACTTCTGAATGATGACTTGATTGAAATTTCTCATAGAATTATTAGGCAGCCAATTATATAAGACAACATTCAGACTACTTTGTAGAGGTAACATGCTTAATTTTTATCCAGAAAATGAGTGTAAATAATGTAGATATAGGTATAAGAAACAATTAAAACAGAGATATTTTATGTATTTGTCATCCTATAACAGAAGACTCATATGAACATATGTCTTTATATATTTATATATATTTTCCATTTTCTAGTTGAATCATAAAAACATTTCATAGCATAGCTTGCATCATGAGTAATCTAAACAAGAATCTTCAGAACTGTGAATGTTATTATCTGTACATGCTGCATCATAGTAACATTGAGGTATAATATATTTCATATTTAGATGATGATGCGTTACATGATGAAGAATTAGATAAAGAACTCCTCTGGAATCTTCAACTTTTATCAGAGGTATTTATGAGAAATTCTAGCTTTAATTTTCAATATATTTGATACATGTTTTAGTTTCAATATATGAAATAACAAACAGAAATTTCCTTATGAGGGAGGAACATATTTAAGGCCCAAACTACCAGTATTTAACTAGACTTGTGTGCTAGATTGAATCACCTATAAAGCTCCTATAGAGAAGAACAGTGAGTTTTAAATCTGATTTGAGAGAGGAAATATAATAGCTTGAAGTTCTAAAACTATTAGTGAAAAATAGTAGTATTGTTTTCAAGTGTTATGTGTGTCCCTACTTAGGAATTAATTCATAGAACTATAATGTTGGAATGGATCTTAGAGTTCTTCAAGTCCAATCCTTTCCAGACATGATTCCTGATATCATCCAAGACAAATACCCAATCTTTGCTTGAAAATCTCCAATGATAAAGCATCCATGACTTTAGGAGACATGCTGTGCCACTCCACTGTTTAATAGCTTTAATGTTGAGGTAATTCCTCTCTCTCTATTTCCATTTTGGATTTTACTAAAGTCTATATTTTTTGTTTTTGTCCTGCACTTAGGAGTTATGGAAAATAAATCCATACCCTCTTCCCTGAAAATAGTCCTTTAAGTATTGGAAGAGTATTCTCAACTCCCTCTCTTATTTGGCTAGACACAGTTTCTTTAACTGTTTTTCATGCATTCAAGCCTTTTGTCATCTTTGCTGATTTTCTTTCCAGTCTTTCTTTTTGATCTTCATTTCTCTTCTGACTCCCCCTCCCCCCCCCCCCCCCCCAGCAGTTTGGCGTCTGACAGGTTAGGATACTCCAGCCATTTCCCTGTTTCTCAACACTATCTTGCCATCTTCTGTGACCAGTGGATTCTGCTTCCTTGACTTTCCTTTGCTCTGAACATATTCAAAGAACAGTTTTCATTATTTTTGGCATTCAATGCCAGCCTGAGCATATTCTGAGTCTTCCTAACATTATCCTTATTAATATGGACTGTTCCCTGATGCTCTGTTTTTGTTGTACATTCCCTTCCATTCTTCAAACTTAAGCTATATTTCTCAGCTTATTAGCTCTTTATATAGCCACACTGGTTTCCTCAGGTGCCTACTATTTTTTTCTTTCTCTTTGTTAGGTAGATTGAGCTTGGGCCTTAGTATTTCCTAACCCTCCCTTCTTAGTTCCTAATACTCCACAGAGCTTTCAGTATTGCAACATACTGAGAAAATGTAGAACCCTCTGTTTAAATAGTTTTTATAGACAGCCTTTTATTTTCCATTTTGTTTCCTTTAGTCAATAATGGCATGTGTCACTCATTTGCTGTTCAGTTATTGGTAGTCCTCGTTCAGCAACCACAGATGGGATTAGCAACTCTTGTCACTAGGTGTTGCTGTTGTTAAACATCATGTAATCATGACTTGTGAATTTACGACTGACTTTTTGATTGACTCTGTGGTTGGAAGCCAGCTGTGAAGCTGGCAAATGATGGTCATGTGCCTCCTGGATGTTGCAGTGGTCATAAATGCTGCTAGTTGTGATGTGCCCAAATTCTGATCACATGAATGCAGGGAGGCTGCAACAGTTGTAAGTGTGAGGAGTGGTCATAAAGTTAGTTTTTCAGAGCTATCCTAATTTCAAATAGCTATCCTAATTTCAAAAAAATAGATCAAATGTCTCTTCTGAACTATACATTCACATAAATTCTGTTTGTGTTTATTTCTGATATTTTGACTTTTGCTAGATCACTCGTGTGGATGGGAAGAAGTTGCTGCCATACAGGGAGCAGCTTTTGAAGATTCTGCAAAGAACCCTCCATTTAACCTGTAAGCAGGGTTACATTCTGTCTTGTAACCTACTGCACCATCTTCTTCGTTCTACTACACTTATCTACCCCACAGAATACTGCAGTGTGCCAGGTGGTTTTGACAAGCCTGTTTCTGAATACTTTCCTATCAAGGCAAGGATTTTAACTTACTTAGGACTAGAGAATTTGACTGCATTTTAAAAAATGAAAGTAATGAACAATTACTCTGTTGCATTTCCTCGAAGGCTATTCTAGCTCAATAGCATGGAAAGTGTAAGTGAAAGATGCTATAAGACTAAAAATATGTAATGTTAATTTTATCAGTGTATTTTATTTTTTTATTTGGATGCTAGCACATACCATCTTGAAGGGATGGGTCATGAAAACCAAAATTAAATACATTGTAGTTAATAGTTAAACAACTGTAGACTAGCTTAAAATAACAGGAAATCATTAAGTCTATGTAACATTCCCTATTCTACTAAATAATAAAATTGAGATATTCTTTATTTCATAAACTAGATAGTATTTCTCCATTTTATTTTTAAAAAAACATTTTAACATATTACAGGATAAATTAGTCTATACAGTAAACCTGTTAATTCTGTAATATGACGAATGGCCTTGGTCAGGTACACAAATACGATTAAAGAATATGATGCTAAAGATATGTGCAATACATGTTATATTTTTATAATTTAAAATTAAAATACAAAAAAGCACGATGATATTAAGCATGTAATAAAAAGTAATTGTAGGGGAAGGAGTAGCAGAACCTGAGGACAGAGTTAAAAGAGGGAGGCACCAGCCTGGAATCTCAACATAGCCACACATGAACTAAGTCCATATTTTCTATGTGTGCAGATAATAACAATGCTAAGCAGCAAGACATAACTGAATAATTATAATGATATTTCAGACTGCTTAGAAAGGAACTTGAAAACTGAGTTTTACTTTATGTGTTGAAAACAAGTAACATATATTTTCCATACCTCCTTGTTATATTTATTTCTATCTTAAAATAGCAAATGATCAAGTAGTAACCTGATTATAGGCATGGCAGGGATGAACATACACTGAAGGAAACTGTTTTCAGTGGGAGGAATTCAGTAGATACCATCAGAAAATACAATTTTAAAAATACAAATAATTCATACATCATAAAATGGATTTTGCCAAATATTACTGTTATGAAAGAATTAATATGCTAAATTTTACAGAATGTATCCTGAGCGTAAAGTAAACAAATCCTCAGAATACTGAAGAAATGGACATATTCTGTTTTTTGGAACAGATTGCCTGAGGCAGAAGAAAGTCCTAATTGAGGTTTCTACAGAAGAGAAGAACAGATTAGAAAACATGAACTTAAGATCTGTTGTTTGAATATCATTTTGGATAAACTCCTTGAAATTGGCACATGATATCATCTATCAAGTTTTATGGTTGCTATTTTGTGTGGCATACTTAAGAACTATGTTACTCTGATTACGGTTCCAAGCACAACTGAAAGTGCTGGTCTTGATCTTAAAAGCAGTGAGTGGAGTGTTCAATACATATTTCTCCACCCACTCCATCTGAGTTCATGTGCCTTCTTTTGCTTAATGAATTTGAAGAGGGTTTTCTAAGGAGATCTTTCTGTCATGAAACACTTTCTGTCCTTTGTATAATTATATCATTGGAACTTCTCTAGCTTTACTTAAAAATGGTTTGATTTTATGAAATCATTTTTTTTTGTTTTTTATATTATAATATTTGTGATTTAAGTTAAATTGGAAAAAAGGAATGTAATTTGTTTAACCCCCCCCATAAATTTAACTTTTTTTTAAAAAAGTAGTCTAACTGGTGACCTTAATAAGTTAGTTAATTGAATATTAATATTCTTTTAATTCATCTCTTGCCAAGTCAAGTGTTTAAGATCCTTTTGTCTGAAATAAGAAAATTATCCATTGTTAAATGTGGTGACTTATAATTATTTTCTAATTTTGCTAAAGGCAAAATGTACACCCTTGTGTTGTTTTTTACAGGACTGGGGTAAACCTGGTAATCTACAGAAACTTGATATTCAGTGGCATGTTCCTTCAGCTGAAGAAGTTGCTTTTTCTTTTGAATTGTTGGATACTTTTCTCCAGCCAGAGCTTGACAAACTGGAGCAATATTCAGATGGAAGTCTTGAAATGTCCAGGTTAGAAAGATTCATTACTGACTAAATTGTTTTTTCAATTTTAAGTAAATGAATTTAACTACTGTAAATTCCTGAATAAACTGATGAGATTTACTCAAGTAGAGGAATCAGGGATACATTACATATCTGTTTATTTATTTAGAATATTTGTATATAAAAATGCTTTGTCAGAAAAATTTGCTTTATTTCATGGTTTTATGTTTATTTTCTGATATACTGTAGATGATACTCAATAATATGTAGCTAACAATAAGTCCACAACAGAGTAAACAAAAAGTTAAAACACGTATATTTGGTGTGAGCTGCTGAGACTCATTTTAATTGTGGTTGTATAGGAATATGTTTAATAATATAAATAATAGCTAATGTTAATAAGATAGTGTAGTTTTCAGTCAATTAATCCTTGATTAAGGTTATTTGTTCAGTGACTCTTCAAAAGTTACAGTGGAAACTTACAGCCAGTCCTTGGAAGTTGTGGCAATTGCAGCATCCCATGGTCACAAGATTATAATTTAGGCCCTTGGTAACTGGTTTGCAATTGCAAACATTGCAGCACCCCATAATCATCTGATTGGCATTTGTGACCTTATTGCTGGCTTCCCACAAGCAAAGTCAATGGGGAAACCATCAGGAAAGTGCAAATGGTGATCACATTGCACCTAATGACTTCACAGAATTTGCCTAGCAACCATAACTACAACTGCCAAAACTGATATTGTTAGTCAGCACAATGATTTAATGTTGCAGTTAATGATCATATTGCTTAGCAACAGAATTCCTGGGCCCAGTTACTATTGTTAACTAAGGACTACCTGTACTCTCAAAAGTTATTTTGAAGAGCTACATTTTTACAGCCTTCCAAAAACGTAGTAAAGAGATATGGTCCCAGTATTTAACGTAGTCTGTTCCTCAGGAAGTGGGAGAAAGTCTTCACTGAGAAGGTTCAACAGTAAGGTCCTTGCAAATAACATTTCCTCAGTAACATGACACTCAGCAAGGCTTGTTTCACTATACAGGTAGGGACAACCCAGAACAGGCAGTAACAGAATTATCTAGGTCTTGAACCATGAAAGGCTTTAAACCATGCAGGATTTAAAAGTGACAACCAATGTGAAACTATATCTGGAGGATAACTGGCAATCATTGCAGCTCCCATATACTGTAGGCATATCTCAGAATACTCCTATCCATGTTGCTACATGCTGAATCAGCTAAATCATTCAAATGGTCTTCAAAAGTTCTGAAGAAGTGGACAGGATTCTTTTTGAAGTTGTGCTGTGGATCCATGTCATTCTTGGTTGATGAAAACTTCTAGGAAGGTGCTAGGATTTGACTCAGGGTCCTATTAGATATATTCTTCACACACAAGTTGATCCCTACTGACTTGAAGTACATGATGCTATAGCTTCTCTTCAGAAAACTACTTCTTAATCCAGAAATTGTAGATAATTACTGACCAATCTTCCACCATCTTCCCTTTTGAGGGAAGTTTTTGGGAATGTGGTAGAGCATAGAACCTGGAAAAATATATTCCAGGTAATCCTCACATTACCAACAGTTTATTTAGTGACCATTTGAAGTTACAATGGCATTGAAAAAAGTGACTTATTTTTCACATGACCATTGCAACATCTCTATGTTCACATGATCAAAATTCAGACACTTGGCAACTGACACATATTTATGATGATAGTAGTATCAGGAGCAACGTGATCACCTTTTGCAACCTTCTAACAAGCAAAGTCAATTGGGAAGCTAGATTTACTTAACAACCGTGGTGCTTTAAGGGTGCTATTGTGTCTTATGTTCCTCCCTACCACCAGACACAGTCTTTTGTCCACTTGAATTTGACATTTACTGAAGCCATTGGATAAGGTCAGAAATGAACATATTGTAAGGTCAGAAACTGAGTATATATGGAAGTGCCTATTCCCAATTGTTTTTTGCCTTTCCAATTAGATATGATAGTGCATGGTCTCTCCATATCCCTTTTCTCAGCTAATGTCATCAGCAGGGATTATGGAAACAAACACTCTGAATTGCTACCCTTCTGCTGAAGAGCATTCGCCTGGAAATCTAAATTATTGTCAATTTGTTGCTTTTTAGTAAGGCCATTAAAACTTGCTACTCCAGGGATTGACAATTTATTATTGTTCCCCCCTGTGGCTTTGAAGTATTTCTCTAATGTTCCTAGTGTTTATGTAGGTGTACTTTAAATTTTATATTGTAATTTTTATTATTTTTAATCTTAGATGTCAGTTTTATCAAAATAACAGAGTTGGAAGGTACCTTCGAGATCTTCTAGTCCAACTCCTTGCTTAAGCAGGAAAAAAAAAATTTACACGATGCTCAGAATTTCCAGAAGTAATAGCATATAATATAGATAGTCAAATCAATCCATCAAATAGGTTTGATTATTGAATAATAAATTGCTGACAAATGCATTATGTGACTATTCAATGATTCGACCTTTGAAATAGTGGCTTGCTTGAGCCTTCAGATAAAATAATTCAGCATGTCTGTTTAATAGGATTTTCTACTGTTGTGGAGGTCAGGTCTTAAAAGTTCTTTTGAGTGCTTTTTAGTAAAGTGAAAAATATTCCACCTATTTAACATTTACTTTCAGAGATGATGTTCAGCAATGTCTTACTATAGTACACAATTGCCTTATTGGATCAGGAAACATGCTGCCACCTCTGAAAGGAGAAAAAGTGGCTCACATGTAAGTAAAATTTGCTTTTTATATAGATGATAAATGGAATCCTTTAGATAAAAACATCAGAGATTGTTTTGTGCTTCACTTAGAAAGGATTCTTAAAATTACATTGAGAATTATTCATCTGATATTGTACATAATAAAAACATACCATAAATTAGATGATTTTTAAAAAACTTTCCAATACTTTCCAATGACCTTAAAATTCCCTGATGGTCCCACATCCAAATACTAAACAAATTCAGTCCTGCTTATGGTTTTAAAGCCCATACGTCACTTGTTGTTAGCACGTATATAGATGCAATCATAAGTACAACAGTAATCAAGAAGTTATACAGCTTCACTATTATTGAAATTCTGTCGTTTTCCTTCTAAATGTAAAAAAAAAAATAGAAATTAAAAGATATAAAATTATAACTCTTAATCTTTAGAAATTGTAACAGTAATTGCTGTTTTACAAAATTAAATTCACTGCATCAAGAGTTCTGTTTAAAGAATATGTATGTATTGTACATCATGCAGGGTTCCAAGTCTAGTGTCATTGGAAGAGATCAAACTTTATACCGGTGTTAAATATGGTAAGTTAATGCCATTGCATTAATGGTGGAGGAAATTTTCTGTTACTTAATTCTTTTTTTTTTTCAGTTAAAGTTTATTTACATTTTTAAAAATACAATACTTTACATATATACATACAAGGTTATTGCAACTAACGTACACAAATCTGCGCCTATACCACTAATAAAATCCATTTCATTTCCCTCTCTTTTCTTTCACCCAATTATACCATAAATTCCACCATTTGTAATAATCAGAATCTTTTTGGTTCCTAAGTAATTTCGTTAACCGGTCTGCCTCTGCGCATTCTGTAATTTTACAAATCAATTTATTTTCTGTGGGTATTACTTCGTTTTTCCATTCTTGCGCGTATAGTATCCTAGCTGCAGTAGTGATGTGGAGGATCAAATACCATTTTTCCTTAGTTATTTTGTCTGGTTTCATTCCTAATAAAAAAATCTCTGGTTTCAGCTCTATATTATATCCTGTAATTTCCACCATCCAGTTCCGAACCTTGGACCAATATTTGCCTGTTTTGGGGCACGTCCACCATTGGTGGTAGTACGTTCCACAACCATTCCCACACTTCCAGCATGCCGGAGAAACTCCCGGGAACATTCTTGCGATTCTTGCTGGGGGGATATGCCAACGATAGACCATTTTATAAATATTTTCCTTGTAGGGGGTTGACAAAGTAAGTTTCATATTCCTATTCCATATCTCATCCCATTTATCCAGATTTGGAGAAAATCCGAGGTTCTTCCCCCAAGCAATCATAGTGTCCTTGATCACCTCCTTGCCAATCCATCGTGATACTAAAAACTTGTAGCACCTTGAAAGTAATTTCTTTTCAATTCTCAATAAGATTTTATCTAACTCCTATAGTGACCTATATATTCCCTCCTTTCTTTGGTCCCTTCTGACTCTCAATTGTATTTGGGCATACGCCCACCAGTCTACCTTTTTGCCCTGTTTTGTAAACTCCTCTCGGGTCTTCAATTCCCCTTGAGGGTCAAGCAAATCCTGGTAAGTCAATGGTATTTCCTTATTATATAGTGTCGCATGTGTTACTGCCTCTAATGGGGCAAACCAAATCGGAATCATTGAATAATGCCTGTTCCTAACTCTTTCCCAAGATTCTAATAATATCTCCGAAGGTAGTGTCTCTTAAACTGTCCACATTTCTTGTCCCTCTCCCTCCATAGAAAATGGTGCCAACCTTGACACAAATCATAACCCTCCAATGTAAGAGTCCTCTTCCTATTTAAAAGCATCCAGTCTCTGATCCAAGTTAAATTAGCCGCTTGGTAGTAAAACTCCCATTTCGGTAGACCAAATCCCCCTCTACATGGAGCCTCTTGGAGCATTTTAAGTTTTATCCGGGGCTGCTTCTTCTGCCACACAAATTTCCTCACATAACTATCTAGCAGTTTAAAAAAACCACTATCCAGTCTTGCGGGGGCAGTCTGAAATAAGTAGTTCCATTTCGGAAGTACGTGGGTTTTAATCGTAGCTATCCTACCAAGTAAGGAGAGTTGCAGGTGCTCCCACTTTTCTAGGTCTGTCTTTGTTTGGGCTAACAACTTTGTGTAATTATCTGCCATAATGGACGTATTTTTAGAAGACATCCAAATACCCAAGTATTTTATTCTTTTAGTCACTTGAAGGTCCAATTCTCTCTCCAATTCATTCCAACGATTTCGTGTCATATTCTTTATTATAATCTTCATCTTGTCTTTGTTGATTCGGAGACCTGCAACTCTACCATACTTCTCTATCTCCTGAAGCAAGTTTTTATGTGATTCTAATGGATCCTCTACAATAAAAACCAAATCATCCGCGAATGTCTGAGTTTTATATTCTTCAGATCTCACCTTCAGCCCCTTTATTCCCTGATTCTTCCTAATTTCCCATAGCAGAGGTTCTAGTGTAAAGATAAATAGAAGTGGGGACAGTGGGCATCCTTGTCTTGTGCCTTTTCCAATTTCAATCCTACCCGTTTCTTCCCCATTAATTAAAGCTCTAGCTATTTGAGTTGAGTAGATCGATCTTATCGCCCATATATAATTATCTCCAAATTCCATTTTATCTAACAAGGCAAACAAAAATTTCCACCTAACCCTATCGAAGGCCTTCTGAGCATCTACAAAAATGAATGCTACTTCCTTATCCGAAAACATCTCCTAGTACTCCATTGCATCTATTATCGTCCTCACATTATCCCTTATTTGTCTATGTGGCAAGAACCCATTCTGGTCTCTATGTATATAGTGGTTTAAAAAACGTTTCATTCTCCCTGCTAAAATTGAAGTGAAGATCTTATAAATTTATTTAATTATTTTAATTTTTAATCATTGTTGTGTCTTGTGTTTTTAAATTGGCTGTACACCGCCCTGAGTCCTTCGGGAGAAGGGCGGTATAGAAATAAAATAATAATAATAATAATAATAATAATATAATATATAATAATAATAATTATTATTATTATTATTATTATTATTATTATTATTATTATTATTATTATCGGTATTCAAAAGGGATATAGGCCTGTAATTGTGGATCAGCGATGAATCTATTTCTGCCTTGGGAATCAGGGAAATATATGCCTCCATCCAGGAATTTGGGATCCGACCCTCCACGATGATTCCATTAAAGACTTCAGTCATATATTGTCCCACTATATCAAGAGTTTCCTTATAGAATTCCATAGGAATCCCATCTGTTCCCGGAGTTTTCCCTAATTTCTGCCTCCCAATTGCTTCTTCCACCTCCTTTTCTGAAATTTCCCTGTTAAGTATTTGTCTTACCTCTTCCGGCACTTTTGGAAGATCCAGCCCCTCTATATATTTCTCCAACTCTTGGTCTGACCCTTCCTCACTCTTGTATAAATCCGTAAAGAACTTCTGTATGATTCCCTTCCCTTCCCCGTCAGTTACCCATCTTCCATTCACATCCTTCAAACCACCTACTTTACTTATAGGTTAGCCATCTTCCTGGCTTGTTAGCATTTTCAAAATAACCTTGTTTGACCCACGTGCTGTTACTTAATTCATGACCTCACTGATCTCTTATGGAAAGAAAGAAAGTAACTAACTTCTTATTTATGTTTTTTTCTGTGAATCTTAAGAAAAAAATGATAATAATAATAATACTTTAATAATTTTGTTGAGTTTAATATTGCATGCTGCCAGACTCAACAACTCTGGGCAGCTAACAACCATCAATGATCACATTCATTATAATAACATCAATAAAAGCTAAAGATAAAATATGGAAAACATATACTGCATATGAGCTGGCCAAAGCAGGACATGAAAGCTTTTAATGTGAAGAAGTTCCTTATAATGTGCAGAGGTTGGACAGGGTCCTGTGAGTGTCAAGGCCCCTGCCCTGGACAAAACACAGAGCTTCTAGGGGTAGATCAGTAAAATGGCACCCAAAGATGAGCTCCTGAGAGAATGTCTGAGGCAGCAGCAGCAGCAGACATGGGAAAAAGATCAAGCAGAGGAAGTGCCATGGCAAGATAGTACTGTGCATGGCATGTACCACTGACATAGCTGAGGTGACATGCATTGGGAAATACTACCAGTGACTGAAAAGGGCTGACCTAAAAGACAACACTGTGGCAATGATCATGGCTGCACAAAAACAAGCACTAAGCACTGTATCTATAGAAGCAGGGGTCTATCATATTAAGCAGGACCCAAAGTGCAGACTATGCAGAGAGGCCTCAGAGAAAATACAACATGCAGGGCCAAGATATAAGACACAGAATACACTGAACAGCACAACCAAGTAGCTGGTATTGTGTACAGTAACATATGTAAAGTATATGGGCTAGACCCTGATGGGAGATTCCACAGAAAGTTGTGGAGAATAAGAAGGTTAGAATCCTGTGGCTCTTCCTAATCCAGGCAGCCAGGCAGATACTAGCCAGTCAACCAGACTTCACGGTCATAGGCAAGGACAGCAATAGAGATAGTTCTAGCAGTGCTCAGTGATTGCAACATCAGGATGAAAAATAATGAAAGTAGTAGTAGGACTTGAAGGAGGAATTAGAGGGGGTATGTAAAATAAAGGCCAAAGTATTCCCAGTGGTCGTAAGGAGCACTTGGAGTTATGACTCCAACAGAGTCATAAGAGTGACTCCAACAGATCCTAGGAATAACATCAGAGTTCTTTGTCCAGAGGAATGCAGGGATAAGAACAACTAAGTACTGTGCAGAATCCTCAAACTTATCTCTGAAATAAACAAGGATGTTTTATATACAAGCCTTATGGGTACATACATACAGCATGTTACGCATGCAATTACATATGTGTATGGTCCATGCAAATCTTTTCACAATTTAAACAGTTTTGCTGGAGAAAAACCTATTCCTTTGTTTTTATTTTTATGTTTCTGCCCCCTTTGACATGTCCTTGCGACACACTGTAATTTATAAACTTTATAGATAATGAATGGCCTTATTTGTTTAGATTTGTCGAAAGAGAATTACAGGGAAAGAATCTGCAAAGTAACAAGAAAACTCCTACGTAAGTGTGCTTTTAATTATTCCATTTGTTCTCATTTTCACTGAATTTGTACAGTAGTTCAAAAGACTTATAAAAACCCAGATAGTAAATCAAATATGAAGCAAAGTACTTTCTTCTTCAGTTTAAGTGAATGAAGGGTGTTTGGTTGTGATGTTTTGAGATTCATTAGTTTGTTTTGTTTAATGGATCAGGGTGGAATGTGGGGCAATGGATGGAGCTTCCTTTCATTTTTGGGTTGGGGGAACTACATTTTTTATGTGGTGGGTGAAAACTGAAGACTATCCTTTTTTTCCTACTAAAAACAGAAGGAAATTGTATTGTTGTTTCTTGTTAGCTTGCCATCAATATGTCAAGAGTGCTGTAACTATGAACAATTAGTTTATATTGCTTTGTTTAATTATTTTTTTCTTTATTGTAATAGACTTTGTACTTGACAACTCGGAGGATGATACTAAGTCTTTGTTCCTAATCATTAAGGTATAGTTGACATTTATAGTGTGATTTTTAAAACATTAAGTTGGATAGATGGCTTTTTCTGTATAACTCAAATTCTTGTTCTACAGATCATTGGGGACCTCTTACATTTCCAAGGTTCACATAAGCATGAGTTTGATTCACGGTGGAAAAGTTTTAACTTGGTGAAGAAATCAATGGAGAATAGGGTTAGTATTTCTATAAATAATTTATTTACACAATTAAGACTTTAAGGAATCTAGGGGGTGGAATCTAGGGGGAGTTAATGTTCATAATTAATGAAATTTTTAAAAAGGAATCACAGGTAGGACTGAATAAAGTTTTTCCATATATAAATAATTGATTTGCCTATTTGCAGCTTCAAGGCAAGAAACAGCATATTAGAGCACTGCTCATTGACAGAGTCATGTTACAGCATGAGGTAAATATACTATTGTATGTTGGCTGCCTCTGAATCTGTAGTATCTACAACTTTCATTTATAAAATTTAAAAAATTGAATTTATTCCTTTTTCTTTAGTTAAGAACACTCACTGTTGAAGGCTGTGAATATAAAAAAGTACATCAGAACTTGATCAGGGACCTTCTTCGTTTATCTACAAGTTCATATGGCCAGGTAAGCCATATGGCCTCTCTCATTTTATAGAAATATTAATGGCCGGAGTTTTGAAATAGATATTTGCAAGAAATGGAGTGCTATTCCGCAGTTCATTTGAAATTTCTGAGAACTCTTTCTGTGTCAGCTTTAATCTTTGGGATGTTATCCTGTACAGGTAATCCTTGATTTACAACAGTTCATTTAGAGACAGTTAAAAGTTATAGCGGCACTGAAAAAAGTGACTTATGACTGTTTTTCACACTTACGACCATTGCAGCATCCCCATGGTCACGTGATCAAAATTTGGATGCTTGGCAACTCAAGCATCCAAATTTTTGGATGCTTGAAATTTTTCATATTTTTGATGGTTACAGTGTCCCAGGGTCACCTTTTGCGACCTTCTTACAAGCGAAGTCAGTGGGGAAGCCTGATTCACTTCACAATTGTGTTAGTAACTTAACAGCTGCAGTGATTCACTTGACAAATGTAGCAAGATAGGTCGTAAAGTGAGAAAAAATTCACTTAACAAATGTTTCATTTAACAACATAAATTTTGGGCTCAATTGTGGTCTTGAGGACTACTTGTATGTTTTTATTTTGAGAGCTTGTTAACATTTCCTGAATAGCATTTGGTTATGCCATAGTGCCTCCATGTAATTACTTTGAGCCTACACAGCAGCTACTTCTAACTGCCACTTGGTGGGTGCATAGAGGGATTAATGGCAATAGCAATAGTACTTAGACTTATATACTGCCCCTTAGTGCTTTACAGCACTCTCTGAGCTGTTTACAATGTCAGCACATTGCCCCCAACAATCTGGGTCCTCATTTTATTGACCTCCAAAGGATGGAAGGCTGAGTCATCCTTGAGCCCTGCCAGAATCGAACTCCAGGCTGTGGGCATAGTTAACCTGCAATACTGCATTCTAACTACTGCGTCACTTATCTCTGTGGAGAAAAGACTATACTGAATTGAATAGTTCAGAAAAACTATGTGGGTAGAGAAGAGGACTGTGGACCAGCTAACACAGCTCTAATCTGTAGCAGCAAAACACATTTTTTAAAATTAATTTTTTACTCATCATTAGTGGGTTTCTACTCACAGAAGCAAGCCAATAAAATTCTTAAGGTCTGTCCAGATGATTTGCGATTCAGAGTTTCTCAAAATTGAATTCCATGCAGAATGTATTCCTCCTAATACTAAGAATCAGTCAAAAAAACAACCATGAAGCAGATGCAGAACAAGATTCTTAATTTTTTAACATATTTCACAAAAGTTGTTTCAATGTATATATATAATAAGAACTGATGAGGCCTTATAAGGCCGAAATAGATCTATCTTAGTCTCCCAATGGGCAGCAAAGGGTCTGCTGGCTGCCAGAAGGAAATAAAAAGCCCAGAAACTAGTGAATTGTGATTTCATTGAACTAGGGCTGCATAATATCTTGGTTTACGTAGGTGGAACCTGGCAAGAGAGAAATAATAAGAAAATTATATATAATATATAACATAGATGCTTTTTTAGATTATAAGACTGTTCAGAACCAATCACTATATAAAGTAAAGCTTATTTGTCCTCTGTTTAGCTTTTGTACATATTTCTATGGTGTTTTTGTCCTAGGTCAGGAACAAAGCTCAACAAGCCTTCTTCACAGCCTTGGGGACTTACAACTTCTGTTGCAGAGACATCATTCCTTTGGTTTTGGAGTTTTTGAGGCCAGATGGGTACAGTGTCACCCAGCAACAATTTAAAGTAAGGAATTTATTAATTTTCTTTACAGCAGGTTCTGTCAGTGCCATTGATGGGGAGATGTAATCTCCAGCCATAGAGACTATTTTAGCCATCTTAGAGCGCCAGAATAAATTTGCAAAATTTGTTGTCAAAATGACTTGTTTTTGGTGTTGTAATGCCTCTCAAAATAAGAATGGAAAAGGAATCGGGAGGACTGTGGATGATAATCCCCCCCCCCTTTCACTGTGTGAAAGAATGTTGCTGGAATCCAGCTGTTATGCGATCATGATTTTGGTGGCGTGATTTCAGGTTGCTTTTCAGACTTCAGGTGTAATGGGAATAACAAATTTTTTCTAGAGTCCCCATAGCACCCTTACCTCACAGTAGCTGTAGAAGAGGAAAAAGGTTTTAAAAAATTAAAGTCGTTCCCTTCCAATGATATCTGCAGTTATCTGTTTGGTCAGGAAGCATGTGACCACTGCTGATTCAGGACACGTTAACTTAAATAAATTGATAAAATGTAATTTTGAATGTTATATATTATGTAAATAACAGGAGGAGGAGGAGGAGGATTATATGAAAAGCAAATATTAGGATTAGTATATCTACGACTTGTTTCCTACTCAATTCTTCTGATGAGTTTTTTAAAGATTTTAAAAATATAAATTTTAATAACACTTTTGATACAGTATGGGTGATTGGGTGATTTGTTATTATTGACATATTCACAGTTGAAACCTTGACTCTGAACAGCTTATGAAGCAAAAATAAGCTTTTTGATTTCAGTTACCATCGTGTTATTTGTTAATGTGATTGATATGGCATCCATCTTAACTCACTGAGTCTGGCAGACTAACAACATTTTAAATCATAATACTAATACATAAACCAGAATACATAAAATGACAACCATGGTGAAAAATCTCAATCTGCTGCAAATCAAACAAGCTGATCCCCATGCCTGGAAACACATTGTTATCTTCACAACATTCTGTGAGATCTTACAAAAGTGATCTTTTAAAAACTGGCAATATGTGAGGTTTTAGCAGTTAAAAGGAAACGTACTGTTTGAGAGAGAGAAGCAGCAGACACTGTTGCTGGAACTAATGAAAATTTTGGCACATTCAAGTATTGAAAATCCCTGTTCTAAAATACCATAAAATAGATCTGGTTTTATTGTTAGGTATTAAGTCAGTAGGATGACATGTTTGATTACTAACTAATGTAGTAACTGAAAAACACATTAGATTTTATATGTTTATTTTTTATTTCATAGTATGTTCTAACTTTTTGTATTACTTAGAGACTTGTAAATTTGAGAAATGTGAAAGTACTTCCCGCCTTTTCATTCTTTTATTTAAGAATAAAATGCAGTCCTATTAAAAAGCAATAAAGCTTAAACAAATATTTGCAACCTCTGTTTATAGTATTGTGGGAAACGGTTTTCTGATGGATTGATTTTAAGATATGGTTTGTGAAACCCTTAGGTTATGGACATCAGTAGCCAATCCTGAGTAGACTCTATCTACTGTAGAACCACTGTAGAAATCACTTGATTTTATGTTTCACAGACTTTTATTATAAACAAAGATATAATAGTCTACTGTAATTGGAGAAGAATTCCAGCTGTATGTCAATAATTCTGTCTAAAATTTCTTTTCCATAGGGTGCCTTGTATTGCCTTCTTGGAAATCATAGTGGAGTATGTCTGGCAAATCTTCATGATTGGGACTGCATTGTCCAAACTTGGCCTGCAATTGTCTCTTCTGGACTTAGCAAAGCAATGTCTCTGGAAAAGCCATCCATAGTTAGACTCTTTGATGACCTTGCAGAGAAAATCCATCGGCAGTATGAAACAATAGGACTGGATTTTACTGTAAGCATTAAATAATTACATCACTTACAATTGTTTAGGAATGGGGCTTGTTTACTTAGGGACCATGTGTCTCCTATTAGTATCTGTCTAGCCAGTTTGATTTGGTGAGTTTGGTATGCTCTGGCATGGATAGATATAAATATGTTGCTTAAATTTTGATGATAGCTGGGGATCTAGACTAAGTCTATATGTCTTGTACAGGAAAGTGGGGAAGTAGATGCCAGTGCCAGTGAGTTTGGATTAATGGTAGGGTTGTAGTTCTTACTTGAAATGTTATACTTGGCAATCTAATTATAAACTGGAATGTAAAAATTTCAGTATAATAAAGAATTAGGATACTACCGTGTTTCCCCGAAAATAAGACCCTGTCTTATATTTTTTTGAAACCCAAAATAAGCGTTTGGCCTTATTTTTTGGGGGGGGGTCTTATTATTTTGGGGCATGTGGAGCAAGATGGGGTTCCTCTTGCTGTCTTACCTGATTTCCAGCTCTGCGTTTAAATATTTTCAGGGAGGGCTAATTTTCAGGGGAGGCTTATTTTAGCACATGTGCTCTAAAGCCTGATTGGGCTTATTATCAGGGGATGTCTTATTTTCCAGGAAACAGGATATAATTTCCACATACTTGGAAATAATCTATATGGTGATACTAATAGCAGTTATCTTTCATCGAGCTTTGTGGTGGCCTAAAGGTGGAGCTCTTGCCAGGAGGCTGTGAGTTCAATCCTAGGTAGTGGCAGATATTTCTCTCTCTCTGGGAGCAAAGAGAAGATATCTGCTGTGAGCTCCATGTAGACATCAAGAAGGGCATCCAGCCAGTAAATGTTCAGCTCCATTCAGTTGCACCGACTACACCCCGATGCAAGGGGTTACAGAGTTGTTAAAAGAAAAAAAAATAGCAGTTACCTTTCATAAATTATCTGCTCTGGCCTCATCCATCTTATACCCTTTCTGAATTACTATGTCATAGCTAAATACGGATGTGACAAAAAGTATTGATACCCCTCCAAAGGTAGTTCTCAACTTATGACCAGTCACTTAGCGACTGTTGGAAGTTGTGATGGAGCCCCCTAAAGGTACTTATAACCTGGTTCCAAAGTTCCGACAGCCACCCCCCACAGTTAGTAATTAAATTTTGGGCATTTTGCAACTGGCTATTTGCAGCATCTCATCATCGTATGACCACAATTTACAATGTTTCTTCCAGCTTTTCCTTCTAGTTTTTGGCAAAGCCCCCTCCCTCCCCCATAGCAAGCAATGGGTTTGCTTAACAACCACTCCCAAAAAGGTCATAAAATCAGTCCAGTTCCATCGGTGACCTGCTTTATGACTGATCTGTCCCCGTCCACATACACACACAAACACAGCCAGCCGAGGGTTAAGGAAACACTTTGGCACACACCCAGGTCTTTATCTCCAACTTGGCAGCGATATACACACCGTCTGCCAAGTGCATTTATTTCCACAAAACAGAAAGATAAGATACTTAGCATACAAAAGTCAAATCAGAATAATATTCCTCTCAGCAGTTTCCGGACGAGGCTTTAGTGACTATCCAAGGTTTACTTTTGTTCGTCACAAGGATCACTGGCCACCACCCTCTATTATATAGTCTCTGGGGTGTGGTCCAGTGACTCAGTTCTAATCCCTAGCACGCCTCCTGAGCTGCTGCAATCGTTTATCACGCCTTCGGAGGCGTGCGTCCAGGAATGATGTCTCTCCCTCGCTCTCATCCGAGCCATCTGTCTCCCTGCTAATCTCCTCTCCCTCGGCCGGCACCTGAGACAGTGCCAGAGGGGAGGGGCCTGGAGAGGGAGGCCTGGCTGACTCCTCTTCCTCATGCTCGGAGCTTTCTTCCTCCGATGGGACAGGCTCAGAGGGCGGGGCCACAACAATGACCATCACAACTTACAAATGTAATTGACAGGCTCCATTGTGGTCATACGTCTTGGACTGCCTATACTTTTTTCCAAAGAATCCCAATTTGCTGTGAAGTAAGTTGAAACCGGCACAAGTAAATGGCACCCACCATTTTGTATTACATAGTTCATAGTGTAAGCATTTTGCTTTGTTTATTTATATTTGCTTTTTTTTGTAAATAATAGAACAAATGAAAATGGCACGGATATAATTATAGATAACCCCTTAGCAGTTAAAATACATTAATTGGATTTTGGTGTTCTCTCAAAAAGACATTTTGCTTCAATTATATCATGGATGCCTTCACCCCCATAAACAATCACTCAGCAAATTGGGATAGGGAAAATGGAAGGGTACTGATACTTTTGACTGCGTCTGTGTTCTAGAATATTGAAAGTAAAAATAGTGAATACATAACTTTGGCATACTATTTTGTGATGCTTTTGAATTTTTGTAACAGTGTACATTTTGTAAATGTTGTATCATTCCCTGGGAATAATCACTTGTTGTATCAGAATCTTTCTTATGTCTCCTTACTTCTCCAGGTCCCAGAGACATGTATTGAAGTTGCAGTCCTCATGCAGAAGTCAGTGGGTCAAAACGGTGAATGTACCAGCCTTAGTTCAGAAGAGATTGAGCTGGGAATTCAGCGACAGAAAGAAAGGAATGCCGAGTCCTCTCAGTAAGTACAGACTCTTTTAACAATTTCATTTTTTCTGCGTGAAACCAAAGCCTGTGATTTGTAACAATAAGACTTTTTAAACTTTGATTCAGAGAGAATATCTGACTGTTGCCTTTTTGTCTAGTATGACTGTTAAAATGCAATGTGATTGTAAAACTCTTCAGACAAATGATGTTCGTTTGAAATGTTCCATATATAGTATTTTTAGAGAAGTTTCTCCTGTCTGCTGATTGCTATAAAGAATTGCATTCAATATGCAGTGGCCCATAGATGATATCCTGTCTTTTGCTGAGATATGTTAATACATAAATGTTCTTTTTCTTTTTCAGAAATTATGAAAATTTGGTAAATAAGCTTCTGGATTGTGTGAATCAAAGAAATCTGTAAGTATGAGAATATATCTTTCTCAAAATGTGGTTCATGTGCTTTTTTTTCTGGGCTGTGAGTTGGCAACTATTGAGAAATTGGTGTCATGTGACTGCAAGAAGCTTTCCAGGGATGAGATGACATCATTGGAAAGGAAAGGACCAATTTTGAAATGCTTTGTGGAGAAAGAATTTATCTATAACAAGAGTAGAAAGCAGTTCAGAAACAAACCATGTTTATCTTTAAAACCTCAGCCATGCTCTGAAAAATAAGTTTTATTATACTGCTTATATTCTTTGCAAAATGGCTGAATTTCTGCAATATACATAGGGCCTGGTGGCTCAGCAGACTGATAGCATTGTGATTAACACCAGCTGTCTGCAATTACTGTAAGTTCGAATCTCACCAGGCTCAAGGTTGACTCAGCCTTCCATCCTTTCTAAGGTAGGTAAAATGAGGACCCAGTTTGTGGGGGCAATAAGCTGACTTTGTATAAATATACAAAAATATGAAGGCTATTGCTTAACGCACTGTAAGCCGCCCTGAGTCTCCGGAGAAGGGCGTCATATAAATCAAATAAAATAAATAAAAAAAAAAATATGGTTTTATGGTGGGGGAGATGGAGTCGTATTAAAGATGGACAAGAAAGTGATTTGACTCTGAAACCCCTGTTTCTTATGACCACTTTTGAGAACAAAAATAAAACAAAAAACATGGTGCTGCAAACATGGTGCCATTTTGTTGCTGAATGTCGGTGTTTATGGTACCACGCAGGCAGTGAGTTGCCCATCTCAGGATCATACAATATCCCATTCCCCACCCAGTTCAGTGAAAATTCAGTACTAGATTTAAGAGTTTATTTTGTATAATTGGGAATCCCTTTTCTTTCTTCCAGCCCTTGGAAGTTTGAGCACATTGGCATTGGTTTCCTCTCCCTACTTTTAAGGGATGACAGAGTGCTACCTGTAAGAGCCATAAATTTTTTTATGGAATGTCTCAATCATGATGTCTTGGTGGTTCGCAAGGTAAAATGTTAACTGGTTTAATTATAGTAAAAGTTGTTTGCAGATATTGATTCCATTATTCATTCTTTAGAGTGGACTAATATGTGCTTTCTTCACATGACAAACAAAGTATTTGTTTTTGATCTTATGAATGAGTTTCAGTGCTTCCAGAGTACCATTTTCTTTTTAGGTAGAGTTTGCTTGAGCTGTATAGACTTTTCCAGAGATGTGCAGGCTGACAGAGTTGCCAACTCATATAGGGAAAGTCTTCAATGAAATACCACCCGTTTTGCAAGCACAAATCATATTTGTCTACATAGCTTGAAGTCTTTGATAGACATTAGTTTTCCAGTCTTAGGCAAGGGATTTGTTTATTATCAGCTACTTAATTCTGAAGCTTTCTATATGAGCAGTGAATAGGCTTTACCACCAAGTTAAAAATTCTTCCTTAAAAGACCTTTAATCCATCTATTAATACTTAAGACAACTTTTTTACAACTTTTAACATATTGAGTTCCACATATTTAGAAATACTTTTAGGACTGTAAAGATCCCGATATAGTCAGTTGACTCCATCACTGACTATTGGGGGCAAATCTTTGGCCCCCACAGAAAGGGCTCGCAATCTGGGAGTCCTCCTGGATATGCAGCTGTCCTTGGAGGAACATCTGACGGTTGTAACCAGGGGGACCTTTTGTCAGGTTCGCCTGATTCGCCAGTTGCGGCCCTTTCTTGATCGGGATTCCCTGTGCACAGTCACTCACGCCCTCGTCACCTCTCACCTTGACTACTGCAATGCTCTCTACATGGGGCTCCCCTTGAAGAGCACCCGGAGGCTCCAACTGGTCCAGAATGCAGCAGCGCGGGTAGTGACGGGAGCAGCATGGCGCTCCCATGTAACACCGCTCCTGCACGAGCTGCACTGGCTCCCAGTGGTCTTCCGGGTGTGCTTCAAGGTGTTGGTCATCACCTTTAAAGCGCTCCATGGCATCGGGCCTAGCTATCTTCGAGACCGCCTGCTGCTACCGACGACCTCCCATCGACCCGTGCGCTCCCACAGAGAGAGCCTCCTCAGGGTGCCATCAGCCAATCAATGTAGGCTGGTGACCCCCAGGGGGAGGGCCTTCTCTGTGGGGGCACCTACACTCTGGAAACAGTTGCCCCCAGAGATAAGGAGAATCCAAGACCTCAGTGCCTTCCGCCGTGCCCTTAAAACCCACTTTTTCCAGCAAGCCGGGCTGGCTTAAGAAGAAATTTTTAAATGTTTTAAATTGGTTTGTGATTTTTAATTTTTGGGCCAAATTTATATATATTTTAATTGTTTTTTAATATTTATATTTCATGTTTTTAACTCTGGCTGTACACCGCCCTGAGTCCTTAGGGAGAAGGGCGGTATATAAATTGGAAATAAAATAAAATTAAAAAAATAAAATCTAAATGCTTATACATAAACACTGTAGAAATTAGAAAACCTGGATCTTTATATTGTTCTAACTTAAAAAAAAACCTAAATGAAGTAATTTTTTTTTACCCCAATTAATTTTATATGCTGATTACTTCAACATATAGTTGAACCTTACATACAACGTTTTTATATGTAGGGGAAAAGTCATGAAAAGAATGTGCCATCTTAACAGGATCTGTGTTTCTCCTTCCATTTGCTTAAATTTAAATGAGCTAACTCATTTTTCTGTGTAGATGGCAATCTCTGCTGTGGCTGGCATCCTTAAGCAGCTGAAAAGGCCCCACAAAAAGATGCTCATCTGTCCTTTCAAAATCAGTAAGTGCACTAAAGAAAAACAACGATCTTTCAATAATGACAATTTAAGTTAGTTAATGTTAAGGGAAATATGAGCTAAACATCTGCTAACTTGCAGTCTTTGTATCTGCCATCAATTTCTTCTGCCAAATGTTTCAACTATGTTATTTCTTTTTTAACTGACCACCATATCCACTGCAAATGTAGTTGATTTTCATAGTTAATAACATTAATTTTCCCATTGATGGTAAAATATTGAAGTGCTGCATCATGGAAGTATTCTATTGACTGGGGACAGAAATAGTGGGATTGTTGGTGCTCTTTGAGCTTGTTTGCTTGCAGACATTTTATGGTTTATCTCTATGTGCCTGTTGATGGCTGATTTGTCTGAATGTCAAGTTTCCAGGACCTCCATAGCATTTCTGGATTGGTGATCAGATGATCACCAATGTGGTGATGTGTGGCTGTAATAATATGTTCGTTGTTTCTAAAATGTTTTTGCTGTATAATAATGTTATCCTTTTCCAAATTTATCCAGTTCCAAATCAGGAAGACCCAACAGATTTACATCCACATTGCACCATCATAGCACACAAACCAATCAACTCCTCCTTCAAGAAGAAAAAAACAAATATAATCTGCAGCATATAATGTAAGGACTATAACAGCCACTATGTAGGACAGAAAACTAGCAGGATGTCCATGAACCCAGCTAGCAGTTAGAAGACATGATGAAAGCTACTTGCTTACAACACACAGACAGACTTAACCACAATTTCAACCGGGAAACTGAGCATCTTAGACCAAGCCAAATCTAAAAACTCTACAGAATTCCTGGACATTTGGCATTCAGACAGCTCTGTCATAAGAGAGATAAACTATATCTATGTACAATTCAAAAGAAACAATAAAAAAGGCTAAAAAGGAAACAAAAAGAACAGAACACATCCTCTCCAGCAGCCAATAAATAGGGTTAGCACCAGACAAACAAGCAGAAAACAAAACACTAATCAAGGACCTACCAAGGAGAAAACCACATCCCCACTAACATTGGCAGGGCACTTTACTGTATATAAACAGGAAGCAAACCCCACACTTACTTGCACTGATGATGTTACTTACTTGGCCAATGAAACATCTACAAGCAAGAAGCCAAGCTCTGAGAGCACCAAGGACTCCACGATTCCACCCTCAGCTACAGATTCTCTTCTATTGGAGATATTAAATATGGTAGTCAGTCTTATGATTTGATTTACTTAAATTTGCAGGCTGTGAGTTTGATTGTAACTTGTTTATTGTGGTCTCCTATTCCTCAAGTCTTACTAAAGTCCTCAGCGTTTATGTGAATCTTCAGTTCAGATGTTTGTAAAAAGTTGTCAAAGGGTTAATCCACTACTTATCAGCTAACTGACTTTCAGGATCCTGCAATCTGTTTTCTAAACTGATAGCATATTTTCATAATTTTAGTTCTAGAAAAAATGCTGATGGAAATAAGAATTAAGAACTTTTTTATGATTGAAATCATTCTTTGATTGTTATCCTTGAGTACAGAAATGGCTATTACAATTTTTCCTACCAATTACCTGCCAAATCTGAGCTTCCCCAGCTTTCTAGGCATTTATCTTATACCAAGGAAGGATGAACAATCTAGTTTACAGCAACTAATTTATAGAAAAATGACTATTTTAATGGGTGTTTTATTGTGGTACTTGTTTTAGTTTTAAGAACATTAGTTAACATATTTTGGTTCCTACTGGGACTGTACTAGTTGTGTTGCTATTTGAAACAGATGCTTCATGGTTTTGGTTTTTTAAAAATATAATTATTCAGAATTGTGTGAATTGGTAACAGCTGGCAGTAATTTTGGGCAGCAATATGTCCTGAATAAAATAGGAATATCTTTTGGGCAGGATAGCATCTATCAAGATGAATATCCTGCCCAAAATACTGTATTTATTTCAAACAATACCCATTATTTTGGATAAAAATTTTTTTCACAGAAAATAAAATTATTAGGAAATTTATCTGGGCTGGGAAAAAAGGAAGAATAAAATTGCGATCACTACAGGACAGTAGATGTAGGGGAGGTTTTGGACTTCCGGCTTGGGAAAGAAAGAAAGAAAGAAAGAAAGAAAGAAAGAAAGAAAGAAAGAAAGAAAGAAAGAAAGAAAGAAAGAAGGAAGAAAGAAACAAAGAAACAAAGAAACAAAGAAAAAGAAAGAAAAGAAAGAAAGAAGAAAGAAAGAAAGAGAAAGAAGAAAGAAAGAGAAGAGAAGAGAAGAGAAAAAAAAGAAAAGAAAAGAAAAGAAAAGAAGCGGCCACCCTAGTGTGGATAAGAGATTGGGTCAATCTAAGAAATCAAAGAATCCTAACTTTGGAAGGACATGACCTACAAAGAGGGTGGCACGCCTTTATGTAGAACAAAAAGAACAAGACAAAAACATACTTTCATAGAATAAGATTAGAGAAGCATTAATACAAACATGGGAAGAAATTAGAAGGAAACAGTATATGAAAATCCCGAATTGGCTATCAACCACGGAAGCTATGATATATCCCAATACAATAGAGATTAGCAAAATGATTAGATATAAAGAGCTCCTAGACAATCAAGGAAAACTCAAAAGTAATCAGATCCTAGGTGAGCAGGGAATACATATCGACTGGTGGCCATACCTGCAGATACAATCCAGATACAAAAAAGACATAGAAGAATTTGGTATCGAGGTGGAAGCAAATCCATTAGACAAACTATTGGTGGGTCCAGAAAAAAAAGCGAAGAGGTATTGGAGTAAAATACAAAATTGGCTACAAGAATTAATTAATAATAAAATTGAATTGATTCCAGAAACTTTTCTCTTGGGAGTACTAAAGACTAAATACGACAAAAAACCAGGATATTTAATCATATACATACAGCAGCGAGAATAACGTATGCACAACAGTGGAAAGGAAACAATATACCACCAGAGGAATCCATTATTCAAAAAATATTTGATTGTGCCAAAATGAATAAACTAACATTAGAACTAAATGAAAAAGAGGATTCTGAATACTATACAGTGTGGGATAATTGGTACAGGTGGATTGATAACCGAATTAAAAATGGATAAAGACTAGTATAAAGTTTAAGATACATATATATATTTAGGAGCTATAGAATATACAGGAATAATTAACCTGTTTTGTGTGGGAAAAGTAACACTGTCTGATCGATTATGTATTGGAATTTTGGAAAATGAAAAAAACACAATAAAAAATTTTGAAAGAGAAAAAAAAGAAAAGAAAATAGGAATATCAAGCATCTACTGATAAATTTAAGAAGAAAAGCATTTTTCTCTTTCACAAACAGGTGGATCCCCACAGCCTTCTAATATCCAGGCAGGTGACAGATCTGATAACCAATGGCTGCATTATGAGAGTGCTAGTTTACCAAAGACTAAACAAAGTTGGGAGGCCTGCCATTTTGTGGAAAAAACACATTGGGGATACTACACTTGGCCTAAGTAAGTATTGGCTTCTGTCCTCCTGTCCTCTTCTATAGTGTGAAAGTCAGTAGAGTCAGTTCATAGCTTTCATTCAAGTTGCCTTACTGATGCAAACCTTGTCCTGCTTATGCTTGATTTGCTAGAGCAGTCATTTATTTCTTCCGCATATTAAATCCTTTACGCTTTCTATATTTGGTAATACAAAGGTTAGAAAGATGTGAATCTGAATTTGTACTTGCTAAATTGTGACTTTGAAACAGTGAACCAGGAAGTGGTACTTTTTATTTTGCCATTCAATATTGTTTTAAATTGTCTCACTTTTTTCCCTTACAATTTCTAGAAATATGGAAATCTATGCTTCTGCAGAAGAGCAACCAAAACTTGGGAGGAGTAGAAAGGAACTTTCAGAGGTGATGTTATATTTTAAAAATGTGCTCACAATTTCTCTTGGTCTGATATTTCACTTTCAGCATATACTTCCCCCCTTTGTTTTATAACCTTAGAGTGACTTAAATTATTCAAAGTTTTCTGAATTCCAGAGTACTGAAATTCAAATGCACATAATAATATGTTAATAGAATCAATTATGTGCTTGGATTGTACAGCCCTAGTGCTTATATCAAAATACAGTATGAAGAAATTATTATGTGAATCATCATAGATGTATCTCCTGACTCTTTATATCTTTGTGCCTAATATATAATAATATTTTCTGTTTGCCTGGAATCTATTCACACAATGAACAGGCAGCTAAAAAGTAACGGTGTTTGGAGAAATCATGTGGTTTTGCATACATGTGTCAGTCTACATTAGGAAAAATGAATTTACTTTTGATTTTTTTAAAGTGAGAGTTAAATATCTTAAGCACTGGTATAATAGTGATTTCTTTGAAATATGATTTCCAATTACCTGAATTCCTAAACTGGCTATTGTTCTTATTACCATTTATATATGGAAGTTTTTGATTGGATTCTTTCCAGAAGGTTTTTTTTCCAGGGTGGGGGTGGGGTGGGGGTTCAATTTACCATAGTGTCACACTGATTTCTGCAGCACATTAATAAGTCCCTTCTCAGGTCACAAATTCTTTGAATTGGGAATAGGAAGATGAGGTATAAAAATATTTATTCAATTTTAGTTTTCTATAGAAAACGAGATCATATTCACAATTGCAAAACTGTATGTCTCACTTATTTTGGCCATGTCATGTGAGGGAACTCACTGGAGAAAGCAATTATATTTGGAAGACTTAGTGATAAAAGGAAACCAGCCCACGAAAGAACACAGTGACTGGACATCATTAAAGTGACACCAGCCAGAGCATAGAAAAACTCAAGTAGTCCAAGATCAGAAGATGTGGAGAGACCTGGTCCCTAGAATCCCCCAAGAGTCTGAATGGATGACATCATCATCAGCACCATAGAAAATGAGAGCATGAGGTGTTCTAAGGCTGACAATTAAAGAACAGTTTGTTCTTGCAAGAATTTATCAGTTATACATTTTTTCAGGTTTTCTGATCTAAAGATTAAAGTATCTAATTATGGGGTCCATATATATTTTTCCAACAGATATGGTAAGCAATTTCTAATTCTATTTATATTATTGTTTATTTTATTTTATAGGCAGAGCAAGTCATTTATGATCACTTTTCTGATCCTAATTTTGTTGAGCAGTTAATCAAGTTTCTTTCTTTAGAAGACAGAAAAGGAAAAGATAAATTTAATCCACGAAGGTTTTGCCTCTTTAAGGTAAATGATTATCTAATATTTTGTTTCTTTTCTAGGAAATATGTTGAGCCATGTATAAAGCTGTTTAACAAAAAATCCATGCAGTTAAGCCTTTGTGATTGTTCTATCACAAATATTGCTCTGATTCTGGGGTTTATCAAAATTTTATCAATCATAATTTATAAAAAAGTTCTGCCTCAAGTGCCCTTCTTTACACACTGTTCTTTCCGGCTTGTATACAGCCAGAGTTTTCCATTCTGTCAAGATTGGAGAAATTTAGTTTAATGGCAGATAAGACAAGATAATAAGAAAGTCTGATCAACTGCCACGCTATTGAAACCAATCCATCATATTCAGTGTATTGCCTTCTGTAAGACTTTCATAATGAGAGCCATTTAGAATGGTTGCAAAACTAACATAAAAACTACCTTCTCACATATAACATGCAGGCACACTCATTTGTTCATTTACACTACACTCAGTTTAGCTTGTGTAAAGGCAGTGAGGTTTTCTGATACAGTTTCATTGTTTTATAATTTCCCTCACATCTTAATAATCAAATTTTCAGACTTATGTGGAATTGTGGAAATGTGGTTTCCAGATTATAATTTAGGGACAATGGTAAAATGTACTACTTTTTTCTAAAGCTTTTCAGTGCTTTTCTCTTAATAATGGTTTGTATATCATTTAATTTTGAAAATGGTAGGCCCAATTAATGTTTATGGTAAATTGCATTAAAAAGGCATTAAATATATGCAGAACACTTGTGGCTTGGAAAAATTCCTTCCCCTCTAATTACTGTTGATATTCAACATTTTAAAACATATTTATCATTTTAGAACAATTTAGCCCGTTTTGTAAATGTAATAAGAAGCATTAAGGCTTAAAATCAAATTTGTGTATTATTTCTCTAGGGTCTGTTCAGAAATTTTGATGATACCTTCTTACCTATATTGAAACCACACTTGGAACGTCTTGCTGAAGATTCCCATGAAAGTCCTCAACGCTGTGTGGCTGAAATTATAGCTGGTTTGATAAGAGGGTCTAAACACTGGACGTTTGAAAAGGTAGAGCACATTTCTATGAATTTTGCAAATATATTTGATTCAGATCTTATATATACCAGAATTATTCTGAATTACTGAAGAAAAGTATGTTTTCCTTTGCCTGGAATAGGTGGTTTTCATGTACATACTGTGTTTCCCCGAAAATAAGACCCTGTCTTATATCTTTTTGAACCCTGAAATAAGCGCTTGGTCTTATTGCCATGCGCTCAAAAGCCCGATTGGGCTTATTATTAGGGGATGTCTTATTATGGGGGAAACAGGGTATATTGATCTGAGGGATTTATTACATAAATACTTGAACGTTTTATATATGTGTGTGGCCCTTGACAGATTTTTAAAAAGGTTACTTGTGACCCATCCTTGAATTTACGACTGCTGCACCAATCCAGGGTCACATGATCGCTCTCTCTCCTACACACACACACACACACACACACACACACACACACACACACACACACGTGTGTGTGTTTAATTTCAAACACACATTTCTTTAGTAACTTTTTTTTAATCTGTTGTAACTTTGAACAGTCATTAAACAATATTTTTAATTTGGATATTTCTATTGTTTTTATTGTTTAAAATATTTTTGGTATTTTAATTGTAATATTTTTTTCGAATCGTAAGCTGCCCAGGGTCATTGATTGAAATGGACGGCTATCGAAATTAGACAAATGAACCAATCAAAAGTTACTCTCCCTCTCAGTCCCAGGAAGCAGGCAATGGCACTTCCATGAAAACTGCAGGGACTTTTCCAGGAGTAAAGATTGATTTGAAGGCACACACACATCTAAATAATTAGTTTGAAATTAGGGATGTTTAAATATGGAACAGATATTTCGGTCTTGCTTTCTGAACTACAGTATTAACACAGCCTATGCTTTCAGTATGTGGTGTTTTTTGGTTCCTTTAAAACTAAGGTGTATGAATTCTGACCGAAATAGACTTTGCTTATATGTATTCCACTCTATAAAAACAAAATTGTTTGGAATTGCAGGTGCCTTGTATTACATTGTTTTTCTCATCATTATGTACAGGTGGAGAATCTTTGGAAAGTTCTCTGTCCACTTCTTAGGACAGCTTTATCCAATATTACAGTAGAAACTTACAATGATTGGGGGACATGTATAGCAACATCATGTGTAAGTCTTGTATATTATTTTTCACTCTGCCATGTTATGAAAGCATTCTCCATTCTTCTAACAGTGGCTTTGTCTGTGAATATGGGGAAAATAGGCTATACTGAAAATAGATTATAGCTTTTGACTATTCTAATTTTAGTTTTTATCTAGAAAGAGGAATGGAAATTCTTTTATAATGATTTGTTACATTGATTATATATATGTATGTTCAGAATTCTAATACTGTAGAGGTTTTATTTTGAAGAATTTTTTGTTGGGTTTGGGTTAGGGTAACTATGGAATTTATTGAAAAAGCATAGTTATGTTATAAATGCACAGTGAAATACAGTATCAATGTTTGATGCTGAAATGTCTCCCAGCAAGTTACATTAAGATTTATGTTTTGAGGAAATGATTTTGCCCCTTTTTCCTTTAAAAAAATATAAATACAGGAGAGCAGAGATCCCAGGAAATTGCACTGGTTGTTTGAATTATTATTGGAGTCGCCACTGAATGGTGAAGGAGGATCATTTGTTGATGCATGGTAAGGAAAAAAACATTTTCTCATTTATTAGTCAAAGCATGGATGAAAATAGAACATTTATTTGTGCTTGCTATGCTTTTAACAATATGATAATAATCAGAATAGCAGTTGAGTTGCCATGCATACAGTTAGAACAATTAATCAGTGGAACAACTTGCCTCCAGAAGTTGTGAATTCGCCAACACTGGAAATTTTTAAGAAGTGACTGAATAACCATTTATCTGAAATGGTATAGGGTTTCCTGCCTGTGCAGGGGGTTGGACTAGAAGACCTCCAAGGTCCTTTCCGACCCTGTTATTTCTGATATTCTGTTATAAGTGATTATAGCAGCTATTTAGGTGGCTATGGAAAATATGCTTAAATCTTATTGATTTGCTTAGCAACATTTTAAGCAAAAGTTGTTGACACCCACTGGTCCTGATGTCTTTATATTTGTATCTTTTGGTCACCATCTGAGTATAGTTGATAAAAATCAGCAAGATTTTTCAGAAAGTTAGGGTAGATAGTTAAGCATTTACAGTTACTGTTATATCAGGAGCTAGATATTTCTTCCCTTAAGGGTACACTACAGTGACAGAGTGTATTTACACTTATATGTACATGCAAAAAATTATAATGCTATGTACATAATAAATACTAATACAGGTTAGAACCCAAAATTGAATAGTTCATTTGCTTGATGTAAGTTCTGATATGATCAACTTTTTAAAAACACATGGCATAGTGGCTGATTAGCCCACTCTTCACTAGCTAAACATAGAATCACTGTCTTTTTTATGAACAAGAGCAGGGTAAGGCATTTGGATTTTGCCTTATCTTTGCAGAAGATGGAAGTACACTTTTGAAGGCACCATCACTTCACTAACTTTTTCTTCTTTTTACCTTCTAGTCGTCTGTATGTTTTGCAAGGGGGCCTTGCACAACAAGAATGGCGAGTGCCAGAACTGCTGCACAGATTGCTGAAATACCTAGAGCCTAAGCTCACCCAAGTTTATAAAAATGTCAGAGAGAGGATAGGAAGGTTAGTATTAAGACTACACTACGTCATATGTTTTTCAACCTTTAGATATCCCAGAAAATTGTCATTTTGTTTATATGTACTCCAGAAATAAGAACAAGGCAAAGTGATTTGGTTAGTTTGAATTCAATCTTTAAGGCATGAAACTAAATTAAAAGTGCGTTCTTGTGTTTTATGCAGTGTTTTGACATACATCTTCATGATAGATATTTCTTTACCAAATACTGCACTAACAAAGTCTCCCCGTGTCCATGACTTCACTTCTCGAATACTTGAAAAACTCAAACCTCTTATGGAAGTGGATGAAGAAATTCAGAATCATGTTTTGGAAGAAAATGGAGTTGGAGAGGAAGATGAACGAACTCAGGGCATTAAACTACTGAAAACTAGTAGGTGCTTGTGTTAAATGTGTGAGAACCTAAATAAATATTCACTGGTGGTGAAATGCCATTTAAAGGAAAAATTGTTCAGAAGAGATGAAGTTGTGTTTTGTTCTTTGTCTTTGAATTGAGAAATATGCTTGTCTGTTTTTTTTACTTGACAGTTCTAAAGTGGTTGATGGCAAGTGCAGGGAGAGCTTTTTCTACAGCTGTTACAGAACAGCTTCAGCTTTTGCCATTGTTTTTCAAGGTATGTAGTTTGATATACAGCTTGATTTGTTTAGATGACAAGGGTGCTTTTCCAGTAACACTTAACATTTTAATAATGTGTGAATGAGACTTCATTTAAACAAATAGCATGTACAGAAAGTCAGGCCACATAGACAACCCATTATACAAATTACATTAAATGTTTGAATTGGTTGCCATTTCTTCTAAACATTTCCTTATTCATTTGATGCATAACCTTTGAAAACACTGCAGGGAAATCTTTTAAAGATTGCCACTTTAGGATGCAGACTTCCAGCTGTTGGTCCTGCTCACATTGGTTTTAGTTTCAAGTCTATGCAAAAAGGTTGCTTACTATGGAAATTTCAAAACATCCCAGACATAATAAAAAACATAATATTTGAGAATGCATGTCTGAAATAAGGTGTTTTGCTTGTACCTATTACTATTATCCTTGCTTTTTAAATCTCTTCTCATGTAATTATGAGTTTCCAGATTTTGATTGGATATTTTCATATTGACAGATACCTGTGTGAATTAACTATTTAGAGTCACTAACTGCAGTTAAATTTTTTTAGCTATATTTTAATGACATACTAGTTTGAATTGCTTTCTGCATATTGCAGAAATATTTTATATTTTAGTCCATCCCAGTACAGCTAGTCCTTGATTTACAACAGTTCATTTAGTGACCATTCGAAATTACAACAGCACTGAAAAAAGTGATTTAGGATTGTTTTTCACACTTACAACCATTGCAACATCCCCATGGCCATGTGATTAAAATACAGATGCTTGGCAATTGACTCATATTTATGACAGTTGCAGTGTTTCTGGGTCATCAGATCACCTTTTGCGACCTTCTGACAAGCCAGAGTCAATTAATAACCGTGTTTTTAAGTTAACAACTGCAATTATTCGCTTAACAACTGTGTCAAGAAAAGTCATAAAATGGGGAAAAATCACTTAACAACTGTCTTACTTAGCAACAGAAATTTTGGGCTGAATTGTGGTTGTAAATTGAGGACTATCTGTGTAGCATTTTAGGAGTTTTAGCTTCTTTATTAATTATATTAGTTTTCTTAGAGAGTTTAAATTGCAGTTTCTCAATGCGTCTTGCATTTATTCAGTTTCAAGACTTCATTAGTTGCTACTAACCTTTCATCTACTTGTTTCCACAGATTGCGCCTGTAGAAAATGATCATAGCTATGATGAATTGAAGAGAGATGCTAAAATGTGCTTATCATTAATGTCTCAGGGATTGCTATATCCTCAACAAGTGCCTTTGGTACTTCAGGTGCTAAAACAAGTATGTGATACTTTTTAAACTGATTTTTTAAACAGCATAATTATATATATTTAATCTTGTGTTAGTAGTTTTTTTGATATCAGTGCTGAAAAACTGTTAGCAAACATATTTGATCTGAATACACAAGAGACTGCAAAGTTTTTGTTGATTATCGAAATACCTGAAATATAATAGAATATTGTATAGGGAAACATATCTATGGTATATATTCTCTGGGTTTTAGTGCATTTCAGCTAGCAATACAAAAATAGAGAACATCTGTAGCCCAAACCTTGTCTGACTTCATAGAATTCCTGTGATAATGAGATTGTAACTCAGTGAATACTTTGGGACGTATTATATTATAATAATAATATAATAATAATATTATAATTCCTTGTGTGTCCAATCACACTTGGCCAATAAAGAATTCTATCATATTCACATGAGTAACCCATTGTAAAATTATTAACCTTTTCTGACAGGAATGAAGCAATTCACTTAGTTGAATTATAATAAAGGACAAACATATCCCTACTGAAGTGTCAAATCTCTGTTTTGGGAAAAAGGTTGTCCTTTGCAGCAGGAAATAGGTCACTTTAAACAAACCCATCGACAACTAAATATCACAGGTGTTGTCTGTGATAAGTGGAAAAATAATCATGCTTTGATATTCAGATTGCCATGATGTAATCCCCAAAATGGGTTCTTGTGTTCAGTTAGATTTGCTCTTCAATTTTCTCCAACAACACTGTAGGCCAGGGGTGTCAAACTCATGGCCCGCAGGCCAGATGCATCATGAGCTACCCCAGTTTTAGCAAAGGGGGGAAAAGTTACAATACATCATGTGACAACGTGTTGTCGCAAATTTGACACCCCTCCTCTATGCATCTCTTGCATTTCATGTCCCTGGACTTCCTGTTGTGGCCCAGGCCCAAGTAGTCAGTATTAAAGCAAACAGTTCGAAAACAAACAGACTTTATTAGAACAGCTGAGAATTAACTCATTCTCAGCGTAGTCCAAACTAAATCAAACAAAGTCTTCATAAAGTCTTATCACCAACCTTGGTATAATTAGGCAAACTGCCAAAAGCTTCTCTTGGCAAAAGTTCAGAAACAGAGGATGCTGAGCAAGATAAGAGCCAAGTTTATCAATGTTGTTTTCCGACAAAAAACCCAAGAGCTGTTGCTGATCTTTTAAGCCTTATGGAAGGGGCCAATCATCTCTTGGCCTTACTCCTGAGTTGTCTGCTTTGCTTTAGCTGCTCTTGCCTTCTGGCAGCTCGTCTCATATGTGCACTAGGAATAGGCTCCTCCTGTTCCTCTGCCTCTCTACTGTCAGCTTCTGGAGGCTCCGGAGTCCGCATATCACTCCCCGATGGCCCTGGCCCCATCTCTGCCTCCGACGTAGAGCCCTCATCTGGGCCTTCCCCAGCCTCCAGGACTGGACCATGTTCTTCCTCAGCCTCATCACCTCCTCAGCCTCGTCTGACTCCGCTGCCAGCTTGGCAGGCTGCTGGCGGACCACAACACTTCCTCAGAAGACCAAGAATCCAGAATCAACACACACTGAGAGTCCATATAGGAGCAATCCAGCCTAATTTATCCATTCCATTACTTGCCCATTATAGGACATGGCCAAAGCATCCTTTGACCCCATCCAATCAGATTCTCAGGAAAACCCTCAGGGACCTCAGAGTCCCCTAGTTTTTGGGAACAGACCACGGGTGAAATCCAGCAGGTTCTGACTAGTTCTGGAGAACCAGTAGCGGAAATTTTGAGTAGTTCGGAGAACCGGCAAATACCACACTCTGGCTAGAGTGGGGTGGGAATGGAGATTTTACAATATCCTTCCACCTGGAGTGGGGACGGAATGGGGATTTGCAGTACCCTTTCCCTGTCATGCCCACCAAGCCACACCACATCCACCAAGCCACGCCCACAGAACCGATAGTAAAAAAATTTGGATTTCACCATTGGAACAGACCTATCTAATAAGTCTAATTCTAAGTACTAACTGCTCTTTCAGCAACCATTTGAAATTATGACAGTACTGAAAAAGGAGATTTAAGACTCCATAGTCATGTGATCACAATTCTGGTGCATTGCAACTAGGACAATCATGGTGTTCCACGGTCACGTGATCACCATTTGCGACCTTCACAGCCAGCTTCTGAAAAGCAGTCAATGGGGAAGCTGACAGACCGTCACAAGTCACAGTCACCTGATGTTATACTTAATGGCCATGGGGTGAGCACTTAATGACTGCAGCCAGAATTGACATTATAAGACATTATGGTAATGTGATATATCACTTTATGACATCGCTTAGCAGTGAAGTTGCCAGTTCCAACTGCAGCTTGTAAATGTGGACTACTATAAGCAATCTTTCTTAACAAGTTCAACCTGGTCAAAGGAGGGGAAAATATGTTGAAAGACAAAGGAAATTGTAATTTATATGTTTGGGGCATGTACTCCTTACACTGTAGCAGGTTAAGGACTGACATCGTAGAGCAGAGGTGTGCAATTGTTTTCATGTTTAAGGTTACACTTAGCCTTTGAGGGGGAAGGGAAAACAAGTAGAGGAGAGAGAGATTAGCGGTAATCTGTGAGATGAAAAATTGTTTGGAATTTCAAGCATATTAACTACAAAATGTTTAAAAATCATCAACTATTATAGATGAATTCTGAAATATAATTTTGGAAATCAACAGTTTGATTTAGGCTGTATTCTACTTTACTTTTCTAATTTCTGTGGTTTTATTATTTTGGACTCTTCTTTTTATCTTTTTATAGATTGCAAAGAGTAATTCCTGGCATGCTAGATATACTGTGCTAACCTACCTCCAGACTATGGTATTTTATAATCTTTTTATCTTCTTAAACAATGAAGAAGCTGTGAACAACATCAGATGGCTGGTTATAAAACTATTGGAAGATGAACAGCTTGAGGTGAACACATTCTTGTGCTCCTACTTTTTTTTTTTTTTACAATTTGTGAAATATTTATTTGTGGAATAAATGTGGAACCATAGGCTTGGATATGATACGTGTGCTTGGTGAGCAAATTAAACACAATCCATGATGATTTGCTATAGCAGTCCAATATTTTCTTATTATTGCTCTTCCTAAATGATAGTTCATCACAATTTTAACTAGTAACCTCTCCATTGCTCAGTAAAAGTTTTCCAGCACTGGCTATACATTTATTCCTTAATGATCCATTAGGTTTTAGATTTAAAAAGAATATTTTTTGTGAGTACTAAGTCTTAAAAGAAATATATGTTTAACTTAGTAAGAATTGAAATCAGTGACTAAAGATGCTTATCACTGAGTATATTATTATACTCTTAATATATACTGAGTATATATTATATACTTGTTCTGATATGCTTTGCTTTGTACTAGTACCAAATACTATTTAATTATTATATAGTTAGATGAAATACCCTTGCTTATCACATTCCACCTGCTGATACCAGATAATAAAATGTTGTATGAAATAGGTATTGGAGATGTAACAGTTTTCTCAATGCAATCCCTTCTAAAGGGATACAGTCAAAATTCATAAGGATGCTACTTCTTGGTACCCAGATGTGTAGAAGATTCCTTTTGAAGATGAGAAGCGGAACAGATCTCATTAAAGCAGTTCTGAATTTGATTTTGCCATCCTGATATATTGTTTATACTGCAAGCCATCCTTCATCTGCCTTGAGCTTGCAAGATAAATTTTATTCCTTTGTCTAATTGAAGTAAAGTCTAATCAAAGATTGTGGATTTTCCACTTAATATTTAGTCTCGACTAGCAATGAGAAAGCTCTGTTGGAAATAAAATAGGAGTGTTAGTGCCACACTAATGCAAGATCTTCTGTGCAATTGTCGATAATAAGAAATTAATTCAATACTTCAGGTCCTTTTGTCATGCCTGTTAATCAAACTGATGTAGAATTTTGATGAAACTTTTGATGGAAAATATTTTTCCATATTTGTTATCCTGTTTTACAATTGTGCTTAATTTTGTCACTGTAAGAATAACACTACTGCTTCTGACAAAAGTATTAATATCTATCAATATGGGGCCATATACTTTATGGATGTCAGAGTTTGAAAAAAAAAACAAATTTATAAGTAACATTGAAATTTGAAATATTCAGTTCTTATTCCAGTGCTAGATAATCAGGCAGGCTCCTGAAACTGCCCTTTAAAACACTCATAAATAAAAGAGAGCAATTTACTCTCTTTTATATTTATTTAGAGGTGTCCTCACTTAACAACCAATTGTTCAGCAGAAGTTCAAAGTTATGGCAGTGCTGAATGAATGGTAATTATATTCTGTTCTTGAAGTTACAGCCATTTCAGTGCCCCAGGCATGTAATCAAAATTTAACTGCTTGGCAGCCCACCTGTACTTACAACCACAGGGGCGCTTCAGCACCCCCACCTATCACTCATCCATATCATTCCCGTTTTGACTGCCAGGCAGTCCTTTGCCAACCCTGCTTCCCCCTGGCACTGACCCTCATCTGACCTTCGCCATTTTCTCCTTCCTCCTGCTGGTCTAGGATTCATGTGCTGGTTTATTTATTTATTTATTTATTTATTTTTCATATTTGTATACCGCCCTACTGCCGAAGGACTCAGGGCGGTGAACAGCCATAATAAATACAAATACATATAGAAGTTAAAAACTATTAAGAAACAGATTAAGTAATTTAGGCTCAAAGATTAAAAACATCCAAATTTATCTAAAGAGGTTTAAAACCCAATTTAAAAGCCAGTTTAAAAGCCAATTAAAAAGGGAGAGTTAGGCCAGACCAGCTTGTTGGAATAGAAATGTTTTCAGGGCACGGCGGAATATGCGTAATCTTGGATGTTTCGTAACTCCGGGGGAAGCCCGTTCCAGATGGTAGATGCCCCCACAGAAAAGGCTCTCCCCCTGGGGGCCGTCAGTCGACATTGTTTGGCCGACGGCACCCTGAGGAGTCCCTCTCTATGGGAGCGAACTGGTCGGTGAGAGGCTATTGGTGGCAGGAGGCGGTCTCGTAAGTACCCTGGTCCTGAGCCATGGAGCGCTCTAAAGATAGTAACCAAAACCTTGAAGCGCACCCGGAAGACCACTGGGAGCCAGTGCAGCTCGCGCAGGAGGGGGGTTACATGAGAGCGCCACATTGCTTCCATTACCACCCGCGCGGCCGCATTCTGGACCAGTTGGAGCCTTCGGGTGCTTCTCAAGGGGAGCCCCATGTAGAGAGCATTACAATAATCCAGGCGTGAGGTGACAAGGGCGTGAGTGACCGTGCGTAACGAGTCCCGATCCAGAAAGGGACGCAACTGGCGAATCAGGCGAACCTGATAAAAAGTCCTCCTGGCTACGGCCGTCATATGCTCTTCAAAAGACAGCTGTGAGTCCAGGAGGATGCCCAAGTTGCGAACCCCATCTGTGGGGGCCAACGACTCGCCCCCAATAGTCAGAGATGGCACCAACTGACTATATCGGGACGACGGAAACCACAGCCACTCGGTCTTGGATGGGTTGAGTCTGAGTTTGTTCCTCCCCATCCAGATCCGTACGGCCTCCAGGCACCGGGACATCACCTCGAGGGCATCATTGGGGTGGTCTCGGGTGGAGATGTACAGCTGGGTGTCATCAGCGTACTGATGGTACTTCACCCCAAAACCACGGATGATCTCACCCAGCGGCTTCACATAAATGTTGAATAGAAGGGGCGAGAGGACCGATCCTTGTGGCACCCCACATATAAGGGGCCTCAGGGTCGACCTCTGCCCCCCTGTCAACAAGACTGCGACCGGTCAGAGAGAAAGGAGGAGAACCACTGTAGAACAGTGCCCCCCACCCCCACCCCTTCCAACCGGTGCAGCATGATATCATGATCGATGGTATCAAAAGCCGCTGAGAGGTCTAGTAGGACCAGGACAGAGGAGCAACCCCTGTCCCGAGCCCTCCAGAGATCATCAACCAATGCGACCAATGCTGTCTCTGTGCTGTACCCGGGCCTGAATCCCGACTGGAACAGATCTAGATAATTCGATCCATCCAGGTACTGAGGATTGAGGGTACAGCCCCAGGATGTGCCTGGTAAACTCAGTAGAACCTCATCTTTTGAAGTAAGCTTGCTGGGCTCAGCAAGGAGGAGGCAGCAGGATGAAACAGTTGGTGGAGACAGGGTGGCATTACAGGGGAAAATGCCCTGTTTCTACTACGAGCATGAGGAATGATAGCGTGAAGACCATGGAGGGCTTAGCAGACCAGTGAGATGCAGCATACGCCATTGCCCTGAGTGGTTCCCTGAATGACGTTTTTGACTGTGTAGGAGACATTGTGTTGGGTTATGGCAGAACTGGAGGAAACAGAGAGATGAGTACTTCCTAGCAGGACAGCCCTGCAGCTTGTGTTGGAAGTGCTCCTGGAGAACTGATCTTTCTTGAGGTTTTGTAGGAGGAATGTTGGGCCAAGCAAGCAGAGAGCCTCTTATTGGTGCTTGCCTCCACCCATTGCTGAAGCCTGCAGGCTGGTTCTCTAGGAGTGCGTCCAATGTGAGATGGAAAGCTATACTTTAAAGGGCCTGTGGGCTATTCTCCTTGCCCTAGTGGTGGAAAACAAGGCTCTTCCTTTGACTCCATCCTGCTCCCACCTCCCTGGTCAGGCCCAGCAAGTCCCCGTCAGCAGACAAGACTTCATCATGCTGCTGTGTTGCCACATGCCTCCCGAAACTGTACTCTTACCAATACCTGGACCCTGGCTCAGCAGCAGGAGAAAAAAAGACTTTCAGCTGTGGGCGGTAATCGCAGAGTGAAGGTGACAAATTGGCAGAAATGGAGTAAAGTTGGGGGAGTTGAAGAAGTGTGATATCTTTGCCTAATGACAGCATGATCCTGACCTAATGACTACACCTGTGACTACTGGAATTACCATTACTAAGTAGTGTAGGCATATGTTTCATCTAACAATGTTGCACCTTCACTATGTACTGGAAATTCTGGTTCAAATTAGGGTTATTAAGCAAGGACTGCCTGTGTTCATTCCATTACTGTGCAGTGACAACCACTAGTACAAATTTGGCAGCCTAATCTGCCCATTAGGGCATGGTAAATTTTGAAATAAATGTAAAATTGTCAAAATACTTGCTTTTGTGCAACATCTTAATAATCATATTGCCATAGAAACCCCTGTATTGCAGAGGTTGTAATTTGTTTTTCTTTCCTTTTAGGCAAGATCTAATAGGATGATGATTCACTACCCTTGTATTGTATCTCTGTTATTTTCTATATAAATTAGAGGTTTTTGTCGCAATTGTAGGGTGTAAATCCTTCCTAGGCTGATCTTTGCCACTTACTCATCCATTTAATTGGGGTTTTTTTTACATTTTGAAGTTATATCTATTCATTTAGAATAGTTTTTGGAAGCCATATTTTCAGTCACTTTCTCAGATCTTTGGATTTTAGATGACTGAATAATAATGTAAATGCACATTTATATTTGAGAGCAAAAAAGACTTTCAGAGAGATGTATTGATATTTAAATTTCATAAACATTAAACATTAGTTAGCATGTTGTTTTCTAGTCTCAATAATCTTCCTTACTCCAAATGTAAAGATGCATTAAAAAAAAACCTTAGGGAAAGCTAGGTAATACTCTCTAAATCAAATCTGCTGCTCTCTTGCTATGTTATCTGGACCTTAGAACTATACCACATTTTTAAAAGCTGTGATAAAGCATCTTCTACATTATATTTCCTTGTTGGATTTATATGTAGTTTATAGAATTGCACTAAGATGGCAGCCTACTTCTGTACCTGGATCCTTTGTGTAAACATTAATGTGTTCAGGTAGTCCCCAACATACGACCACATGGGACCAAGATTGCTGTCATAAGTTGATGCTGTTGTAAAAGCAAGGCCATGAGACTTAAAATGATGAACCAACACTCCCTGTTGTGGTTGTTAATGAAGAATTGCAAGTCATTAAGCCAATATCTACTCTACCCCAATCTAAGCCATTCCAGACTTAGTCTCTCCCAGCCTCAAGCTTCAGTAAGGTAAGGGACTGTCTCCAAGCCCCTCATCTGCCTATCTCTACCCTTTGGTTGCCTTACATCCTGGCTTGCAGGATACCAAACAGTCCCAGAACCATGTGGCTCTGGGGTTGCTTACATGTCCATGAAAGTTTGAGTCATCCTAGCCCAGTCCTAGTCGCAGTCGCCCTTACTACTCTGCACTCTGAGATCCTGCCTACCTGGTGCTCCATCATCCCAGTTCACCTTTGCCGTTTTTTGTTCCCTCTGCTAATAAGGTCTGTCCAGCCTGGGCTAAGCTTCGGCTGTGGAAAAAGAAAGTTGAAAGTAGTCCCTGAACGACAGTATGCCAAAATGCCTCTTTGCAAAAATCTTCTGGAGTGCAGAACCCTGAAGCGCTCCTTTGGGTATGATTGCCCTGCCCACGCACTATTCAATCAGTCTCTGTTGAGCCAGCCTATCCCCTAACCATTTTTCAAACTAAAGCAAATTTTGTGCACTTTCCATCCTACCTGCAGTCCTACGTTGGCCTGGAAAAGTTTACTTCAGAGCACCTTAACCTTCAATCAGCTGAGCTAACAGCTATTCATTTTGTTCACTCCTCATGCCAAGGACTTATACTTTCCATGCTTTGCATTTCTGCAGCCTGCCACTTTATCCTCTATGAGGTTGTATCCAGAAGTCAAGAAAAAAAAGCATAACCACAGGCAAGAGAAGCATGTTGGAGATTAACTCTCGCCCTGCCAAAATCCACCTGGTTCCCATTTGCTTGCAATGGCAGTTTCATTTCGACTATCCTCTTCCCATTTGTTTTTTAGTCTCAGTCTGGGGCTGGTCTTTACGAGTATGGAAAAGAGGGCATTTTGACACAGTGCACTCCAGGAGCTTTTTGCGAACAGATGTTTCAGTGTGCTGCTGCTCAGGGACTGCTTTTGACTCCCCACAGCATGCCTTATCAGCACTGAGAGCAAGAAAATGGTGAAAGTGAGCTGGGGTGGCAGAATGTAGGTTGGTAGAGTTCTAGGAATGCAGGTTGGCAGGAGCAGCTGTAGTTGGGACTAAGCTGGAATGCACCTGTACGATTGTAAGTGCAGGTTGGCTGCCAAGAGTCCAAGTTTTGTTCACATAACTCAGGGGGCACTGCAACAGTCCTAAATTCAGATATAGGTCATAAGTCCATTTTTTTCATCACCATTGTAAGTTTGAATCATCATAAGTTGATGAATATCTGTTTGGAAAAAATACATTCTTATCTATTAAATTTATATATTTATTTATATAATTTATATGGCTACCCATTTTACTGAAGTGACACTGAGTGGTAAACAGAAATTAAAACCCCCAATATTTAAAAACAAAAACCTAGCACTGATAATGTTATCTACTTTGAGTAATGAATCATCTACAAGAAAGCAACTAAGCTTAGAGAGCACCAACGGCCCCTCATTTCAACCCTGAACTACAAATAGGCCAGCCATCTTCCCTGAAAAGGGGAAAATTTACAGAAAATGTAATACTATCAGGGAAGGAACTCAAGCAGTTGACCTTCCTTGAGGTAGAAAATATAAGGAGATTTGCAAAAACTTAACACTCCAACCTACATTATCTGTTTTCTCAAAGGACTTTTATGTGGCTTCTTCAGCCTTTCGGTATCCTAGGGCCAGTGAACTCTAGGAGAGTTCTCGAGATAAGAATTTTAAGTGTACTTTAGTTTATCAAGATATTGTAACTTATCCCATTGCTTAAGAATATATTAAAGGTTTAGAAACACAGGCAGTTAGTCAATCTTTGAGTACATAATAAAACCAAGCCATTTGGATAATGTCCCAATAACAGAATCAGAAATTTGGAGTCCAAATTAATAATTATCTTACTGCCTCTCTTTGAAATACATTTCAGTATTTTGCTCAGCAAATTATAAAATTTCATCCTTGAACATAATCTACTTAAATTCCATAGAACCAAAATGAAAAACCCTATAATGAATTACCAGAAATTAACTGGCTCCTAAAATCCATTTCTTGTACAAATATTGTAATATTAAGTATGAGTTACAAGGTTTCTGAAATGAAGAAGATTGTACACCTTATTAACATATTTCTGATGTAGCTAAAAGGTGAACTGCTAATAACTTCCAAGAATACTTGACAATGGAATAAACACCGACTTATTTTATTTACTTTATTTTCTATAATAATTCTGTTTTCTGTAATGCCATTTTAATGCCTTAATAATAATCATAGTCAAACAAAAGCCAGTATGCAACAAACTTTCTGTGTTCATCAGCTACTACGGGATCGTTCAAAAAACATCACAAGGCTTACACTCATGTGTAAGGTAGACCAAAAAATACTGTCTATTTATTCTTTTCAGCACATGGGGCTCACCATGCCACAAGTTTGTCCTATGTGTCTGCTCAGAATTTCAAATTCAGACCTTGTCCAACAAAATGCTAAGATCCTAATTGCTGCCATGGGCCTCCTGCCACAGGCAGTGGGTAAGACTAGAAAACCATCAAGGTCCCTTTTAACCCTATTCTATGTTTAACATAATAACTTTTTCTATTCACTGGAATTTAAACGAAACTTTACTTGTGATCCTGATGCTACTGTCTCATGAAGAGTCTTACTGCTTAATACAGTGAACATTGACTTTGCAAACAACGTGTACACAAAGTGTACATGTGATAATGCCAGGGTACAATTCTGTCACCCTCTTTCTCACATTTAGAACAGTGTTTTTCAATTTTAGCAACTTTAAGATTGGCTAAATCAACTTCAATTTCCAGAATTCCCCAACCCAGCTGTTCGGGAATTCTCAGAAAAGAAGCCCACACTTCTTAAAGTTGTTGAAGTTGAGAAATACTGATTTAGAATATAGTGGAAATAGGGATGCCCTTACTGTTATTACTGATGCTTTTATTTGATCCTAGGTGAGAGAGATGGCTGCTACCACTTTGGGTGGTTTGCTCCAGTGCCACTTCCTGGCGATCGATGACCCTATGCAGACTCATTTTGAGCAGCTCTGTAAAATGAGACTTCCAAAGAGAAGAAAACGAGACCTCAGTACTGTAGTGGATACCATTCCCCCTGCAGGTAAGGAGGAGGTGGAATGGTATCAGGAAGGTGTAAATCATGCTGAATGGATTTGTCAGAGGGGTATTACCTCAGCTTTCTGATTTACATATTTTCCACCTTTCTGTGCATAACATTTGAACATTTGAAAAGTATCCGGTCTTCTAAAAGTGAGTCAGCCAGTTATTTCTGACATACAATGCAGTCTAGTTCACAGGAAAGGGGGACCTGCGTTAGAGATTGTCATTAGGAAGAACAGGGAGCAATCTGAAGCTTCCTAAATAATGGAATCTCAGAATGACAGTTGACATGACTGAGCTGCATTGAATTTAGGTCAAACCACAAAAAAAGAGTGACCAATGCATCCTCAAAGCAATAACCTTTGTACCATCCTTGTAAATCACATGATTACATTGGGTAATTTGCAAGCAGCTCGCATTTATAAATATTGCAGCCTCTTGCAGTCATGTAATTGTGATTTGCGACCGTCTCTTTGCATCCCTTTATAGTCCCAAAAATCTGCTCAATGAAATTTAAAGAAAACCATGTAAATGTGTATGCATGACAGTGGTTTAAAGGGCTTCAGAGAGAACTGGTAAAAATCCACTCTGCCATACCCTTTCCCCATAGATAGAAGGAGCTTATTTCTTATTTGTGCCAATTGAAGACTCCTGTCCCATGGAAGAATTACCAACTTTTTTCTTGCAGATTTAGTTAAACGCCATGCTGGCGTGCTTGGACTTAGTGCGTGTATTTTGTCCAGTCCATATGATGTGCCCACGTGGATGCCTCAACTTTTGATGGATCTTAGTGCGCATCTGAATGATCCTCAGCCTATTGAGGTATGATTCATTTGATCAATCGTTGGAATTCTTATGCTGAAGCTTGGCCTCTTAAATGACTTACTTTTTGAGAAGAAGCTGCTTAGTCTACTGCTTAGAAAATTTCTGTTATAGGTACTGGCTATTTGGGTTGTTTTGTTTTAACCAAATGTTTGTAATAAAGATCAAAACAGAAATTATTCAATAGTACCTTTTTAAGATTTTTTTTTTTTTTTGCTTTTTAGCTAGTTAACAAAGATAACCATTTACAGAGCCAGTTTGGTTTGATTCTGATAATAATCTCTTAGTTTTATTTTATGCATTAAAAAAAAGGGGGGAGAATAGGAATAATCTTCTCACATAAAACAACACAGTACTAAACAAAAATATGTAGTTGTACATATCTGTTAAACTTTTGTATTTTAACAATTTATTGAATAGAATAAAAAGAAATATATGAGCTAATATACACAATTCTTAAATCACTATTAGTGATTTAAGTTTCTCTATAACCTAAAACATTTGAACAAAATTCTGAATAATATATTTACACTTACAAAGCTGAATCACAGTCTTAAGAACAAGACAGTTTATAGTTGTTTTAAATACATTGCCTAGATCTCTCTCTGTCTTTCTCCACACAGATGACAGTAAAAAAGACATTGTCAAATTTCCGGAGAACTCACCATGATAACTGGCAGCAACATAAGCAACAATTCACTGATGACCAGCTGCTTGTCCTTACAGATCTTTTGGTATCACCATGCTATTATGCATAAAAGGGTGAGACTGTGTTGTAAAATCTGTACCCTTGGGCTATCTTGGAATGGTCTTCTTGATATCCAGCTTGACATAGCAAAATGTCACCTTTCAAACAGTGCCTTGTAATTTTTAGACTCATTAAATGAAACCAATACTGTCTGGCCTTTTCCTTCCTTCATATAAGAAACTCTGTAGAATTCTCGTTTAAAAATATAAAATTAAAATGTATTACCCTTTTGATTTAAATTGAAAGAAAATAATCAAATATAGATGGGGCATGTATTGAATATGGTGTCAAAGACATTGAAACATAATTTTTGCTATCCCAAAGGTGCCTTTCAAAAGGCAACTGGACTTTCTTGGGTTTTCTTCCCCTTGAAAACATTTAATTTCTCGTCCTAGAAGCTCTTCAGTTTGGACTGAATGGTGGGGAATAGAATAATTTATATTCTTTGCTGTCATCTGTTTGTTAGTACTCTTAAGAGTCGTTGAGGTCACTTGGGGATTTACTTGTACTCTCAGGGTGACTGCAAATAGGTGTGGAACCTTCTTGGGACTGCTGAAAAGACTGTGTGGTAGAAACCAAGAAAGTCCAGTTGCCTTTTGAAAAGCACCTTTGGGTAACCATGATCTGGATGATTGAGAATCTCCATAGATAACTTTTTCTAGTTTTCCACTATATTATCTTGAAATCAATTTACATTCATCTTGCATTATATTTATTTTATGTGATGATAAAATGGGGTTCACACCATATTTACATTTTATGTGAGACTAGTATGGACAATATTTTGACAGCACTGCGTCATGTTTGCATGTGGTAGTAAACAGGATGTGACCTTGATATAATGAAGAACAACTGCACTGATTTTACTGGCAATCTGGTTACTTGTTATTCTCTTAATACAGAAGTTCTCAACTCAAATGCAGTCCCACAGGGGTCTCAAGCAACTTGGAAAGGGGTCATATTTTTTTAAAGATTTGCACAGGTAAAGTCGGAAGAAAAGGCCCAGGTAGCATTGGGAAGATGGCAAAACCTGAGCATCTAGTAATCTGGAAAAGGGATGCATCAATCAAAAGAGTTTATTTAACTCATTGTTTTAATTCATGAGTAAGGATGAACAAATTTGTTTATCGTTCAAGGGATTATGGTATTGCAAAATTCAAGAATCCTTACCTTAATGAATTGCCATGTGTAAAATATTTTCATTGATCTGGAACCCCAGAAGAGGAACAAGAAAAGAGCCTCATATGAGGTCAGAAACTGGAGAGTGCTTGCTTTCATGAACTTTGAATTGAATAGAGACCTGCTTGCCATTGTACAGAACTGGTTTACAATCATGATAAAGTTTATCATTTTAGTAAATAAATCACAATTAACTTGGTTTGTAAATACATAAACTCATATGTTATCATTTATTTATTATTTATTTTCAAGGCTTATAGTTTGTATAGGTGGTTCCAGTCAACGAACCACTAGCATAAAACTCCTGAAATCTGTAATTGGGGTATAACATACATACATATATATAGTAGAAATATGTGCCCAAGGATTCAAACTGCCTAAATAAGTCTATTTAAAATAATTGTTCATACAGAAAGATAGTTACAATAACGCTGTCTCATAAAATATCCAAAACTTCACCAACTTTCTGAAGAACAGGAGAGATTTATAATCTTCATTGGGAAGTAAAATAGTATATAGATTATTTTGATGACAGATTTCCATTCCAGGCTCTGTGCTTAAAACAAGCAAATGTCCTTCTTCTTGCTGAAGATAGATTGGCTTTTGTCATTGTCAAATTATCCGTCTCTTTCAGAGTCTCAGAAAAATAAGAGACTGCTTCATTTCTGTAAAGATAAAGAAACTTAAATATTAACTTACTAAATATTTGGATTCGATAATTCAGAGGCTTAAGTTTGGAATCCTTTTTAAAACTGCATATAGTATGTCCCTTGAAGAAGGTTAGATTTCTGTTTAACTGAAGAAAAAAGCTCTGGCATAGTAATAAGTCTCTGCATGAATAAGAGAATTGTAATTTTCTTTCATACATCCATGCAAGTGTCTTGTATTTAAGATAAATTCTACCTTATGGAATGGCTAATACCGCAATTTCTCAAATTCAAATGGATTGTTTATTGATATCAGGTGAATAACTGGGCACACAACCTATAAGAATATGCATGCCCAACTCTTCATAGTACCCTTGGGTATAAGTGTAGGTAGTAATACCATCCCAATTTTTTAAAAAAGATTTTTACTTTCTTTTTTTAGCTCACATGCAAAACCAAGCTATGCAGTGCTTTGTGCTCAAATCTTAGCTTCTAAATCCATACTGTTAATCTTTGTTTCATGGCCAGATTTTCAATAAGATCCTTCATCCAGGTACTGAACTTTAACTTTCCCTGGTTTTGTAAGTGACAGCTTACTTTTTTCCAATTTAGTAGAGCCCATGGACAACAACAGATATTTGCTATTGTTTTATTTCATGTAAATATGTTAATACTGAGTGGTTAAAGACCACTGGTTATATGGTTAAAATAAAATGTTCTGTATTGATACTCCCACCTTTCCTCATTCACTCTATGTCTCCATGCTGGAACAGATATTTAAGTTGCATTAAAATACAGAAGTACTGTATCTGTCCCCACCAAATTTCTTTTTGGTCTGTGACTTTGGTGGCTATTGGCTCACTACTTCACAACTTGTTCAATACATGTTACATACATGTAAAAGATTGTATAAATTGTAGAGGCATTGCATTGACAAAGTACTGTATAGTTTGCAAAAGTTTTACATAATCCATTTGTGAGATTATCTTGTAAAGATTCACACTTTTCAATGTTAAAATACTGCTTTAGCTTTTGTATCCAATTCAAATGCCAATTTCTTCTGGTTTATAATACTGCTGTTTCTCATTAATGAAGTTATTTAGTTTTGGGTTTAATATTCATTTATCATTAGTGAATGAATTGATTTTTTACCAATATTTTTCTCTTGCTACCATCCTAAGTAATGGTATATTTTAATGTATGGTAAATAATAGAATTGAAATCTCTCTCCCATTTAAGAAAACAAAAAACAACACAAACTTGAAAAATACATTCACTCTGTATTTTTTCTTTGTTTAAAAGGAATATAATATGCTTTTAAATAATCTGCCTGTTGGGAAAGCAAACACGGCAGTGTAACCTGGACAGCATGTCCTGAGACTCAGTGAAGAAATAACATGTATAGGGTAGTGCCAAATGCATCTTCTTATTTTCAGTTGTGTACTTAGTTTAAAGCTGAATAAATTAATTGTTTGTAAAAATTTGGGTGTGCATGGCATGTTTATCGTTCAGTGTATCCTCTCAAGTAAGTGTTTTCATTTAGGAGAGGAGCTAACAATCTCCAAGGATATTTGGGATCTAATCAGTCTCTTGAATATAAATGATGGGTTGTTTGCTTTTAGTTCTGAAAGGACATGAGGACTTGGGTATGAGAGAAGTAGATCCAGTACTTTAAAAGTTGTATTGGTACTCTTCATAAAAGCAATTCGATCAAGAGAAGTTTTGAAACCATGGTATAGCTTGTGACAGCGATCCCCAACCTTTGCAGCTGGGCGGCCCGGGGGTGGGAGGAGATAGGGGAACCAGGCTGTGTGAGCAGAGGGCTGGCGTGCACATGTGCACACACAGCTCAACTTAAGCCAACTGTAGGCCGGCGCGCACAGCTCAACTTGCGCCAATTTGCAAATAGGTAGTGGGCTGCAGCCTGGGGGTTAGGGATCCCTGACTTATGATATGAAAGTACTTGTTATTCACACTTTACAAATCTTGTCAGCTTGGGTTTAGAATAAAAATGAACACATATAATTATATTTTCTTTTAAAATGAGATATTTTTAGAGGAAAAATGTGCAAAAATTATTGTTCTCCCCTTAGCATAGTAATTTGATTTTGGTCACTTGGTTCTCTTAGGAAAAAGAAGAGTAGGATAGCTTCCAATCACAAAAAGGTGATTGAATAGTGCCGATTCTTGTTGCCAAGGAAATCTTTCTAGCTTAGTTCATTCTCTTCCCTTTCCTTCTGGAAGGCAAATCTTAGTTCTAATTTATTCCCTGTGCAAAAATAATCAGAAGAGTTGGTAAGGAAGTATGTACACAAATCTTGTTATTTCTGATCTTACTTTTGTAAATATATTCCTCTGTAGTCTGGTAAACTCCTGTTTGAATTATTACAATCCCTCATCTATAAAAATAATGTGGAAATTTTGGTTGGCAAGATAGCCAGAATCTTGATTCATACTGCTCACTTGAATAATGTGTCATAAATTCAAAGAAGCTTTGCTGGTTGTCACTTTGCTCTGGGGAACGAATTCAAGATGTTGGAAGCTTATTTTTCAAAACCATGGTATTATAATAAAGTAAGAAAACAAATGGGTCACAGTGCTGTCATTAAGAAGAAAAATGTTGGGGTTTGAACATCACAAGCTGCTTGCATCTTCCTTCAGGAAATATTTCACTGAGATCACTTCAAGATTGCCTTAACAAGAGAAAAATATTAATTCTGGAGAGATATGATTGTATGTTTATGTGATTTTCAATGACACTGTATATGTCTGAATAAGAAGCAACACACAAATTGTGTGAGTCACTCAAACTTTTTTTAAAAGCTATATAAAACTGCCCTAATAATGGAGTTAATTGGCAATCTGCCTATGAATAAAAGGATATGAATCAAGATTTAACATTTGTCTCCTGCTTTAAAAAAATCAGCTTTGCCCGTCATTCCAGAGATTTTACCTCTGAACAAAACATTTTCAGTTATCTGACATGGCAGTTCAATTTGTGAGCAAAAAAGGGAGAAAATGAGAAGACTTTGGAAATATTTCATATTTTTCTGTCCCCATATATATGGCAATAGCCCTGGATCAACACTATAATAAGAGTACAAAGAATTCTCAGCTCCTGTGTATTCCTGACGGGAACAAAAGAATATTAATTTGCTACTACTCTCAGATGAATGTGTATTTTAATATGATGATAGCTTCTCCCTCATGCTTCCCTACAAGATGTAGCAAGTTTCCACTGAACACTACTAGATGATGTATCATTTAATATATAATATGCCTCCTTTTCTATTTTGAGCTGCCTCTTAAGTTTATGGATAGTGATACCTAGAGGACACTTTTTATGTTGAGCACCTGCTTGTGATCTGATGTTCATGAAATTTCAAACTATGTATTATTTCCCAGGACAAGAACAGGACCGCATTTGGCCCAAGGGAAAACCTGGCAAAAACAGATCAACTTTGACAAAAAGATGGAACTGGTCAGAGCTGCAAGGAAAGCCCAAATTTCACCGAAGCCACCTTATGGGAGAGGCAAGTGGGGAGCAGCTCATATGTTGGCACCTGCTCTAAGTCCCCCTCCCTGGTCACATGACCAGAGGTGACATGATCCACCCACTCTCATTCTTCCTGGTGCTATATTCAATAGCAGATGCACATGAAAGAAGAACACCCATACCTGCACGTGCAACACGTTACTTTATTTTACATAAGAAAATATAAATGGCTTCTATGGCTGCCAATTTCACCGCTAGAGCATCCTACCCAATTTAAGTCTGATGTTGGTTTCCTAGTACATTGTACCTAGCTTTACTAAGAAAAAGATAGCCAGGTTGATTTGTGTCTCTTTTCCTTCAGCTAGGATCTACACAATGGACATAGTTTTGACTTGAACAGGTATAGCTTGTATTTCATAAAAATAAAAGAAAAAAGCTTGCTTTATCTCCCCAAAAAGCTTTGGGACAGCTTCTGTCATGACTGATGTCAACATCCATCTAATAAGATCTGTATCTAGAAGCCCACCCCCCACCCCCAGCATACCAGCTGAGAAAGTAACCTGGAATAGACACAGCTGGAACAGCCACATTTCTCTCTTCCTCACTCCTTTTTTTCTCCCTAACCTTCTTTGATGAAGAATATTTGAAACTGAGGTGGTTATGACCACTTTTAAAGTTGCAGCTAATTTTAATATTTCTTATTGCCAACATCACTACTACTGTGTGTTTTTTTTAAAAAAAATTAGGGAAACTTCAAGAATAATGCATTTATTGCGCACTCATTTCTGTGAATTGAAATCTTGCTAGTTATGGGTAAGCATAGGGCTGGCTCTGAGGTGTGCCATTCAAAATGCTCGACAATTCACACTCTTGAGATAGGATGGAGAAAAAGGCGCGCTGGTCTCGTGTTGTTTTGGGTATCTATAAGCAACTGCACCAGCAGATGCTTCTTTTCAGCAGCAACTGCTACCGCCTCTCAAACGCTTGACCCGCCACAATTTCAGAGCAGGGTTCCCCGAAAGGAAAGGAAGGGGAAGGGACCGAGCCAGTTGTTTTCATCGGAGCGAGACGTGCACCGCACACTGATTGCGGCGTTGTTTCTGTGCAGTGCGGGGCTCCACCGCGCTCTTCCAGGCCAGGCGCTTGCGTGAAATGTGCCATTGCCGGACGTCCAGCTCTTGGGAACCACTCATCCGCTCGCCCAGGGGCGAGACGTCGGACCAGTTTCGGTGTCTCCGAGGACGCGGAAACGGTCCCCGGAGCAGTGCGAGGAAACCTCTCGGAGGGGAGACTCCTTTGAGGCGACTGACCCGCGCGCGTTGCAAAAAAGAAGCGCGACGTCATTTCAGCCGGCGCGCGCGGCGAGGCTTGCCGGGTTTGCAGCGCCGACCCCGCTCCCTCCCTTTCCTCGGGCCCAAACGCAGGAGGGAGACGGCGGAAGGGGTCGAGCCGCTCCCTCCCGCCGACGATGACTTCACCCTCCGCCAGCCGCAGCCCCGACTGCGACTGCCTTCTGCCCCTGGTGCGGACGGAGGCGCAAGGCGCGTGGTCCCGGCTGCCTCGGCGGAGCCCGCGCTTGGTAAGGACAGGCCGGTCCGCGGACTGACGGAGGGCTTCGTTCCTGCGGGTCGGTCGGTGGGTGGAGCGGAGCGCCTAGGGCGCCCTAGACTGGACGGTGAAGAAGGCTGCCTCGATGCGCACCTGAGCCCGCGCGGCTAAGCTCGAGCGATCCGGCCGTATTCGAAAATCGCCAGCCCTTCTGATTAGGCCCCGTGTTTTTCTTATGAGCCATACAGAAGGAAGGACGGAAGGACAAGAAAGAAGGTTATTACCTTCTTTCTCAAGCTTTCAAAAGGTCGGAAAGGTACTTCTGAGAATTTTGACCCGATTGAATCCCATTTAAATCAGGACAGCTGTGTACTTATAAAGCATGAGATAGATTTTTTTTTTAAAAAAAGCAGCAATATAGGAGAATTATGCTGTTATCTAGTCGAATAATTAAGTGCAAGCAAACAATATAAGCTCAGAAAGCACTAAGGACTCCTCAGAAAAAGAAAAACCTAGTGCTTTATGTGATCTTTTCTGCCATGTTATTTTTTTTAAAAAATTAAATGACTACTCCTTAGATCAGGCTGAGGATGGGAATGATTGATATAAAATGCCAGATGTGGGACTGGGATGATGGCCCTCAACAAGCCAAGAGTTGAGATGATGGGCATGATTTTCAGTCAAAGGCATTCATTTCTGTGCCCAGAGGCAATCTTTCCAGTTCCCGTGATCATGCTTTGATTCCTCACATCTTAGTCACGTATGGGGCCAGGAGACATCCTGGCTCCATATGTACGCTTTGGCCCTTTCAGACCCAGCTGACAGACCCAGCCCTGTCATTCCAGTCTCACGCTTCCTTCTGTTCACCAACATGTCAGTATCAGATTGGAAGATGTTATTCTAGTCCTTGGTCTGTGATTTCAGTGACAGTCTTGGTCTGGACTTGTATTTAATGGTCTGTCTTTAGATATTATGGAAAAAGAAGCACCTTCACCAATCTCATTTCATTGCAGTTCTAAAATGGACATTCTTATACTTCATTTTAGAACAATTTATGTATAAAGGCCAGGAAGATCTTAGTACACCTCTATTTGGTGTGCAAGTTACACCTTTTACAAGATTGTGGGGCCCCTCAGACAGTCACTCATGTGAAACCCCTCACTTACCATATTTATCTTTTATTGAGTTTATTGCAGTTGCTTTAATTGTTATGAACCATAGAGTCAGTGAGAGTCATTATTACTATTATATTGTTAGAATGAATGCTGGGTGTAAATAAATGATAGTAAATTATTTTCCATTGAATTCATTATTTCTGAATTTTTGATGATAGGAGAAGCTCAGATGGGATTCTCTGCCTCAAGTGCCAAAATGCCATGCACATGATTTTGGATGCTGTTTGTTCCCTGCCTCTCTTTGTATCCAGGTCATTGGTCTTCCAGTATAGCCAGAGTTCATTATATTTCCAAACTAATGCATGAGAGATATGTTTGACTTTTTCATATTTTCTGACACTGTATTCTTAAATTTAAATGAGTTGTCACAAAGTCTCCATGTGGGTTGGGGGATGAAACACTCTTTTAGCCATAGATCTTCTACATCAAAACACATCCTTTAATACAACAATACAAATAATACTTTGCCCCTGAAGAAAGAATTGGGAGGCACTGTTGCTTTGATGGTATAAATGGGCAGTAAGGGATTCTTTTTACCACATAGTTCTAGCTTCAAGTGATATTGTGTGAGGGGAAAAACAGCATGGAGAAATTTAAAAAATAAATCTAAAATGTTTCTTTTGTTTTGATATTAAATCCAGTGTCATTAAAGTGTACATGGGTGTGTTTGCAGTAGAATATGAGTCCTAATCCATTTTCTGTAAAGTTACCAAATATCAATCTCTTCTATATATTTAAGGGCTAACTTGAAATAATAGAATTGACAGACTTGTTTCAGCCCAGGTCTTTAAGACAAACTAGCAACTCTCTTAATGTTTATTGACTAATTTTTGGTATTGGGGGGGGTTGTATTTGTACACATAGGTCTTACCAAGTATACACCTCAAATGACCAATGCCAACTTCACAATTTTGAAGGACAGCAACAGGTTACTTTCTGTGATGATGAACCTGACGGAGTGGGCTGAAACAAAATGGACAGATCACTCAAATTCCTCAACACAACTGCCTTCACCGTCTTGGGGCAGCAATGACTCCTTTTCTTTCCAAGAGGATCTCCAGGAGATAATCCACACAGCCACTTTAGTTACATGTACCTTCCTGCTGGCTATCATTTTCTGCTTAGGTTCTTATGGCAACCTTATTGTTTTTTTGTCCTTCTTTGACCCAGCTTTCCGGAAGTTCAGGACCAACTTTGATTTTATGATCCTCAATCTGTCTTTCTGTGACCTTTTCATCTGTGGAGTGACTGCCCCCATGTTCACCTTTGCTCTCTTTTTGGATTCTGCAGCTGGTATCCCTGATGCTTTCTGTTTTACCTTCCACCTTACCAGCTCTGGGTTTATCATCATGTCCCTCAAGACAGTGGCTGTTATTGCCCTTCACCGATTAAGCATGGTGTTAGGGAAGCAACCCAATCGGACTGCCTCCTTCCCTTGCACTCTACTGCTTACCCTGCTCCTCTGGGCTACAAGCTTTACTTTGGCCACTCTAGCCACCATGAGGACCCATAAATCTCGTCTTTGCCTTCCTATTTCCAGCCTGATCAGTGGTGAGGGAAAGATCATCCCTTACTTGTATGTTATTGATTTCATCTGCTGTGTGACAGTGGTTTCAGTTTCTTATATCATGATAGCTCAAGCCTTGAGGAAAAATGCCCAAGTGAGAAAATGTCCCCCCATCATCACAGTTGATGCCTCCAGGCCTCATCCTTTTGTTGGAACACTTGCTACTGGTTGTGCTGATGGGGTACAGTGCACTGTGCCAGCTCTGTATAGAAACCAAAACTATAACAAGCTGCAACACATCCAAACACATGCATACATGAAGAACTTTGGCCAGCTCTCTGCATCTGCAGCCAGCAGATTCCAATTGGTGTCCATAATTAATTTGTCCACGGCCAAGGACTCTAAAGCAGTGGTGACTTGCATTATTATTGTCCTTTCTGTTTTAGTTTGCTGCCTTCCATTGGGCATATCTTTGATACAGGATGTTTTGTCCAGGAACAATGGTATTGTGCTTTATCAATTTGAGTTGTGTGGATTTACACTGTTTTTTTTAAAGTCTGGATTGAATCCTTTTATATATTCCCGTAACAGTGCTGGCTTAAGAAGGAGGGTCCTTTGGTTTATACAATACTTGGCCTTTGTTTTTTTCTGTTGTAAACAGAAAACACGGCTTCAAGCTGTGGGCAAAGGGGGTCTGGAGGCCAACAGAAATAAATCATCTCATCATGAGACCAACTCAGCTTATATGCTATCTCCAAAGCCTCAGAAAAAGTTTGTGGACCAAGCATGTGGCCCTAGTCGCTCTAAAGAAAGTGTGCTGAGTCCTAAGGCTTCTGTTGGCCATTATCATTATGGAGGAGGGCAGAGTAGTTCCACCCCCATGAATACTCGCATTGAACCTTATTATAGCATTTATAATAGCTGCCCTTCTCAGGAAGTGAGCACTCCCAACAGCTTGCAACCAACAAACTCGCCATTCAGATATGCCAACTCCTACATTGCCATGCATTATCACCCAACAAACGACTTGGTGCGAGATTATGACAGTACTTCTGCTAAGCAGATACCAGTGCCCTCTGTGTAGCTGGTGGGAGCCGGCAGTGTCCAATGTTCTACCACAATGGTGGCTATCCTATCTTGGCAAGTTGTGCCATGAGTCATCCATATGATACTTGTATCACTATTGCATGCGCATGAATGTTCAGCCTCCATGCATTAAGTTGGTTTTGCTTCAGTTAGGAAGCAGCTGGGCTAGGAAAGATAAGACTGCAAGCTTCATGCCTTAGCCAGGCTTCTAAGTTCTCCTGTATGTGTCTTGCAAATTACTATCCCATATTCTGCCCGTTTCATTAGTAGTGTTTCTCCTTTTTAAAGATTTCTGCGTGTCTACAGTATTATAACCCCAGATTTTTTCTGGTCTTCAGCAAAGATCATTTAAAAAAAAAATGTCTGCTACCACAAATCACTGGTGTTTTGTGTTTTATAATTGAATCAGACTTGCTTTGTTTATATTGTGAGTGCTTGAAAATGTATGTTTTACAAAGTTGCTTTTTAAAAGATTTCTACTAAGAGTTATATCTATTATTGATTTAGCATGGAACATCTTTTTCCAGATGACAGTTATGTTAGTTATGTACAAAGATAAAAACAAGTTATAAAATCTAGTATCCAGTTCAGAGTTGTGGGATTTCTTTTGTGATTCCCTCTCATTCTATTGACATTTGCTTAGCTGACTTTTTCAAAAACAGAGACTGAATCAAAGCCAAAGTAGATGGAATGCTGGGAGATATAATATTGTCTCATAATAAATTAAAATTTTGGATTATGCCACTAAACTTTTCATTACTTTGAATAACTGCAGTCCTTCAGTCTTAGGTCTTTTCCTACTACACTAAGACATTTAAGACTCTAAGGCATCTAGGACACTTGGCAATATCTTTTTTTTTTTTTTTCTGTTCTGTCTTCATGACGTTGCCTTCATCTCATCTCCAAGTACCAGTACCTTCAAACCATTCTTAGCAGTTGTTCCAGTATTGGTTTACTGTTTTTCTTTCAAACAGGCAAACCAGGGCAATTTTGCTATGGGTGCAATCTGATGTGCTTCATTTGATTGATGTCAAAGTCAGGTGAATGCTAATAGGTTGGGATAGCTAGTTTAGGCTAATGCTGGCACTCTTTCAGTTCCTGGACAATCTCTTACAGAGACAATCTGCTTCAGTTATCAGCTGAAGCAACAGTAGTGGGCTGCATTGGCAAGTGAGCAAGAAAAATGTCACCCCAGTTTCATTTCAGTCAAAGTTCCAGTGACTTTCAGCTTTTCAGTATGGGTTTAGCCCTTTTGTAAGGCTGGTTTGTAAAGGAACCTACCAGCCAGGTTGATTTTGGTCATGAGTTAAATATTATTCCAGAAGATCACACTAGTTAAAACACTTGTGCAAAAACAAAGCAAGGCTAAACCAAAGCAATGCCTAAACCAGTGGGTTTCATCTGTTAAAACTTGTCTGCTCCCCACGCAGAGTTAGAAATATGTGATAGATGTTTTGGTTGCTGATATTATGTCATCAAAACTGTCCAGAGTATACCTTGTACAATGTAAATAAAGATGATTTGTCAGTGTCATGCCTGTGCCAGGATAAAAATAGCTAATAAGAGCAGTGAATTTTATGGCAGTATAGTTTTCTAGCACCCCAAAGATTGATGGAAAGCATGGACTCAGCCATGAGGAAGAGCACTTAGGTAGCAGCAGTTATCTTGGCTAATTTTGTGATTGAGATGCAGGGATTGTATCTGGGACCTTTCCTGTAAAAGCATATAGACTGAGCTAGAGCTCTTCTTTCTTAGAAGTTTGAGATCTATCGAATAGCATAATTTTAATAAATTTTGCAACTTTTTTTTGACCCCATTTTGCAAAATCAAAATTGTAGGTTGGAAGCATGTTCTTTCCCATAAAGTAAGCCCTATGCATTTAAAATTGTGTGTGTATGTGTGCTTGTTTGATTTACAGAACAAGAAAGATGAGCCTTGAGCCATTCCATTAATATTTAGTTCCATATATGCTAGGATCATGTTCCATATGCTAGAATTTCAGAATTAAAAGCTCACTTTTAGGGTTGTATACAAATGAACACAATCCCACTTTGTCACAATCTGCATTTACAATACATCTAAAATAATTAAATATCCCAATTGTTCCAGAGTGACAAAGGTCTCTAAGACCTATGAGATAGCATTAGATGATTTTGGATCTTCCAGGTCAGAACAAGTATACTGTATAGGGAAGTTTTTACCTTAGCCTCATGTCTGATATCCTATATTTTTATATAGAATTTTTAATGTGTAGAAATATATCACCTAATCCTTTTTCCAGTAATAAGACTACACTGAGAAACAGGAATAATAGTCTGAGCTGTTAACCCTGAAATCCAGTGTTTGCCCCCGAATTGATCATGCTTGTAAATCTACGGTAACCTACCTAAGCTAGTTAAGCCATGGTTTTATAGGAATAGGCTCAAGAAAAATAGTTCTTTTTCAAAAATTAATGGAATTCGAAGAATATTTGATCTGGGTGATATTAATAGATTTGAATTTAAATCAACACACATAAAATGTGGGAAGCATGTGCAAGAGGTATTTCAATATATGGAGGAACTGGTACTCATTTGGGGATTATAAACTCAACAAGAGGGTTTTTTTGTTTTGTTTTGCAGGACATCAGTCATACTCCAAAAGAAATATGTGCTGGGCCTCAAAGGCTCTTAACACCATCAATCAAAGAAATGGAAGTTCTCCCAATGATATATGTAGATCACAACTCAATTTTAATGACAAGAAACTTCTAAACTATCCTTTAGATAGAAAAATGAACGAAAAGAGTCTTGACACAGTTTTACAAAAATGTAAACAAGAATTGAAATTCTTTAATACAAACAGGACACCAGGGATCTCCCACTTTACTATGTGGGATACAAATAAAGCATATATAAGGGGCTTTCTAATTAAATTAGCTGCAAATTAAAAAAACACAACAAATGAAAAATACAGTTAAAAGCCAAAATAAGAAAATTTGAAGCATGAAACTAACTCAAGAAACAATTGATTAAAGAATTGCAAGACACTAAACTGCAATTAAGCCTAATAGAAACAAGAACTACAGAAGAAAATAAAATTTACCAAAGAGAAAAAGTCTGAATAAACAAATAAACCATGAAAATTATTAGCTTATCAACTTGGAAAAAAAGAAACACAGCACCAGCAATAAAAGGTCAAAATTGCTATATTCAAGATTGGAAATAATAGAAGAATTGGCAGGTTTCTTTAAAGACTTATATTTGAAGACTAATATTGATAAAACTGCTATGAATAAATATATTGGAAAGTTGGCTGTCAGAGAATGTAATAGAAGAGAATATATGTGGCTGAAGTTGAACAGAGGAGTCCTTGGTACTCTTGAGTTTAGTTGGTTGCTTGTGAATATTTCATTATCTGACTAGATAATATTCTTTAAGATAGTTGTTTTTATCATGTCTTTGACTACTAATTAATGTTTATGGCTCCACTCTGCTAGTTTTCTGCCTGACTCTTCTATAGTGGCTAACACTGTATATTGTAGATGACTCCTCTTTTTATTTCTTGAGCTGTTGGATCTTTTGGTTTACTGAAGAAGTTTTGCAGGGTTTTAGTTGGTTGGTGTGATGCACTGATGCTGTGTAACTGTAATAGCCTGTTGATTGTTCCTGAGATGTTTTTCATGTATGGAAGTGTTATCTTTAAAGGAGAATATTTGTAGCTCAGGGTGGAGAAATTGGTGTTCTCTGAGCTTGGTTGTTTTCTTGCAAATGTTTCATTACCTAAAGTAAGTAGCAACATCTGTGCACTGATGATGTTACCTAGTTTGGGTAATTAAACATCTGCTAGAAAACAACCAAGCTCAGAGAGCATCAAGGACCCTTCAGTGTTGTCCTTTTCATAGCTTCTGCTGTGGTAGGTTGAATAGTCAGGTACTTTTTCATAAAGTTGGGTGGATATCTGTTGGAATATATTTATAGGTGATTTATTTATGATGTTCTGGATTGCTGCAGTGTGTTTGTATTTATATGAACAGTTTCCTAGGAAATACCCTGGTTTTAAAAAATCACTTTTCTAGAAAGATGACTTAAAATATAACTTTGGTTCATTATCAAGTATTCAGTATTCAGTTCAGTATTCTAATAATTGTATCTTTCAAATGATGGCTATTCAAGAAGTATTTGATTTTTTAAAAACACTAGATGTTCCAATACTTCATCAGCATTGCTTCTCATTCAGTTTCATCTGTCTGCTTCCTGATGCAGCTTTTTCTTTGTGTTCTTAGTACTGGGTCATTCATAGTTTTCAACACAGCAGTCAACTGGTGCCAGAAAAGCTTTTGTTTGTGTTCTTCAAGACTCCATTTCAAGTAGGTTTTCCTTTTTAACAGTTTTCTAAGCTTGCTGAATTTCTTTGGAATGCTGTTGGCTGGCAGATCTTCCAGTATAACCATGATGAGGGAATCTTGGTTTTCAGTGAGAACCCGGTGTTCAGCAAAGTACAGCTCATACTGGCACCAACAACTGTGGACAAACCTAGGTGACAGCACAAAAAGAACTTTATGGCTATTCTCGATACAATAAAAAATGTTCCCAAGAACTGGATGTCCTGGCATGAAATCCCTTTCATGATAACATACTTTAAATCCTCTGGCTTCCAGATTTTTTAATAGAGTTTCTTTGGTCCAGGATGCATCATTTTCACTATATGAAATGAAAGCATCATATATTTTGTGTTCTGGTCTCTTCTCATATTGTTTCCTTTTAGCCTTGCACCAATACCAGCCCATCTTCAAATACCATGGACCATCAAAATGCCAGCATAATACAGATATGATGGACATAATCAAAATGACCACGACGACAGTAATTCCGATTTGAATACCAAGAGAACAATGCAACATTGTTAGATGATTGTTTTGCAACAAAAGACCTTGCCTTTTCCGTGGAAAACCACAGTAAAGGCTTTCTCTGCCATTTATTTGCATTTGTGGGTCAACAAGGTATGTATTTGCAAACCAGTATAATTCACAGTTACAGAAAAAATGTTTCCCTTGAATGGTTAAAATTTTCAAGTTTGTCAAAGGGAGGAATATTTCTTTCATAAGGATGGCAAGGGCATTGTTGCTGATATCCAACTCAACCAAGGATTTAGGGAAAGATCCAGGTTGCAGAAAAAATATCTTATTTTCTGACAGATTCAGATATTTCAGTTCAGGCATTAATGTCCCCATGTCATCCATCAGATCTGTAATTAAATTATAGCTTACATCCAGATTATTTAGGGAAAAATAGGAACTGTTCACATTCAGTTGCTTTAAATTATTTCTAGAAAGATTGAGCAATTGTAAACTTTTCTCTGCTCCATGTAAATTTAATGTCCTTATTTTATTTTTACTAACATCACATTCCTCTAATGAACCTGGGAGATATGACATTTTTTTAATTTTATTATTTTGAATTTTAAACACAGTTAAATTTGGAAAAAGATTAGGGCTAGCTATTCCTTGTAAGTTACAGTTGCTTAAATCAAAATGATGCAAAGATTTTGGTAAGTAGTGGAAATTGTGCATTAATTTATTGCTAAGGTTGAGAGAAATATGTTTTTTT